ATCAAATTTATTACCTTCAGCCAACTCCAATCGAAAGTAGATAGGTTACGATGGCTGTATTTTCCGCAAGTCAAAACAGTAATCAGAGGGATTATTTGTTTGAAAGATATTTCCACCTCTTTTATTGTATGAATGAAAATGAAAGAGTCTAACACACTGTGACTAATTACTTACTAGTCTTCTGGTTCAAGTGTTCGAGTGAATCCCTAAATGAAGGATAACACAGTAGCTGCTTTTATCATGTAATGAAACTTTCTCTGCTCAGACTCTAGGAAGACAATTCAGACAACAAACATCACTGAACAATTTGGAAGTTCACGCTCCAATCAGTCTGACGTGATGATCGGCAAAATCTCTACATTTTCCTAAGACTTCAATAAGGTTTCTGTTCAGTTGCATTGTTTGGAATAGATTGATTTGAAAACTGGAGTATCTTGATAAAAATGTCAAACTAAATTTTTGCATCAACTTCATCAATATTCGACGAAATATCTTCGGGCTTTCAGATCTGAATTCAGTGTTTGAACATGAATGAAGGATGTCAAGAAAAAAGAGTGAATGAAGGCATTAATGTTTCAGTGATTTTGAATACAAACGGTCAAGTACCCAGTGATTATATGATTTTTCATTGACTAGCAGTTAGAATCTTCACATCATCTTCGTGAAAATGATTTCATATTGTCTGACAAAGAAGAAAACAACAGCAGAACGATACACAATGTTTCGAATGAAAATGATGTATTGGAGTGTTCAATTAAATTATCATCTCAGCGATTCGTATTTAATAGTGAATAGTTAGCACAAACAATATTTCAACAGAAATGATTCCCCATGTTAGGAAGGATGAATCGTTGATATCAGGGGAACTCGTCTGTGAGAGAGTGAGTGGGTATTGTCATTCCAACTAATAGTCAGGTCCAATGCCTTCTCTTTTACAGAATCTCAACTCAACACCTTTTATGATACGAAGAATCAGAGGAATGTTGGTTAGCATTTCATCTGTGCTCGTCTACTGAGCAAAAGAACCTTCCTGCAAAATTCGTAAGTGCAATCCAAAAATAAAAGGTATCCAGTTGAAATTATTGCATCAAATATTGCCTGAACCTGGTCTGGAAAGCTTCTTCAGAAACGAATGAAACGTTCTACAGATGTTAATCGAGAGATAATCTGTCCAGTGGGTGATGTTCTAGTCGAAGATGCATTTAATCCCCATAATTTGTAGATATAAAATGTAGAGTAGTAGGTGCAGTGTCAGGATGTATTAATCCTGAGAGGAGATGATTATGACCACTTCATGCAGTAGTTTGTTTGACTTTCGGCTGAAGTATTCAACCATGATTTTGCTTATTGGAAAATCACAGCTTCATTGATCATGGAAAATTTATGCTTGTTCAGATTCCAATATTCTCGGAGCTGCTGTTTTGATTGGAGAATATTTCAGTTTTTCTGCAGTGGGTAATCGGATTCGGCTGTTCTTCTAGCTGAGATTTCACTTACCAAGCGTTTCACTACAATGCTAGACATCACTACCAGCACATTACAATGAATGCTACTGTCGCTGTTGATGTGCAGCAGGAAACCTGAAACATTTACCAGTCAAAACAGTAGCTCCGAGAACATTGGAATCTGAACAAGCACAAATTTTCCATAATCCATGAAGCTGTGATTTATGGGTAGTGATGTTTTCCAATAACCGAAATCATAGTTGAATACTTCAGCCGAAAGTCAAACAAACTACTACATGAAGTGATCAGAGTCATCTCCTCCCAGGACTTATTCAAAGGAAACGAAATGCATTTCAGTTCTTCCATATGAATTAACTTTTTGTCCCAGCTTTTTTCATAACTAGTAAAACGTAGGTAAACGCTTAATGGTTTGTTTAAGAACGCTTTTTTCATCCAGTTGGAGCATAGAAAGTTGTTACTTTGGTGACCGTAGATGAGCAAAAACTGACCATCAGTGACTGTCTGTAGTTATGACGCTATCGGTCCAATGATTGACAGACAAATCGAGGTAGAACCTCGCACAGAAGCCCACCGGTTCAAAGTAACCTAATTCCCAGCAGCATGCAAACGAAAGGTGGATATTACAGTAGAAAAAAGTGTATAACTGAAAATATAAAATAAATAGATGAAGGGTAATGAAAATACTCAGAGCTTTGAAAATGTCTAAGAGTGAATACATCTATGGAATTGTGACGGATTTAAAGCCACGTTACCAGGAGTCTTCAGCCACTGATTCTTATCACTTTGTGGGTTCAAATCAGATAGTCCAGATCTATCTGCACCGCCCAGCCCAACAACCAGAGGCTGTATGAACTGGCTTGATACTTTGACCTGGCATTTCGCTTATTTCTTCCATCTGATGAAACAGTGGATAACTTGTACAGGTTTTGTTCTCTGGAGAAGCTATTTCCACTAAGTTACGAAACGTCAATAGTTAATTTTTTCACCAGATTGGACTGGATCATGCAGCAAACCGTGAGGAGCGAGAAGATGGGAATATATTGTTTGACAGTTGAAAAGAGCCTAGAAGAAGATTTGGATTTCGCCGATGATGATGATAACTATTTATGTTTAATGTTGCACAAACTAGAAGATCTACAGCCGAAAACCAATTAGTTGACAGAAGAGGCAGGGTAGCGAAGACGGGACTTCCTTCAGGTGAACGTAGAAAAGACAGAGGTGATGAAGATATCCAACCAACGACAACGAAAACAACAAGTACTAATCACTATCAACAGGAAGAATCGGAAGAATGTTGTCTGTTTCACCCAACCACCCATGCAGCATCGTTCTAACTACAGGTGGCATACATGAGAACGTCAAAGTCAGGATGGGAAAGACAGCAAGACTGGCCTTCATTAATCTGAAATCAGTGTGGAGATCTACTGCACTGCACTGCACTCCACTCACTCCACTCCACTCCACTCCACTCCACTCAGCATAAAGCGTGAACCAGATCCGGATTTTCAACACCAATGTCAGTCAGGTCAGTGCTTCTTTGTGTTGGTTGAGAGACTTGGCGTGTTACGAAAAGCATTTTCAACAAACTACAGACATGCATTAACAGCTGCCACTACACTGACTCAATACTGAAGATCAGCTGGCCGGAATAGAAAGAATAAGCATCAAGAAACTCTGGCCTGTGACGAACCAACCACGAACCTATCACTCAATAAATAAGCGGAAGGAAATAGAGATGAGTTGGGCATTACTAAGTGTTTTGAAAGACGCTAATTTCAAGTCTTTAGATTTTATTTTTGTATAGCGGAACTATATGATAACTAAAACGGTTCAGATTACTACCGTGTTTCTTCATTCATTTTGTAAATCCTTTTTCGGTCAAAAATGGCCTTCGTTCATGAGGATTCAGAGGAATAAGAGGATATTTGCATCTCTGGAGGATGATTTTGATGGTGTTGCCTTCTCGGAGATAGATGGTTTGATTGTGAAGCTCTGACTATCATTCTAGACAACATCATCAGCCCAAATCTCATGATCAAACCATCAAGCTAAGAGAACACAACACCATCGGTTTACCTGCTTTTGTGGAGCTGGTTAGATAGACCACGCAAAGCGTGTTCTATTCAAACACGTCACCGAACAGTATCCTGTATGGCTGTCTAAAGGACAATGTAAAGCCGTCGACAGCTCGGTTCTTGAACATTTAGTTATCTCTGGTCACTGTGATCCATGACAATCTTCTTTCACAGTCAATTATAAAGTGAAGACGAACACTTCAAAGAGAGTGCGAAATCGCCATCTCAACACAGCAAAAGCTGTGGTAATTCAGTATTACAAACCTGCTCTTTGTCTTGATACATTCAGTCTCTAATTTTGCCTTGCTCGTAATCTCCCATAAGATAGTTTATTCATTTCTTTGCTTATTTGTTATGTTCCTATAAGCAATTTCTGATGAACTTGGCTTGACCCTCTAGACGTTATCATTTTGTGACTTTATTGATCATTTTTGATGACTTGGTATTGATCCATTAGTAACTAGTGGATATATGTATTTTGTTGTAACTATGATTATGATGTACAACTTTTGAAAATGATTCTTTGAAAAGGAAATTTTCTTTACTGAATTGTCTTTTGTTAGTTTTCATTATCTTATGAGACTATTTCGACTGTTCAAAGGAATTGTTTAAAATAGTATTTGCAACGTATCATCATTCTCAGTCTGAGTAATATAAAAGAATTTCACATACATATGAATTATGACTTTACTAAAATACCTCATGAAAGGCTATCTCTCTTTCTGTCTATTTCCTTGTAGAATATCTTTAACGGTGAGTCTAATATACTTCTTCAGTATACTGACTTTTATACGTAACTGTAACATTTGAAAGTGTATTCATTGATTATTTCTGTGCATCGATTTTTACTGTTGCAAGTTATGTATTCAGTATGATTGGTGTACTGTACTGTACAATTAGGTAAATAAAGCACTAAATATTCAAGTATTTCATGAAGTATTCAACTTTTACACACCCCGTTTATTGAAATTTACTTCGGCATAGAAGAAGTTTCTATGATGGTTTAAAAAAACCCAGCTGAATATCGGATTTCTAAGCAACACTATAGATAGCGTAAGCTAGCTGCGCTTTTCTATCTGCGCTGAGATTTTATCGGTCACTGACCCATCAGAACTGTTCTGACTTTGCAAGCAAGTTCAGTAGTTTTCCAAACAATTCAGCCTTCATTACTCAGTAACCTGAATAGCTTGGCGGTAAAGCAAGTGATCACAGTGGTGAATGATTAGGGGACTACGGAGACGTCCAGATGCTGAGTGGTAAAAAACGCGACTTCTACATGAAGTGAAGTGACCTACCGATTGATATCAGGCGGATATCATAAACAATTGACTAAATCATTCTAATCCGTTCTTAGCATTTCTTAATTCCTGTTTTATGTATCTTTTCTGATGCAGGGTTGAATAAGCAAAACATAATGAGAAGGAAAATAACTTGTTTTCACCTCATAATTGTTATGCTTATGATAACAGTATTCTTACTGTGTTTAAATTTGCTTACTCATCATCATCATCATTTAAAGCATGCTGATCGACGGGAAATGAATTTACAATCTGTCATTATTGAACATATTCCATTTAACATTCAACAACCCAATAATCTAGCTGGTTATCAAACTTTATCGTCACTTGAAATTATACCATCAAACATATCTCATATTTATAATAAACATATTTTGCCGATTCAGATACATCATATATATTTCTTTGGGGAAGAAATGATTAAACCAATTCCATTATATTGTTCGAACATAAAACAATATTCAATGTTCAATGAAAGTTTGAATTTATTCACTACCTCTTATCATGTTATCTGGCATGTTTCAAAAGGTTCCGTTAATGAAATAAAGTAAGTTATTTTTACTGTAAAGTAAATATTTTGTTATGGATGTCTTTGTCTTTTAACCTCATAATTGTAAACAAAAAAATACTCAATGATGATGATCGATTGTGGCTAGCAATAGGATCCATGACATGTGTTTCATCCTATTTAGGACTCGTCAGATGGATGGACCTACCTCCCAGTGAGTAATGTTGTCTCCACCAGAACTCAAACCCAGGATCGATTGCTTTAGAAAAATACTTGATACAGCTAAATAGCTAGAAGGGTATTTAACAGAATAAAATGATTTGCACAACATATTTTGAACAATCTCATCAAACATGTACTTTTCATTTATAAAGATAAGGTGTGAGTATATGAAAAGAAGTCAAGCAGGAAGACTAAACTAAAGGCCAAATCAACTGGGCGAAAATAATAGTACATCAAACTTTGTTTCATAGTTGGATCCACCAAGTTGAATCCACCGAGATTCAGTGTCATAGAAAATTGTATTTCATTACGCATATGTAATTTAAATCTTCTAATAACTAAGGCCTCTACACCTTTAGCAAATATGTCTGAATGAAATAGCAACTTCAGTCATATGACCTGTCTCACGGATATGTTTCCCAGTCGAAGAACTTGGACACCTGCTGTCAACCTTTATGAGTTCATGTGATTCACTTTACTTCTGAAGCTACTTAGAAATCTACTCTGAGGCCCTTCCTACTATGGATATATGAATCCTGCCTAGGCGTGCATCACTTCAGGTGCATTTAAATTTTTAGATGCAATGACAGTTGATCAGATTGTTTGAAATGTGTTACACAAATACAATACATGGTTCAGACAATTTGTCTTCTTATTGTTTAGTTGAAAATTAATATAGGAAACTAATTGTGATCCCTATGAATTTATAGAAGAATGATAGACAGATAAACTGTCTAAAGTAGGATTTCATGGGAAATTTGAGTGATTCAAATGGTCATATTTCATAAATGTACAGTAAGACACAGGAAGAATGAATTGTATTATGTATTGTACGTTTTCTGAAATTGAACTAATTTCCTATACTAAGTAGAACTTCTAATTCGGGATCACATAGGGCGAACAAGTCTTATAGTTATAATTTTCCATTGATACATTATTTAAAACTCAGATGGACATAAAACTCAATGACTTCACTGATTTTAGACCATTCAATCACCAATACACAGAAATACCTATTTATAAGAGTACAAGGTTAGTCACTATCACATTTGAAAGAATAGCCAATCAGATTTGGATGACGCATTCAGTTACCCAAACGATCTGTACGCTTGCTTAAAAGTGAATTACAAGATAGTATTCTTCACAAATTGATATAAGTTGGAAAATTATTGAAAATCTGGCTATACTAGATAGTTCTTTCTTCCTGGCTTCCGACTTTTCAGCAGTGTTCACTCATGACCCTGAGGGAGATGGAACTCGGGACATTCAAGTTTCTTAGGCTCGCTACCATCCGTTTACAGAGTTGGAATTCAGTCACCCATATTATACTACATTTATCGGTTCACAATATAGCTCCACCATCATCCAATACCATCGGCCAGAATTTATCCTCATGAGTCACAGTTGCTCGAAGCAAATGGCTAATTATCATTATTATTTGTCCTTTGGGTTCCTAGTGGAACATAGGACTTCAGTAGCACGTCACCATTTCACTCTCTTCTTTGCAGTCTTTTCAACCTGGTTTCATGACTGCTCAGAAGTTTTCATTTCTTCCTCACATGATCTCCATGTCACCCTCAGACACCCAACTCGTCTTTTCCGACATAGGTTCCACTCGAGGGCCTGGTCTGGCGCGTGATGTCCCCAATCAGTCTTCTCAGTGTATGCTCAATCCATCTCCACTTCCTTCTGCATATCTGTTGAGTGATAGGTTCTTGAAGGTATCCTGACCAACAATGGACTGGATGGTTTGATGGTTCTTGGTTGGTTCGTCGACAGGCCAGAGTTTCTTGATGCTTATTCTTTCTATTCCGGCCAGCTGATCTTCAGTATTGAGTCAGTGTAGGTGGCAGCTGTTAATGCATGTCTGTAGTTTGTTGAAAATGCTTTTCGTAACACGCCAAGTCTCTCAACCAACACAAAGAAGCACTGACCTGACTGACATTGGTGTTGAAAATCCGGATCTGGTTCACGCTTTATGCTGAGTGGAGTGGAGTGGAGTGGAGTGGAGTGGAGTGGAGTGGAGTGCAGTGCAGTAGATCTCCACACTGATTTCAGATTAATGAAGGCCAGTCTTGCTGTCTTTCCCATCCTGACTTTGACGTTCTCATGTATGCCACCTGTAGTTAGAACGATGCTGCATGGGTGGTTGGGTGAAACAGACAACATTCTTCCGATTCTTCCTGTTGATAGTGATTAGTACTTGTTGTTTTCGTTGTCGTTGGTTGGATATCTTCATCACCTCTGTCTTTTCTACGTTCACCTGAAGGAAGTCCTGTCTTCAAAACTGTTAGTTTTCGCCTGTAGATCTTCAATTTTGTGAGACATTATACATAAATCATCATCGGTGAGATCCAAATCATCTTCTGGGATCTTTCCATCTGTTAAACAGTATATTCCCATCTTCTCACTCCTCACATTTTCTTGCATGATCCACCTGACCACAATCAGCAAGATCATCGGTGATAGTAGGCGTTAATCTTGTCGTATTTTTGTCTTCACTTCAAAGGTGTCACTGAACTTTGTATTATGAATCACTTGGCATGTAGCATCACACAGCATATACCTGCTGTTGAATGAGGTTGATAATGGTTCGTGGCACTAAAACTGCAGCGTTAAAGCAGCTGCCTACCAAATTACTTGTCGGTCGACACTGTAGAAGGCCTTTTCAAATCGATGAAGTTGAGGTAAAGATCCAGTTGACTACCATTCTATGCTCCGTTCTATGATGATGTGTAGCTTAGCGTTGCAATTTGATACACACATGATTTATTCTTCCTGAATACAGTCTGTTGACCAGCCGACTTGTCTCAGTCGTAATTTTGAATGGAGAGCATTTTTTAGTCTCTCCAGGATGATGCGGCTTAATAATTTGCTCGGGGTGGACAGGAGCATGATTCCTGCCCAGTTCTTGTAAACACTTAGGTCGCCCTCCTTTAGGAGTTTGACAAGGTTGCCTTTCTTCCAATCATTCGGCAGGTACATTTTTTTCCTTCATTCCTTCCAAACCTTCTCCAACAGTGGTGTGATGTGAGCGCTTCCGCTGTTGTCTCTGCATCTATTTTCAGTGCTCCTGGTAGGATTCCATCTGGTCCTGCTGCTTTCACAAACTTCAGCAGTTTCATGGCATTCAGGACTTCACTCCTGCTTTTGTCGGAGGGCTTATGTTCACTGATAGTTCTGTGGCTTGGCTGGTGGTGGTATTTGTGGATGAGTTGTAGGTGGTGGTCGTGGTGGTGGTGGTCGATTCAAGAGTTTTTTGAAGTGGTTGACCCATCGTTTCCTTTGTTTCTCCTATTTCGGAACTGAGTTTCCTTTGTTGTCTTTCATTTGTCTCATCTATGTTGATCTCATCCCTCCCAAATAGTAAGTTACCTAGTTATTTGATTGATATAGTGTTGTCAAGTCTCTGTCTCTCCTCCCAGCAGCCTGTTCTGCTTCACTTACCAATGTGTCGTAGAAGTGTCTTTTTTCTTTGCGTGCACTCTTCTTCGCTTCTTTGTACAGTGTTTTATACGTTGTACTCAGTTTTTCTTCTAGTTGTTCATCCCTACAATGCACTACAATGCACTGGTTCATCTGCTTATCATCACCATCTACCTGTCCCTGCTATTTCAGCTTTCATGTGTCCATGGAGATCCACTCATTGACTTGCTTCTTCTTCCTTCCTAATACGGTTATGCAGGTCTCTTTTCACATAGCTTTCAAAGAGTTCCAGTGTTCTTCCACACAGGTTTCTTCAGGGATTTTGCTTAATGTCTCCCATTTTGTTTTGATGACTGACGTGAAGATGTCGTTTGTAGTTTTGTCCTCCAGTTTCTGTTCGGGGTGTTCAACTCAAATTGTGGTCTATCACCAGCTTCTTTGAAGGCTTTCAACTTGATTTTGAAGGTAGGTTCCTTGGACCAGATAGTGATTGGTGTGGACCTACATCTGCTCCCCTTCTTGATGTGATTTTGTGTCCAATGGGCTGCTTTTCTGGTTCCTTTAAATTGAGATGAAGTGGATCTGATTTTTAGTGTGTCCTGGTGTCTGGTGAAATCCATGTCGTTGTGTGAATATCCTTGTGTTAATACACACTGCCTCCAATCCCCGAGTCATCAAATGCGCAGAAGTCTCCAAACAGTTCTCCATTCTCGTTCATTTCACCGAGTGCGTCTCTTCCTGTGTTGTCCGCTCCCAGTTTGGTATTCATGTTACCCCACTCACTAGAGTTTTGATGTCGCCAACTGCAGTGTTGTCCTGTACTGACTTCAGATGTCTGTAGAATTCCTCCTTTTTCTCTTGATCTCCATTATTTGTAGGTGTGTAGCGTAGCATTGTACGGTTGTGTCTCTCCTTCCTTTTGAGTTGAATCTTGCTGTCATGATCCTGGACGAGGAGATTGGTTCCCACTGCATGAGAGAGAGAGCCTTTGATGCTCTTAGGGACATCACGATAGCCACTCGAAAACTCAGTGTGCTCGTGGTTGTCGTCTGGGTGACAATATCGGAGTAGGTTATTGACTTTTCAGTTGACAGTTCGGAGAGTCCACTTCCATTCCACCTGCTTTCGCAGATTCCAAGCACTTCAATGCGATACATTCTCATCTGTTTTGCAATCTGGGCAGCCTTGGTAGGTTCAAATATTGTGCAGACATTCCATGTTCCCATCCTCACTTTCGCTTTTATCGACAGAAGAGAAGACACATCCGCCAATTGACTTCCCGAAGGCTTTTACCAAGTTGTGTCATTTCGCCTCTCCAATTCCAGCGAGAAATAAGTTTATTTTTGTTTTTTATGTTTTCTTTGCGCTTTGTAGTTTTTGTGGCGGTTGGATTGGTTTTCCGGGGAAGGGTTGCTAGCTGTATGCGCAACCTTCCCTGTTTATCTGGGCTTAGAATCGGGTAGTAACTAGTGAAATAGTTAACTAGACGAGGTTTTTTACATCATTATGTTCCTTCTTAATTATTTCGCTTACAGATCAGCTGCCGATGAAGGTTATAAAGCAGAAAACGGAATACTGAAAATCTATCCAGATGAGGCATATAAACGAAAGGTTAGAAATTCATTCAGTATATTCTTTAACGTACAGTGTCATACAGCTTTTGGCGAATTACGCAGCTATTTCATTTTTAACTATTTCGAGTTATACTACTGAATGACTTGAGTAGTAATAGTAGTAGGTTTAGGTCTTACAGTCGATTGCCTACAACCAACCAAAAAATGAGTAGTCATTTCTGAATAAAAGAGAAGTATCTTACTGCGCCTTAGAAAATCTTACCAAACATTTTTGGAATTTTTTTCAAAGCTCAATAATCAACACCGATATATCGTAAACTTCGTTTGTAGTTTAGGCGATATTGAATCAACAGATATCAGCTTTTAAATTTCATCACCCAAACGTTAATTTTTCATATCTTTGTTGCGGTGACTAGATGTTACCCGTTCTAAAAGTGATAGGATAGAAACCTTTGATATTTTCTTACGAAATCAGTTATTTTTTTATTTTCAAGTTTAGTTGGATTCACTTCAGATAGTTCACCATACAATCATCCTATTCATTCGGCGGCTACCCGCCTAAATTTGAAAGCTTAAATAATCAAACTGTTCACACTATTTGAACTTAGTTATCTGAATTAGATGGACCAGTTTTCTGTTAACTATGCTGATATACACACTGCTGTTATTCTTGCTTACCAAGTTTGGCGAAGTTGATGTGATCTGGAATATAGTCCTTGATATGCAGTTTTATAGGACTACTTATGGGTAGTAGTGGTGGAAAGTGGCTAGCAGTGGAATTCAGGATGCGCATTTCGTCCTATTTGGGACTCGTTAGCTGGATGTATCTGCCTCATAGTGAGTTAAGTTGTTTCCACCTGGATTCCGACTCGGGAGCGATTGCTTCATACGCTAGAGCGTTATCCACTGCACCACCGAGCCATCCGCACATCCGCACAGGAGCCCATTTGTGAACAGAGACCGATCAGTTCGATCCATTCAACGACGGTTTAATACAAGCATTTATACTACTTAAGGATAGTTCAGTTCATCAAGGAAGTATGTATGAATAAGTTAGGTTGATGGCTCAATAACAGCCTTTTGTGACTCAGGAGATATCTAACAATCAACTGTGGTTTAAGATGGAGAGTGATGAAGGAACATGATATATTTGCATAAAGGGAGAATGAGAGTAACAGCCAGTCAATCACGAATCTCTTCAAAGTGAGGTAAAACAAATTAAAAATGACTGGCTGAAAGAAGAGATCTCTTCTTTTTCAATTAGATATTCAACTATAGCTCTACACTGATATTATATGGGTGTACTATTTCTATCAAAATACCAATCAAGTGGTGGTGGGGGATCGATTAACAATAATCATAGATTTTAAATAAGTCATGAAAATGGTAAGTTTGAGAAATCAAGATGCTATTAATAATCAACAGAGTAATTATACACATGATTAAAAATCTCAGTTATAATAATACTAAACAGGTTATTCTTGGGCAAATTGCATAGTAACTGGTAGAGTAACTGAAGTATTTTTTTCTTGAGTGGTAAATCATAAACAATCAATAACTAGCCACGTGATAACAAGAAAGTAACTGAATGTGGAAAAAACAATAAACAGCAGAAGAATACAAAATAATGCTACAAGTTGCATCATATTAATGACTATGGTGACGCAGGTGGTTGAGCAGAGTACCTTTAAATGCAAAGGTTAGGTTTGTAAAGGTGGGTAGCAATCGCCTCTACTATGGGAAGTAGACCAATGCGTATTTCATTTGGGAAATTAATTGATATACAATGAATAATTTGAAATGCTTTGCCAGTATTGACTTAATGTTCCATGTGAACAGAATGTGTAAGTGTGGAGTTATTTATTACTTTAATCTGTCCCTCATTCTGCCATGAAGAGTGGTGCTCAGAAATTTAACGATGGGTCCGTCTAATCATGCACCTCAATGTAAATATCTTCACAGAAGCAGATGAATTGATAAGTACACATACAGTTGCCTGATTCCACCACTTTCATATGTATTTGTGCACTAATATGGAGTCAAAGACGAAGACCTTAACTGAAAAGGAATATATATATATTCCCTCAATCAGTCATTTTTTCTAAATGTCGAAATGACAATTTCACTGTTTCTGAAAATGTTTGACTGTTTCGTCTGCAGCTGTTTATAGAGCTACAAAACTACTGACTGCACTCAAACTAATGATGGCTAGTGGATAGCATTACAATTTAGGATGCGCGTTTCATCCTATTTCGGGACTAGTCGGCTGAAATTCATTTGCTAGATAATAGGAAATTTTGTCGATTTCGCTTGCTTCTAATTTTGCATGACTGTTAAGTCAGTTATATACATTCCTTCAGCATCACGATTGTTTACTTCCTTGAGAGCTAATAAATCAAAATGTTGCAACTTAAACTAGTGCCTAATTTTTAGCAGTGATTTCATAGGCTGACATTCCTTGGAGAACCATTGAACAACTGGGAGTACTGTATAACTGTCCTTCTCTACTCAGGGACTTCTCAGCAGTGTGCAGCCACGAGCCTAGCAAGCATGGAGCTCAGGACAGTCAGGTATATTGGCGTGCAAGTTACTATGTAGCCACTGTGCTGGAATAAATCTTCCGCATTTTTTCTACTCTTGCCTATTCTTTATATAGCGTAATCATCATTCAGCGGCATAAGCAAGTATTAGTCCTCACACTCAACTTGACTGGCCTCACATTTCATAGTTTCTCATTGGAACTTAAACAGATTCATCTTAAAGCAAGTTACCGATGAGTACTTGATATGAGTTCACTGTCAGAAAACAAACTTGTTTCAAAAAGTAGTTACAATAAGTGATCGAGACAATAACTGATAATGTTCCAAGTTCTTAAGTATGTGAGATGAAAGCTATAAATTGCTAAGGAGTTCCAAACTAGAAGGAACCACTGTTCTGCGATTTCTAGCCTTTAGTGATTTCTCACTTTCTATTTCTTTTATTACTGTGAAATTCAAAGAGAAGAGCTTCTTGTCACCTTACTGTTTGTTGCTGTTCATGAATTCTTTAAACAATCCGATGGCTAAACTGGTCAACGTAGTGTTGTGAACAATCTTTACACTTGATTTTGTAGATTAAATTTGTCCTGTCTTCTTTTGGTAACTGATCTTCCAGTTTGAGTAACATGATTCGTGGTGACTTTTTTGGTTTATGTACTACACTAATCACGAAAGGAAAAAACAATCTGTTGACTGTTTCTGAGACATTTTTGATGTAGGATTGAGTAACGCGCCTATTGATTTGAGTTGCTATCTTCTGTTCTGGTAATAAACATTTGTTGATGAAATTGTGTGCATAATCACTGACTTTGAATACTTCTTATAAATGTTTCTCTACCACTTCTCGTAGTGGCCCAGTGCTGTAGTGTGTTTTGGCACTTGAGAATAATGTCTGCACACAACACTTTTTATGGTCTGTAGGATGATTTCAATTGTAGTTCAAAATTTAGTCTATGTATGTTCTTCCGGTATACCTGCGCCTGCAACGTCCCATGGTGCGTTCCGCTGATGAGGATATCTAGAGATGGAATTTTTTGATTAACTTCCTTTTCCTTTGCGAAATGAGTTCCTTCAAATGTTTTGTTGATTATGTCGTGTGTTTTCCATTTCATTCTCTCCGAGAATTACTAATGTGTTATCAACGTGCCGAAACCGTATGTTTGGTTTGATGAGGTGGATGACTACTTTTTCCAATCAATACATCACTGGTTTAGTAATCACTCTTAATATCATCAGTCTCATTGATATCTCTTCTGTTTGTCTGTAAATTGTTCCATTGAACAGTAATTACGTCGTGATGTATAGTCTTTTCCATCATTTCAAAGCTCAGAGTGGAATGCAAAGTAAGCATTTAAGCACTTGATTTCTTATTAATCTGTCATGAATTCGAATCTTTTGATGTCTACACAAGCAGACGATATCAGTGGTTCTTGCACAATAAATTTGACTCAATACCAAGTGCATGAGCGTGCTTATGGTTACTGAGTCCATTCAACGCGTAACACCATATCACTATTCAACCAGGTTTCCTTCACTATAAGATGCTAAAAAAATTATGTATATTCTATAAGATTAGTTAAAATTACGATAACTAAGTAAGGAAACGAAATATAATCCCAACATGTATATGATGCTCAATTTAAAAAAAAACTTTTCCCATCGATGATGCCGGATAATGGTCATACTTTGTCCTGAACTGACGGAAGTAGGAAATGAGAGGCCATCGGATTCCAGCCATGTACTTCTGGCTATGAAGCCTGACTGTTTTAAACTCAGCCCCTAGCGGTTCATGGGTAAGCCTTGCAGGGAGTTTCAAGCTAGAGTAACGGAGCACAAAAGCTAAGTCAACACTGATAGATTTAAGTAAATTATAAGTGAAATATATTTGTAAAATCTCAATGAAGCAGAAAAATAAAATTTCTGACGTTCCGCGACTTCGTAGAAATCCCTTCTTAAGAGTATAAAACCTGTACAAATCATCAATTGTTTAAATAGTAAATGACACCCATCATCAAATCAGTGATAAAAAAACCACCGGATAAAGACGCTCATGTTTTACGTAAGAAAGCTTCCCATATTCTGCAAAACGCAAGTATATACGCTGCTGAACATTTCAAAAGAAGAACGAACAGCCTTCCAAAACCTAAGAAGGGATAAAACAATCGTAATTACTAAAGCAGATAAAGGAAATGTAACAGTGATTGTGAACAAAACTGACTACGACCGTAGAGCATATGAACATCTTTCGGCCGATCCCTGTGGAGAAATTTAATCAAAAAAAGTGCCAAGCAACGAAGAACAAAATGAAAATAGAAACAGGTCAGCTTTTAAAGGCACTGAAACCGTTCATCGGAGACTCATTATGGTTCTTCCTATATCCAAAATTATGGACATCATCACGTTTCTATAGATTACCGAAAATTCATAAACTCCATGTCCTTCTGAGACGGGTAGTGGATTTTAAAAATTCTCCAGTATATGCTTTATCTCAATATCTAGCATCATTACTAAAGCCTCTCCAACGCCTTGTTATCAACTCAATTAAAGACTTATATGAATTCAAGAATATCTGAAGTATCTACTGCAGTGAATGAAACAATAATAAGCTACGTTGTTGTCTCACTGTGTACTAGTATTCCCACTGAAAAAAGTGCAGTTTCATGGGCGAATTGCTGGAATGTGGTCAGACGTTTACAAACAGATCTCCATTGAACTCCAGTCTCATTATGAAAGCACTCAAACTTTGTTAAAAGTCGACACTCTTCATGTTTGGAGGATAACTACACAAACAAACTCATTGAGTAGCTATGGGTTCTCCGGTGTCTCCTATCGTTGCAAACCTATTCATGTCCCACATTGAATCAACCATCTTTTCTAGCCTCACCAAACCACGTATTTGGCTCAGATACGTGGATGATACATTTGTAATGATAAAAGTATCTAACCTCAGAACCTTTTCGAAACTAATTAATACTCATTCTCCGTGTATTAAATTCATATTTGAACATCAAAATGCAAGTGGTAAACTGCCATTCCTAGACTGTATAGTTAAAAGGAAGGGGAACGGAAGTCTAAGTTTGTCGATTTATCGTAAAAGCACCATATTCAAATCGATGTCTTGATTTCAACTCAGCACATTCACTTAGTGCTAAAATTTCACTTGCTTGGAGTTTATTCAGGAGAGCCTAAAAGCTAATCACAAATGAAGATGACAAGCAAACGGAAGTAAGAAACATAACATATGTAATACATTCCAATAGCTACCGTAAGAATATCATTCAAAAGATTCAGAAACATGAGCAGAAGTATCCAAGAGGAAATTGAAGTGATGATTCATGGATTAACACAGTAGTTCTACCATTCCGCCAGGGTGAAGCTGAAGAGCTACAATGAATCTTTAGAAAGCACTATATTAAAGCCTTTTTACAAGATAACCAACACACTTAGAAAAGCTCTAGTTCACGAGAAAGATAAAATTCCTTTTACCTCCATACAGAATTGTGTCTACAAATTGGGCTGCGTCGACTATGATGCCTATTATACTGAGGACTCATCTCGGGAGATCCATATCAAGACTAAAGAACAGGCAAATTAAACAAAACGATAACCAAAAATCCTGTAGAACCAGAGAATTAACAAATCAAGTTGACAATAGCAGTTAGTGCCGTCATCTATCACAATCACCAAATCAATATAAGAAATACTAAATTATTTAAAAAGGTTTTTCAAACTACAAATAAAAAAGAATCGCTGAAGCATTCCACATTATGTTAAATCTTAATGCACAGAACAGAGAACGGAAGGCCTAACTAACACCACATACAATGATCAGAACAAAAGTACATACACACAAAGAAACCAAATTTATCATCCATAGTATTGTTCTTGCACTTTCTCACAAAGTCACATGTGCAGTATACACATCAACTTGACGTCTTGACTAATAATGGATAACAAAGTTAAGTTTGAACGCATCCTGACTAACATAACGATATTTATGTTCATATTATTATCATGTATAGACAATGTGATCTAATTCGTTACCCATTTACTATTTAAAAAATAGATAACTTGTACAGGTTTTATTCTCTGAAAAAAACGATTTCCACAAAGCCATAAAACATTAGAAATCTACTCTTGTACTTCCTTAGGATTTAATAAATAAATTTCAAGAATTTGAGACAATTAGTTCCTTTTATGAATTTGGATCATGTAATTAGAAGATGTAGATTATCTGAAAAATGTGATATATTTGCGCTATACATCATTTCGAACAATCTGATCACACATTTACTTGTCAAGGCATTATATATGAAAACTGGAAGTGGGGGAAGGACAAATATAACATGAAGGAATTCAATAATAGAAAGATAATGAAAGGAGAAAAAGAGATAAGATTTGAAGACAACCTTGGTAATACAATAAAATAAGCATTACCAAGGTAGGTTTAACGTAAGGATAAACTGTTTTTGTACACACAATAGGGGATTTAATTTATTTATGGCTAGCGCCTTAAGTATACGTCCCTGACAGTTTCTATACAAAATCATAAAAGCTGTTTTAATATCAATCCTGTGACTCTTATCAATGATATGTTTTGCAGTGGATGCGGATGATGGTTGTCTGCCATCTGCGCTTATCGACGTTTGTGAATCCAGCTACTTTTGTAGCCATTTTGGTACATGTTCCCCTACCTCAAGTACATAGCACAATTAGTCCTCCCTATGTATTTCTGTCCATACATATATGTAAATTTATAAGCGCATTGGGATGTGACGCAGTCGTTTATACAGTGTTGAGGTCTAGGTTGCAGCAGGTGTTTGGTCTTCTCAACTGCGATAAGCTTATATAGTGATAAATGATAGTGGCTAACAGTGGAATCCAGGATGTGCATTTGGTCCTATTTGGGAGCACTGGACAGCTGTTTCGTCCTAGTATGGGTTGTGGGTGCGTACTGCTTAGGAGTTCATACTAGGACGAAACAGCTGTCCAGTGCTCCCAAATTTTCAGTGGTTCCCCAACTGATGTCAGTCCATGATGAATACTACTTCTAAATTAAAAATCCCAACTCATCTCAAAATACATTACTCTATAGTGGTCATTAATGACTTGCTTCCAGATGGATGTCAGGAACTTCTAGTGAGAAGCCGTGACCTGTGGGTCAACCAGTCGGAAGTGAAATGGATGCTAAATGAAGACCTTGGGTGACAGTCGCGCTATGTCGTGAATTGACCGAAGTTGGAAATTGTGAACCACCGGAAACCAACTCAGTGGCTAATGGTTAACCCGTTTGCCATGAAGCCTGAAGGTCCCGGGTTCGACCCCCAGCCGGGTCGTGGGTACGTACTGCTTAGGGGTCCCATACTAGGACGAAACAGCTGTCCAGTGCTCCCAGACTTTCATTGGTTCCCCAACTGATGTCAGTCCATGATGAATACTACTTCTAGATAAAAATTCCCACTCATCTCAAGAATTCCTTCATGTTATATTTGTCCTTCCCCCACTTCCAGTTTTCATATATAATGCCTTGACAAGTAAATGTGTGATCAGATTGTTCGAAATGATGTATAGCGCAAATATATCACATTTTTCAGATAATCTACACCTTCTAATTACATGATCCGAATACATTTCATTTATAGTCTTTCTACCGAATACTCAATGAACTATATCACGTCAAATTTTGATCCTGAAGTTTACAAGATTTAAGTAAGATAACGAATCTAGAGTAAGGCTCTGTTGTAACCCTGCCCACAACCACACAATAGGATGAGATAGAGTGATTATCCTTAAAACTAATTCAGATGGACTGAGGGGAGAGATTGATGACTGAATCAGCACCAAATGCATGCAATAGGAAAGATTTTGCCCATATCCCAGATATATGGAAAATTCTAGTGTCCTTATCATAAAGGAGGAGAGAGAATTATAACTATATGAAACATATCTCAAAGTTGTGGAGTTACCTAGTATGAATATGGAAAGTAAATTGTGTCCGAAACATTATGCAGCAAAGTTTACTGTTTCATTGTGTGAAATATATAAAAAAAACAGACTAAAATAGGATTTCATCTATTTACATTTATTAACTGCATACCTTGTATGGTCAGCTCAAAATAAAGTTCATTCATTCACAGTTTGTTTGGTTATAATTAACCAAAGAAGATATTGCGACTAAACAGTTGTCTATTTGTAGACAATATATATTCCACCTTACTAGTTATGATTTATGTCGACGTTATTTGTCAACAGTATTTTTAATCAGATGAACAGTTCATGTTTTTAGTAGCAAGCGTTTTACACAACGTTTCAAAATGTTTAGTAAGAGATGTAAAGTTTGTAAAATCAATCGTGTCAACTGAATGATTATACCTAGTTGCAGAACCATACTACTAAAAATGTTGCTTTGAGTTAATTTGAAGATAGCTGCTATTTAAAAACAAACTGATTTTTCTCTTCATTTAGTGTTACTACTCATAGCAGTATATAGTCTCTACATTGATCATAAATTCTAGGTATTGACTTATCTGTAAAAATATTTTTTTCTGCATTTTCCTTCTATTCATATTTAACAGCATGCTTTATTTATATGTTCGCATTATGGAAATGGATTGATAACTAAAACAATACACCAGTTCATCTATCATGTACCCAAAGTATGGGACGACGAGGTTCATCTGATAGTTCCACGGATTCGTGAGGCACACATTCAACTCAAAAGTCAGTTTAATCTTCATCACCAACTTCTCATTATGCAACGAAAATAATTAACACTTTATGTCTTTTTGACATACAAATCCATTTTCCTCCCAGTTAATCAATATAGTGCTTATATTTGGATTTTCCTATCCTAGAATTAACAGAGCAGAATCGACTCGCATCTGTCGATAATCATATTGGCTGCATCTGTGTATGAAAGACTTGTTATTATTGTTGTTCAAATATTAACAGCATTTGGTAATGGTTAAATAGTGAATCTATGATACTGGTGTTCTCCTATTTTCAGCTTATCAGCTGCATATGCGTAGACTTCAATGAAGGTTCATAGTCCTGAATAGTGACTGAATTCTTTCGACCATTTAGTAATGTGGGCACCAACTTAGGTGACTGACTATTAAAGTGCTAACATGCAAGAAAACTTGGTTGACGATTTCCTGACGATTACCTCCAACCAACTAACACCCGTCCAAACGTACCAAGATGGTGAGCCTTCTAGCTTGGTGGCCACACTGCAAAATGATCGAAAGAATTTCTATCAGCACTTAGGACTAGACAAGATGAAGTTAACTACTCTCCAGTGATCAGCTTATGTCCCTAGTCCAGTACTGCAAAGGTCAGTCGGTTCCCGAATATCTCAGTAGTAACTGCAAAGCTGGGTGCCGTGGGTTTGAATCTCAAGAGTACATTAGTGCATTCGAGGTTGTAGATACACCATGCTGACGAGTGCCAACAAGCATGAAACCTAATTCCAGGGCTTCTTACTGACTTCCTTAAATCAACTAAGTAAACTTTTTATATAAAGATGGCTATCCTGATAAATGTGTAAGGACTATTACGACAAAAACAGTTGGATAAAGGTGTCTTCAGATGGTACCTAGGAAACGATTATGTATAACTTTAGCGTTCGAAAAGATATTGTTGCGGAAACGCTGATATCGCAACTCAGAAATCCGATAAAAAAAACTAACCTTGCTACCACACTACATTTGAAATTTACTACTAGCTATATGATGTCAATGCAGCGGAAGGATTGACTACCGAATTTGTCTTCATCTATGTACATTTATAGCTTTAAATTCTCCTTTAGGGATAGTTCGATAAATAGAACGACTTGATAAGCCCATCATTTCTTCAATGGATACTGTTCAGTGTGACTGGACAAAGGAATAGTGAAATTAATCAAAAGTACACTATTCATTCATCTGGTAAATACTGAGCATTTACTATTCTTTCCAAAGTGCCATCACAACACTCTAAGTTTCTACACCTCCGATTGTTAAGCATCGCTGAAGTCATAAGAATAAACTAATGCATAACTAATTTGTGTTTGCACAAGATGGTAGTTCGTTCCCAATCCTTCCCATGACTTTCAACTTCATTAGCATTATCGTTACACTCTGTCTTAATTTCAACTTCATATTTTACTCTCACTTTTATAATGAATTAAGAACTATAAAATTTTATTATTTAATTTCTGGGCCACAATTATATTATTTGCTTCTATCTCAAGGAACGATGTCTTACTTAGCGAAGACTTGAAATGCTTGTAACCGTCGAAGAACATAGAAAATGTGCTATACATGTTTACTCAGCGACTAGTAATACCAAAGTGCACATTGTTTCATCAGGATTCATCTGAGTTGGCACCTCACATGAAAATAGAAATAAAATGACTAACATCATTCAACATATAAATTACATGAGAGATATTATCACTCCCAGAGGCTTGCTCAATGACAAAATCTCTGCACAGATGAAAATGGATTCAAATATTCCATCACCATCTAATTCACAAAACTGATTCTGCATGGTGATGCAACCAAGTAATTTACTCAACGGTTAAACATAGAGTTTGAAACAGAAGAAGTCAGTTGGTTGATGGTGACGTTTTCGACCATCATCTATTGATGCCATGTTGGCATGTATCATGCATGTCTAGTCAACATCTACCCTATCTACCGATGTTAATTGAAGTAGGATTCGTTTGGGGAAGGGATCATTGTGACCAGACTGAGATGTGTTCTCAGGTCGTGGAGTCATTGATTTTTCCATCTGAACTATCATCATGTCGATGTGACAATTGAAGTGGACATTTAAAGGATGAGTGATGATGTGGTTGAGAATGAATCTGATTAGTGCATACGCCTTCATAGATTATCTTCATACTGATTTTCATAATACATTTCGTTGATTGTTTTCTGCTCTCTTTTCTTCTTGACTTCTTCTGGTTTTCTGAATCTTTCGATGAGATTATCATTTCTTATTCCAATGTGTTTTTTATGTTGGTGCCTTCAACGTTTTAGTAGTGATGTGGAATTTGGCGACTCAAACCACTGTGCATTGATGCTATGTTGTATGCCGATATTAACTGACTAACATATTGTCTGCGTAACAATTACGACTGTGAACGTTACTTACTTCGTTATTCTCCCTGTTTTTAACCCAACCTATATGAAAACGTAGATAGCGGTGAAAAAAGTCTCTTAAGTCTATTCAATTCCCGAGGTTTGTAGGGATTTTATTTATTTCAATTTGATATTCATCATGGACTGACATCACCTGGGGAGCAGGAAAAAACCTGGAAGGGAACCCCTCAGCAATGGGTACCCACGATCCCCAGAGATAGAACCATGGATCTTTTCAATGAATAAACCTTACCTTTTGCATGACTGATTTTTTTTACAAGATCTGTCAAATCCACTACTGAGAAGAAGAAATATGAGAAGCCATGAGATGCATGTAAGAAACACATGGTTTTTAATTATATTATCCTACAAATATTTTATCTCAGTATAGTTATATTCAATCATTTTTCTAAATATTGTTCTCAGTATAACCTGATTCTAATTTGATTATAATAATCACTGACTAGGTATTTTATTCAAGTCAGTAATTTGTCTTATTGGCTGTATTCAGTTTTTATGAGAAATGGGATAGTTGTGTTTGTTTATCAGATATGGAGTTTCGAGTCTAATGGTACTGGATAAATCTTTTGATTTCCTCTTCGTTATCTACCAGGATTTGCATAATCTACTTTCTAGATCTTTTACGGAAGTAAAGACGACTGAAAGCTTTTCGTCTCATTTGAGATTTATCAGCTGGATTTACCTCTGAGTGATGATAATCGTTCTGAACTTGGACGCAGTATCCATTGCTTCGATCACTAGAGATCGTTAGAATTTCATTGGAAGTATTACTAGTAACTGGGATGCCTGCGTATCTAGCTGATGCTTCCCAAATAGGCAGAAACATGCGTTCTGTATTCCACTGCTAACCACTACCAAGAAAACAATATGAAAATCGGATTTGAGGCAGAATGTAAGCAACCATTGAAGGAGCTTTTAAGCCAACAAACGCTCATTTATTCTACTCAGGATAACAATCTAGAGGAAATTACGAGCATCACTGAAGTCTTTGTCATTATTAAGGATGGATATTGTGACTATGTCAATCGAATGATTGACATTCAATTGCCGAGTTGATAGCGAGGTGATTATTTCAGTCACTTCATTAATGTCGACATGGGATATGATAGTGTTGCGTTGTTGTGGCAGCTTGCCACACTTCACATCAGGATACATGGATGTAAAATGAAAGACAGAGAAATAGGGTCATAGAATGTCAGATGAAGCTGTAGAAAGTTATAATAAGTGAAGAAGATGAAGTTCACTGAAAAGGTGTAAGAAAAGCAACATCAATTTCTTTTCGTTTGTGTTTGCAACTGATATTTTAGCTTGTTCTATTTGGAGTAGAAAAACAGTTGCACTGAAGAAAAGTATCCGTTCATAGTGTTGTACACTTTGGAATCTAAAAAACAAAGGGTAAAATGTTTTAGATGACTTCTTTGTCAGAACTAGAGTTATAGCGGAAGAATAAAAATAGGTTAAGAAGAGAAAAATTGCCTAGATTAAGAAACGCTTGTAGATGTAGGAATTTGATTGTTCAAATAATTTTTCTCGAAAAAACGATTGATAATTGACACTGTCCTGCCTTAAGTCTGACTTGTTGAGATGGATATGAATATACGATTTGAAAGCATCTTTTATTCAACCAAACAGATAGATAAAGTGGAATTTTGTAGAGAAGTGTGTCACTCTAACTTGTGCTATACTTCACAGCATCATACAAAGAAGAAGTGGATAGAAAACAAATGACATTGAAGTAGAAAGTAGTGGTATTTGAGTGGAAATGGACCAGGTGAACGAAGGTCAGTCAAAATATTTAGAATTTCAAAGAAGATTGAAGTGCATGGACCGATTTTAAATCTTGTCAATGGAAGCTCCCAACTACTGGTCCCAAAAATCTAGAAGAGGCTTACATCATGATCTGGTCACCTTTTGCTTTCCTTTAAGCTAATCCTGCTTTGAAAGTCTACGTAGACATCGAATGTGCATTGAATCACATCCATTAGTAATCTGTAACAAAGTTAAATAAGAATGGTCAAAGATGATGGAAGTGATGGCCCTATCAGTCAGAGTTAACTCTGATGACACCTCTCCATAGCCCTATCTTAGTTGCATATGGTAAGAAGCCTTGATTAGCATGGTATTATCCTTGGCACTGCTCCCAAAGTCATACACTGTCATAATACATGTGTTTCAAAGAAGGTGAATCCTACCATCACATCAAGAAATATGACAAGCGCTGAGTGCCAGTAATTATGTATGTAATCCAAAACCCATCGACGGATCAAGATCTTATTGACACACCTTTATTCAATCCTAAACCCTGTCAAATTTCGTCAAATTTGCTTTTCTCAATCTCCAGTTATCAGTCATATCGCTATGAATCCTAATATATTCAGCTTGTTGTCAGTCAAGTTGATTCCACTGTGGTTGTCACAGGAAACATTTTCTTATTTCTTTAAATCGAACTATACAGGACTCATGAGATTGCTCTTGATTTCTGCACCGCAGTTACTTTTGTCAGTAAATTTCTGCCTCCATCCTAATAAACCTCTCATGACAAACTGTCAGGTACTGCTTCTTTTCTTTGCTTAGATGCCAAATGGTGACTGACTAATTCTATCTGGCTGAATTACTTAGTCAGAATTCGTTTAGATTTGACTCGTTTGGATAAAGATATGACAGCTGTATCACTTCAATTTGGTTGGAAGGACAGAATTGAATCTTTTAGACTAAAATGTCAGTCTAACTTCAAATGAACAAGGCGTAGCAACCTAAGCAAGTTTCGTACTTTACTTGATTTTATCTACACCAGATAGACTTTTGTTAAGACCAACTTGGACAGAGTCAGGCGATGTGGTCTGTTGTTTCTGTAATCATAATTAGAAGTGAATAGAAACCTAAGTTACTGTTCGATTTCAAAAAGTAGCTCAACACTTATCTATGTACTGTCTTCCTAACGAGTGACTTTAAAGGCCACCCTAGCTACGACTGAAATAACCAGTTATGCTTTTTTATTGTGGTTGGAGAGGTAGATCTTCATAAAATGAAGAAACTTGATTGGTTATTTCAACTATTGCTAAGGTGGTCTTTAAATTTCCTAGAAAAATCTACCGAAATGGTGCTACACCCAAATGACCTTGAAATGACTAATCAAAATGCAGAGGTTATTTTACTGAATATAATTTACAAAAAACTAAGTTGGTATGACTTCTGAAAAAATGCAACTCACTGTAGAGAAGATCCGATCAAATTTTGACAGAATAAAAGTTCTGCAATGTCTGGTAAATACTTGTGAACAGCAGACTGGTATTTGAAACATCGCCGAAGTGTAGCACAGTTCTGGTACGACTTACTGAGCCAACCATTAAAATTCGGCAATATTAAGATAACATATATATAGATGAAGAATGTAATGGTAAAAGAAAAGATAAGAAATAAGGAAGATAGGAGTAGTGTTCAATTTATTAGAAGCCAAGGGAGGAATAACGCCTGAAGGTGCTCTTGCTGAATGCATAGTTCAAGTTTGATCGAGATTATTGTGACAGCCTTAGATATGTTGACCAGGTGTTGGTAAGCCGCGAATGATATTGTTTTTGGTACACAAAGTATGACATTAAAAGCTTTATTATTATGACACTCTTCCATCAGTGTGACATTTCTAATAAACAGACTAAAAGGGAATTACAATCTACTACAGTGCCCAAGTTTTACTCCTATATTAATAAAAGCTTACCAGTATCTATGTGATGTCCTATGCTTACTAGGTGTGGTAGGACAGGACTTTTCTCCACTTTTACTTCACCCTTTTCGAACCAAGCCGTTAAATGTTCTCCTACTCGGAGATACTACTGCATATTTGTATGTCCTATTTAATTTGTTCCATAGAAACAGTTAAACTGATACATGTAACATGGGACGATAAGATTAGGTAGGGTATACCTAAGAATGCCTTAGAATGTGCATTGACCCAATGCTGAAAGATATGTAAAAACGACCTGCATAAAACGTCCTATTAACTGCTGTAGTTAACCTTTTTGGTAGGATGTAACCAAAGGAAGAAAGGCTCCCTCTTCACTGTTGTCAACTTTCGTTTTAGAATTACGGACGAAATTTTCAGGATATGACAGCAAGGTTCAACTCAAAAGGAAGGAAGGTCACAATCATACAATGCTACGCTATGCACCTACAAATAATGCAGAGCAAGAGAAAAAGGGGAAATTTTACAATCAGCTGCAATCAGCACTGGACTAGACACCACCCCAGTTGGCGAAATAAAAATTCTAATGGGTGGGGTGGGGTGACATGAATGCCAAACTGGAAGCGGAAAACACAGGAAGAGAACTAACCATGGGTCGAGAAGCGCTAGGTGAGGTGATGAACGAGAATGGAGAATTGTTTGCAGAATTCTGTGCATTCAATGATTTGGTGATTGGAGGCAGTGTGTTCAAGCACAAGGATATCCACAAAGCGAGCAACATGGATTTCACCAGATGGACACACAAAAATCAAATCGACTTCATCTCAACCTCAAGAAAGTGGAGACGCAGCCTACTTGACACAAGGTCAAGAAGAGGAGCAGATCTAGATTCACATCACTCACTATCTAATGCAAGGAACCTTCCGAATCAAGTTAAAAGCCTTCAAGGAAGTTGGTGATAGACCGCAGTTCAAGTACAACACTCGGAAACTGGAGGACAAAACTACAAAGGAAATCTTCACAGCAGCCAGCCATTAAGACAAAATGGGAGATATCGAGCAAAATCCCTGAAGAAACCTGTGTGGAAGAACACTGGAAGTCTTTGAAAGCTATGTGGAAAGAAACCTGCACAACAGTATTAGGAAGGAAGAAGAAAGAAGATAAAGAATGGATCTCGATGGATATATGGAAGCTGATAGAGGAGAGGAGGATGGTGAAGCAGAAGATAAACCAGTGCAAGGACGCTCAACGACAAGAGGAACTGAGCCCAATGTATAAAACACTGAACAAAGAAGTGAAGAAGAGTGCACGCAAAGACAAAAGACACTTCTACGAAACACTGGCAAGTGAAGCAGAACAGGCTGCAGGTAGCAGAGGCAGAGATCTGACAACATTGTATCAAATAACCAGGTTGCTATCAGGGAAGAGACCAACACAGATGAAACCAATAAAAGATGAAGAAGGAAATTTAATTACGAAAGAAGAGAAACAGAGGAAACAATGGGCCGACCACTTCAAGAAGCTCTTGAATCGACCACCACCACCACCTGCACTTCGTCCAGAAATACCACCACCAGCCCAGCCACAGAACTACAAGTGAACATAAATCCTCCAACAAAAATGGAATTCCTGAAGGCCGTAAAGCTACTGAAATGTGGGAAAGCAGCAGGACCACATGGAATCCTGCCAGAAGCACTGAGAGCAGACGCAGAGACAACAGAGGACATGCTCACACCACTATTGCAGAAGGTCTGGAAGGAAGGGAAGGTACCTGCAGATTGGAAGGGTTATCTTGTCAAACTCCCGAAGAAGGGTGACCTGAGTATCTGCAAGAACTGGCGCGCAATCGGGCTCCTGCCCACCCCAAGCAAAATATCAGGCCGCATCATCCTGGTGGGACTAAAGGACGCGCTGGATTCACAACTGCGACAGGAACAGGCAGGCTTCAGTAAGTACACGTCATGTGCGGACCGAATTGCAACGCTTCGCATCATCATAGAACAGAGTATAGAATAAAAGTCACCTTAACTTATCAATTTTGAAAAGGCCTTTAACAGAGTCGACTAACAAGTAATTCGGAAACAGCTTCAATACTACGGAATACCGCAAACCTTTACCAGCCTCATTCAACAACTATATGAAGACGCCACATACCAGCCAAGTAATTCACAATGGGAAGCTCAGTGATGCTTTTGAAGTGAAGACGGGAGTAAAACAAGGTTGCCTACTATCACCCATGATATTCCTGATTGTGGTCGACTGGATCATGCAGCAAACCGTAAGGAGCGAGAAGATGGGCATACGCTGTTTGACAGATGAAAAGAGCCTAGAAGAAGATTTGGATTTCGCCAATGATGATGATGATGATGATGATGATGATGATGATGATGATGATGATGATGATGATGATGATGATGATAACTATTTATATCTGATGTCGCATAAACTAGAAGATCTACAGGCGAAAACCAACAAGTTGACAGAAGAGGCAGGGCAGCGAAGACAGGACTTCAAGTGAATTTAGAGAAGATAGAGGTGGTGAAGATACCCTGCCAACAACGTAAACAACAACAAACTTCAATCACCATCAACGGGAGAACCTTGAAGGAAGTAGCCTCCTACACCTATCTAGGCAGCACTGTTTCAACTACAGGCGGCACGGACGGGGATGTCAAATTTAGAATCAGAAAAGCAAGACAGGCGTTCATTAGCCTGAAACCAGTGTGGTGGTCTTCTGCACTCAGAATGTGGAACAAGATGCGGATTTTCAACACTAATCCAGTCAAGTCAGTGCTTCTATGTGATGGTTCAGAGACTTAGTGCGTTACGAAAGGGATTTCTAACAAACTACAAACATTGATCAACAACTGCTTACGCTCAATACTGAAGATCAGATAGCCAGAATAATAAGAATAAGCAACGAGGAACTCTGGGAACGAACCAACCAAGAACCTATCGCTCAACAAATATTCAGGAGGAAGTGAAGATGGATTGGGCATACACTGAGAAGGCCGACTGGGGACATAACGCGTCAGGCCAGTTGCTCGAGTGGAACCCAGATGGGAAGCGACGAGTTGGGCGTCCGTGCAGGGTGACATGGAGGAGATCGTGCGAGAAGGAAACGAGAGGTTGTGGGCTATTGTGGAGCCAGGTTCAAAAGATTTCAGAGGACAGAGTGGAATGGAGACGTGCTACTGAAGCCCTATGTTCCATTAGGAACCCAAGGGATAAATAATAATAATAATAATAAATTTCCAGGATATCAGTTTTCACTTCGAGTACCACGGATATACAGTAGCTCTTTCTCCAAATTCTTTGTCTAATTCATATTTTTTCCGTTTTTCTTTTCTCTTCTGTAATTACTAGTATTATCCATATTTACAAAAGGAAAATGATGATATCTTAAAACAATATCTTATGAATTCATTAAAACAAATTTTCAACGGGATAAAATGCTTCATTGAAACATTGAACAGTACATCAGATTCATCAGGTATGTAGTCAATATTATTATTTTTCCTTTGGGTTCCTAGTGGAAAATAAGGCTTCAGTAGCACGCCTCCATTCCATTGTCTTCTCTGAAGTCTTTTCAACCTGGTGACACAACTGCCCAAAAGCTCTCATTTCTTCCTCATACCATCTCCTTCATGTCACCCTCGCCACGGACGCCCAACTCGTTGTTTCCCACACGGGTTCAACTCGAGGACCTGGCCTGACTTATGATGTCTCCAAACGGTCTTCTCAGTGTATCCCCAATCTATCTCCACTTCCTTCTACATATTTGTTGGGTGACAGGTTCATGTATGGTTCGTCGCCAGGCCAGCCAGAATTTCTTCATGCTTATTCTTATTATTCTGGCCAGCTGATCTTCAGTATTGAGTCAGTGTAGGTGGCAGCTGATGATGAATATCTGTAGTTTGTTGAAAATGCTTTTCGTAACACACCAAGTCTCTCAACCAACACAAAGAAGCACTGACCTGACTGACATTGGTGTTGAAAATCCGGATCTGGTTCACGCTTTATGCTGAGTGGAGTGGAGTGGAGTGCAGTGCAGTGCAGTAGATCTCCACACTGATTTCAGATTAATGAAGGCCAGTCTTGATGTCTTTCCCATTCTGGTTTTGACATCCTCATTTGTGCCACCGCCTCTAGTTGAAACGATGCTGCATAGGAAGGCAGGTAGTTGAAAGAGACTACTTTCTTTAAGTTTCTCCTGTTGATGGTGATTGAAGTTTGTTGTTGTTTACGTTGTTGGCAGGGTATCTTCACCACCTCTATCTTCTCTAAATTCACTTGAAGTCCTGTCTTCGCTGCCCTGCCTCTTCTGTCAACTTGTTGGTTTTCGCCTGTAGATCTTCTAGTTTATGCGACATCAGATATAAATAGTTATATCATCATCATCATCATCATCATCATCATCATCATCATCATCATCATCATCATCATCATCATCATCATCATCATCATCATCATCATCATCATCATCATCATCATCATCATCATCATCATCATTGGCGAAATCCAAATCTTCTTCTAGGCTCTTTTCATCTGTCAAACAGCGTATGCCCATCTTCTCGCTCCTTACGGTTTGCTGCATGATCCAGTCGACCACAATCAGGAATATCATGGGTGATAGTAGGCAACCTTGTTTTACTCCCGTCTTCACTTCAAAAGCATCACTGAGCTTCCCATTGTGAATTACTTGGCTGGTATGTGGCGTCTTCATATAGTTGTTGAATGAGGCTGGTAAAGGTTTGCGGTATTCCGTAGTATTGAAGCTGTTTCCGAATTACTTGTTAGTCGACTCTGTTAAAGGCCTTTTCAAAGTCGATGAAGTTGAGGTGAGGTTTAATGATGATGATGATGTGAGTCAACATGCAAAAGATAGTTGACAATTTTTTTAATAATGATCATCATGTTAAAACTTGTACAAAATTTCCATTGTCATTGAATATCGTTTGTAATTTTTCCATATTTGATGCATATTTTAAGATGTTTGAAATCGGGATAAGTTAAATATTGCGAAATAGTGTATGAATTCATACAGAAGATTGTTTTATGGGGTTCTACGCTAAGATGTAGGCGACTGACAATCAAACCTGTAGTCATCAAATTATCACACCGATAAAAAGTGACACACTATAGTTATCTGCTATTTTGTTTTGGACTAGTAATGAACTAAATGACTTTCGTACTACTTATTCACATACTTGGAATTCTCCGTTGTTTTATTGGATCGAATTGTTCGACCTCTATTTGCATGTGGCTTCATATGTGGATGCCTCGATACTGCCTGAATGTTAATTAAGGTAATTTGATTAGAGAATTCCAAGTATTTCAATAAATAGTAATAACTAATACCCGTTGTACAAGAAGTGGCTATCGTTCCTCCGCGGCATGGTGGATAACGCTTTGGCGTTTGAAGCGATGGGTACGAGGTCCAAGTCTCTGTGGGAACAACATCACTCACTAAGGTTCAGGGACATCCAGCTGACGAGTCCCAAGCAGGATGAAACGCGCATCCTGGATTCTTCTGCTAGCCATAACCAATTAAATTACCTTGAATGACTTAAGTTCTGGTCTTAACTGAAGTGACACGAAAAGCCACCATAAAATAACTGAAATAACCAATTAGGTTTCTCGATTTTTTGTAAAATGACTACCCTCCTGGCCGAAAGCAAGCGCTCTAATTAGTTCTATCTTAGACGGATGTCACAGTGAAAATACTAGTAAGTTACACAGTTTTCTGGACATAACGAATGATTACTTGAAACTGTTGAGAAGCGACCGTCAAATCAAAAATGAAAATGCTTATTTCAGGATTCGTCTGAGTTGGCACCTCACATGAAAATAGAAAATAAAATGACTCACATCATTCAACATATAAATTACATGAGAGATATTATCACTCCCAGAGGCTTGCTCAATGACAAAATCTCTGCACAGATGAAAATGGATTCAAATATTCCATCACCATCTAATTCACAAAACTGATTCTGCATGGTGATGCAATCAAGTAATTTACTCAACGGTTAAACATAGAGTTTGAAACAGAAGAAGTCAATTGGTTGATGGTGACGTTTTCGACCATCATCTATTGATGCCATGTTGGCATGTATCATGCATGTCTAGTCAACATCTACCCTATCTACCGATGTTAATTGAAGTAGGATTCGTTTGGGGAAGGGATCATTGTGACCAGACTGAGATGTGTTCTCAGGTCATGGAGTCATTGATTTTCCATCTGAACTATCATCATGTCGATGTGACAATTGAAGTGGACATTTAAAGGATGAGTGATGATGTGGTTGAGAATGAATCTGATTAGTGCATACGCCTTCATAGATTATCTTCATACTGATTTTCATAATACATTTCGTTGATTGTTTTCTGCTCTCTTCTCTCCTTGACTTCTTCTGGTTTTCTGAATCTTTCGATGAGATTATCATTTCTTATTCCAATATGTTTTTTATGTTGGTGCCTTCAACGTTTTAGTAGTGATGTGGAATTTGGCAACTCAAACCACTGTGCATTGTTCTCATCTGCTTTATTGAAACTAACCTAGATTAGGCTACTGATAAATAGCCGTTCTTCTAATGGTTTGTGTTAGTTTTGTCATAATTGTTCATTGAACAACATTCCTATCCGCTAAATGAAGTAACAGTTAAGTAGTACAATAACCAGTGATGTCCTTTTAAGAAAATTGGTTAGTTATCTGCGAAATTGTTATTCATAAAAAATGAAATTACAAGTTGTTTCTCGATTTATTATCTGAGACAAACGTGTTTAAAATATACTGAATATAAGTAGGATTTATACGAGAATTTACATATATAGGATTTCATTTGCGTTCGTTTCATCTAGTCACCATCAACTTAAGACCTGGCAATAATTAATACCGTTTTAATTCGCTTACGGTACATCAACGCTTCAATATAGAACAGACCTAGATGAAAGTTAAAGAACTAGGAGAATGTAGGAAGTTAATAAGAAGAGAAGAGGGAGATAGGATAAATCAAATAACGAGATGTGGTATACCGATTTAGATGGTGTGTGGATGAATCATTGGCATAACACCTAGAGTCTCCAACAACGAAGTTCTGTTCTCACGTGAACCAGAAAGTTTGGATTTGCTTAAACAGTTCATACTAACACTATTAGATGCATGATAGACTGATGACAGGTTTTAGTTTGACTACTATCAACCTTTTTCTAGCCTGAACTCACCTCAGCTACCTTAGTCCAACAGGATAAATAATGCATTATATATATATATATATATATATATATATATATATATATGCATTACATACGTCACCAGCACCTGAATAAATGATGGTTCACCAATGCATCAACTGACCCACCTCTTTAACATCACATTCTATGCTCAACCTCTAGATTACTCCTTTTCGGCTTCATAACACACAGTGAAAGTGATGACAGTCTGGAACATTGAACCTTCTCATATCATTCATATCTGATAACCATTGTTCACTGTTGTAGATTAGGAAACACCAAATAGTTGCACTGTGCTCTCGAGTCATGTGTCACCATAAATGAAACATGTTGAATTGAATAAACAAGATGAAGACCACCAAATATAAACACACTTTGCCTCCATTCATTGTTCGACATTATCTACACCATCACCGTATATATGGTATGATTTAACTATTGTTAAACGTCATTGTGATAATATATGCGAAATCTTTTGCTTAAATTCATAGGTATACTTGAAATCCATGAAAAAATTAAAAGGGCAGTTAGATAACCTCAAGGTTTTCAAGTAAATATTTTGGTCATGTGCGTATGCATCTGACTAGATGATAAAGGAAAATAGATGGTAAATTGAGAAATTGAGGTTACCTGTGTATATATCAACATGGCTGAATTTTGTACATAATTTCGTAAAGTTAAACATACCTTTCATCGTTTTACCACCTTTGTTGTTCTGGAAGAAGTTAAACGACAAACGAAGTAAGAGTCGAGAGTTTTCACGGAGGTGGTAGTTTTTACTGGTGAATATACATCTTCTATATCAACTTAGTTAAACAGCGAGGATTACGACTTTGTAAAAAAAAAAACCCTTGGAAAAAACATAAATTTCAAGAATGTTACAAGTCGAGAAGCATGAAAACTAGGTAGAGGAGAGTTTTGTTTCTATGGATGCCTAACATCCTACAGCAAAATACAGTGCAACACAGTGCTGTATCACTTAGCCTAATCACTACACCTTGGTTAGCACTAAACACTCAAGAGTATGCAACTATATCAGCTACTTCTTGGAGATCGGAATCCGTACACAGCCCAGCCTAACAGCAGTCACTAACTTAAGCATTGCGTGACATATTTTTGAACCACTATGATTCCACATACCTAATGTTGATGAATCCTAACAAGTACGAAACTTTCATCAAGTAAAGTTTCTTGATAATTGACTCCTAACATACAAATTCATACTGATGACTAATGTAGATAAAAATGAACCGTTTGAGATTGTGTTGAAATCATCAACAGATATTCATTGCAACACTGAATGATAGCGTTTTTTAGACAGAAGATTTAACGCTTTCATTTTATTTTCTTATGTTTAGATAATTATAGAATCAATAAATATTCTACAGAGTATTTTTTCAGTTTCAAATTAAAATTTCCACAAGATGTGGTAAGCTGAAAATTTCAGTTTATTAAATTATTTCACATTGCACATTTAATGTTTAAAGAAAGAGAATTGTCTCCTTTACTAATTGGAAGGATGATGAATTCAACTATGTAATGACCAAAAAAGGAGTACGCTAACGATATTAGCATGTCGAGACGATTGAACTGGGTACAAAAAAGTGATTGTCCCACCTCTGTATCATATACTGAGCGACGGAAATCAGAAGGCAAAGACCGGCATGTAATTGTAAGGAAGACACTTTTATAATCGACAAAAATGCATCATTTATATACAGTTTTCATAAATAAACTAAGTAGGGAAGAGTTAAACAGCTTATTCTGATTGGTTAACTTTTGGATAAAACTGTCCAATAAGGTTTTCCGTGACCACAGAGTGGCATGAAACAAAAATTGAAATACTGAAACTGATGGCTGCTTCCTACCAAATTACCATAATCTTCAAAGTATCATATTACTTTGTCAAACAATATGTTACTATGCTAATAGGAAATGAGACAACCAGATAGTCTTGATAAGATATTCATCGTCAAGCTTGCACACTTTCCGATATATCAATTAGGCATAGGATACTAATTACTACAGTTGTGAATCCCTTAATACCACCCAAATTTTTCTTGTCAAGTTAGTAATATGGCCATTAATCTGAGTAAAACTACGTTGCACCAATAGTATGTCTTAAAAGATGGTACAAAGTATTTGAGTAAAGTGACTACCCAGTTTACCTAGCAAGTCATATTAGCCTTTTATGTGTTAGTTGGTTTGAAGCAGTCGGAAGGAAGCCCTGTTCGACCTAGGTTTCTCCCTCGTTGGCACTCGTCAGCAAGGCATATCTTCAACCTCTACAGAATGGAACCCACGTTACCTAGTGTTGCAGTCAGAGAAGTTAGCGCCGAACTATTCTGGGCGAGATCGGACTATTGTAGAAGTGCACTACATAGATTGACTGGTCACTAGGGGGTAACCAATTTCACGCTGTCTGGTCATGAGTGCTAGCCGAATTCTATCGAAACAGGTCAAGCATGGCTCCTTGAAGACTTTCTTTAACCAGCTAACACCCGTGAAAGTTCACCGCGATGGTCAGCTTTCTACCTTTGAGGCCAATTTGATACAACCTAGAGTTTTTAATCCATTAGTCACCGTTATACAGTAATACAGTACTGTACTTCAAACAAATCCTATGTTTTGGACGTTAAGCGTTATTCGACAGTCTAGTTCATTTGTCGAAGCATAATTTGATCGTTTTGGTTACTAATTTCTAGATAGAAATCCTTACTGTTAACGTGTACAGATGAATAGTGATATTTCGATGTGACTTACTTGGTGGTGCCAGCATTGGGATTTATGACACGCGTTTCGTCTCACCTGGGACTTGTCAGTTGGAAATGTCTGCATCTAGTGAGCGATCTCGTGCCCACTGAAGACTCGACCCAGCCCCCATCGTTTCAAATGTGAAAGGGCTACTCAGTGCGTCACTGAGGTTCGAGAGCTACTTCTTGAGCAACTGTTACTATTTATTGATTATAATAATGTTCCTTTTCTTTTTCTGGATCTAACTGATTGATCTCTGTTGATGTCGGAGCTGCGATCGAGTCTCAGTAAGAAAAATCCACTCCCAGTGGTGCAGGCAAGTCCGGCTAACGAGTCTTAAATAGAACGAAACGCCCGTCCCAGATCCCACTGCTGACTACTTTCAAGCAAATTATAGCATAATGAGCAATCAGTCAATATCGAGATACCCAAACAGAAGCCCATATGATATCAGTGGTCGATCAATTCAATCCACAATAACAAAGGATGATTAGAAGTAACAATTAATAAGTGACGTTTTGTACTTAGCAACTAGGTATTCCTAAGCAATAGTGTTTCTTATTCTTTTTAATAAGACGTGTCAGTCGCTAAGTATCTTCAGTGAGATAGGTTGGGGATGATATCTATCACTGTAATCGGTTTCAGAGTAATTAAGTTAGACTTCTGGACATTTTATAGAGCAAAGTATTTCTACAACCTTTTCCAAATGCCAATCAGTAAATTCAGTAATTGGTTGAATTTCTCGGTCTGATTATTTCAAGCCTTTTCTTAGGCTGCTTACTGTCTAGCCAATATTGCAGTTTGTTCAGGTTGTGGTTTAAGCTGAGACACATATGTCAAGGAGATTATTTTTCAATCAAAACGTGATACACCATGAGTGTCATAAAAAGCATGCAATAGAACACCGAAGTATTCAGATAATGAGGCTAAGAAATATAAGATCCATTCAAAAAGACATCAGATAACTGCATCATGATGGCTAGGGATTTTGATCAAACTGTAGAGTTGAGCGACCTTTAATACTTCACACACACAAACACACATAGACATACAGATGTTAAGTGACATCATGTTGCCAATCTAGTCTCAAGTGCAGGCTGAATTCTACCGAACATTCTGTAGTGTTATCATCAGATTAGGAGGTAGGGCTATGTTATATCCATGACTTGATGGTTTGGACGATGTTCTAACTAGTAAATTTCCCCTAATTGCTACGTTCGAACTGATCCTAAAGCCACTATTGTCACACCAGCTGACTGAGGAAAAGGGTACGAAGTTAGACTGTTATCCCACACAATGCACAATTATTTGTATTCAGCGAAGTATATGGAAAGTGCTCAAGGCCTTAAAGTGAAGATGACCTAATCATCTAAATGTCAATCAATGAGAACGAAATTAGACACATGAAGTACCTTCATAAATCACTGAATACGACTCTCATTCTTTTTGACTTGGAATACGACAGGTTCATGGGTGCACTTTGACTGATACTCACTACTTCGGGGACAATCGGTAGGAAGGCATAGATCTAAATTCTACGCAGGATGTTCCTCATACCAGTAGGTAATCAATATTTTCCAGAGATCTGAACCAATATCATCCAGCATGAACATACATTTATACGTACTATTATTACACTTACCCAATGATACATTTCAATTTACTGCAAAGCAAGAACAACAAATATTGCGGGATGAATCGAATTCATGTCATATGCTCTAAATCTTCCACTTACGCACTAAATTAAAAAAAATTATGAACAGTAGCCTATTAGTCTTCAGTATAAGTCATTTGATTCATTTCAGTAGTAAACAACACCAAGTAGATCCTTTAAACCTGAACATTGAAACGTATATACTGGAACATAGATAAATGATAAAGTCCATGATCTAAACAACCAATACAGAGAACGAATCACAACAAGTCAGACTATAAAATCGTTCAGTAAACACAAAGTAAAATAAGACGTGACAGTAATACAAGAAGATGATTACAGCTGAAGGTAGTAGGAATTCTGATGGAAGGGGGAGAACAACAGAGATGGTATGCAAAGTATATGAGTTAATGGCAGATGAATGGAAAACGATATGCTAAAATACATGATAAAAATATGATGGGTTAAAGCAAACCAAAAATGATGAAAATATGAATAATGTTTGAGAATAATATGTGAGACAATAAGATGGAATAATGAAATAGAAAAATAAATTTGTAGGAAAAGAACAATTTACTAAGGCAAAGCAAGCTGAATCACAATCTCCTTTCGTACACAAGTTGACGGATTGCTGACGTTTCTGCATAATGTAGCAATCAACTATTTCTTTATCTATCGATTACCTTAAAAGTTATGTTTAAGTCGATGGCGTGACCTGTATCGAGTATACGATTGCCAATGCCGCTTGTTAGTAGCCTAAGGACACTCTCCATTCTTCCGATATGCATTCTACAGAAAGTACAGTTGAATAAATAAACACAATTATTATTAGTATTATTTTTCCCTTGAGTTCCTAGTGGAAAATAGGACTTCAGTAGCACGCCTCCATTGCACTCTATTCTTTGCAGTCTTTTCAACCTGGTTCCACGACTACCCACAAGCTTTCATTTCTTCCTCACACCATCTCCTCCATGTCACCTTCGCCACGGACGTCCAACTCGTCGTTTCCCATACGGGTTCAACTCGAGGGCCTGGCACATGATTTCCCTAATCTGTCTTCTCAGTGTATCCCCACTCCATCTCCACTTTCTTCTGCAGATTTGTTGGTTAATAGGTTCGTGGTTGGTTCGTCTCCAGGCCAGAGTTTTTGGTGCTTATTCTCATTATTCTGGTCATCTGATCTTGAGTATCGAGTGAGCGTAGGTGGCAGCTGTTGATAAATGTCTGTAGTAAATAAATACAATTAAAGCTTACAAAAATACTTGTTGTTCTTGCTTTACAAAGATTTATAAAGGGAACTAATTGCATGCAATTTCAATATTTGTTTTTTCATAAATTGATAAATATTTTAGTCAAACATAAATGGATCATCACTATACAGTATTAATTTAATACCAATAAGAAAAATTAAACAAATGGAAGATTTGTTGAGAAATTTTGAAGTGATTCAATTACAGTACGTTTACTATGTGTGTATATGTATCGATTATTTAAGTAGATATTTGCGAGATTCCAAGAAATGATCACTTACAATAATTCCTCGAGGTTTAATGATATACCTTGAAATCTATAATGGAATTTAATTCAATTTTAGTTGATTAATTAAATGTATCACACAGCGGAATAGTATTATTTACTAGATAACGTTTTGGAAACATATTTCTATCAAGATAACTCTATAACTTCGAGACATGGTTTATGTATCTCTAATAGTCTCGTCTCCTTTGTGATATAAGTAGTAGGGTTTTTCATATATACTGAACAAATGCTGATTCATTCCTGTTGCATTTATTTGGTACAGATTCTATAAACAAAGATCAGATCATCAATCTCTCTCTTTATAGTCAGTTAAGTTAGTTTTGACGACTGTCACTTTGTTTATATAATTATATGCTTAACTATGATCGAGCATTTTTCCAGATTCACTAGGTTTTCGTTCTTGGATAGTCTAATTGACTCTATTCAATTACCTTAATCTATGTATTTGACTTTACAGTCGTTACAACAGATTTGATAAATTGAAAATTATTCTACTTAGTTGGATGAGTAGGATCTTTTAACCTACAAAGCCTATTTCGAAGTGAGTTAGTCGGTTTAAATGCCACTCTAATACTAGACTTTTTGAGAATCTTACATAATGTCTCTGAGGTGCCTTTGTTTGTCAAATCAATACTAAATACATGCAAGAAGAATAATTCATCACATGTTCCGGGTAAACAGAAAATCCTACTACATATATCACAAAGGTAGAGAGAGCACTAGAACTAAAAACACCCATCTCTTAATGTTGTGGAGTGTATTGTTCGTGTTTTGCCTAAATTGTACGGCAAATTATACAAGAAAGCTTTCGGAAACCTTTCCAGAAAAGTTCAATACAGATGCTATTCACAAGAAAATATATTACGTTTGAGAAGCATGCTTATAGAAACGGACTGGGATATATTTGCTGATGAAGTTTTAGACAACACTATTACCAATATCACAAGCCATCTCAGATTCGATCTCGATATTTTCTGCCCTGCTGAAACAATTTACATGAGATTTGACAGACTTTCCTCTCTTCATCTCAAGAGGCTCCGGAGAGAAAAGGAAAGGTTGTATAAGGTGAGAGGTCATTCTGGCGTTAAAAGGCTTAACTGCCTAATTAAGTCTGAAATACAACGTCTGAATACTGTATATAACCAGAAGTTCATATCGTGTAAGAACTCTTCCAATAAACGGAAATTATTTAAAGAGTTTACTGGTAAAAACAGATGACAAAAGAAACTCGTTCGGATGTCTGTGCGTTAAACAAGTCATTTATACATCGGTAAGCTAATTTCACCCTTCCTAATGTCCCAAGTCAAGTGGATAGCTGCTATCCAGATTTTAATACAAATGATGTATTTAAATGTCTAAAGTCTTTGAATCCCTCACAAAGCTTGGTCCCGATGGTGCTTCTAGCATTATATTTAGAAAATGTGTAGATATTTGGTGTCATCCACTTACAGATATCTTCAGTGTATCGTTTTCTGAAAACATAAAACCTACTGTTTGGATGCAGATAAAAATTGTACCTGTGCCTAAGCCATCTTCTGGAACAGATGTTACCTTTCGACCCATCGCCATAACTTACCGTTTTCTGAAGACAATGGAGAAATTACTTCTCCTTCAGACATCTAAAACAGTTTGCTTACAAATACCGGTGGAGAACTTTAGATGCAGCCACTGCTTTGCATCATAATATTGTTTCTAGTCTCGACAAAGGTGTTAAGTATGTTCGTTGTGCTTTTTTGGATTACTCATCAGCCTTTGATTCTGTTCCTAGACCACTTTCGTTAAGTAAGCTTGCTATAGCTCACACTGAGACATGGGTTACAAAGTGTCTGCATTCTTATTTTTCCTGAAAGGAAACAGTACACTATCCGTAAAGTTATGCTTACTGAAGCTGGTGTGCCTCAAGGTGCTGTACTTTCTCCTTTTCTGTCTTCGTTTTTTTTGCAAGATTTGCCTTATTCTGTTGAAACTACTTTTATCAAGTATGCTTATGACCTGACGGTTTCCATTCCAGTTAACTCTCACTAAGATTGAACTGAATTAAATGAATTCTTGTCTGAAGTTGGTAAATAATCTCTCTCAAATGGTCTCAAACTAAACCCCTCTAAATGTCAGACTGTTAATTTTAGCCTCAGGCGTAAACAAGACTTATGTGAGCTGGTTAAATCTCATGACGCCTGCTGCATCAATGGTATTTCTGCAGAAAGTAAATCGAGTGTGAATTATCTTGGGTTGGGTTTTACTTCTGACCTTTGTTGGTCGTCCCATATTTTATTGAATTGTAAAAAAATCTTACGTTCTACTTATTACATAAAGAAATTGAGGCTTTCTAGTATAACTCAACTGCTTCTTTCACAACTTATTAATTCCTGCATTTTACCTATTCCTCCTCTCTGTTGTTCCCCATTAATCTTTCCTGGTCTTCTTAAAAAGGACTATGTTACGTTGCGTAGGGCTTTGAAGACCGTCAGCAGAGTGAGTGGTGTGTCTCTAGCTCAACTGATTAACATTGTAGTTGATCAACATATAAATTCCTGCAAGCTACTAGCTACAGAAATTTTAACTGACAGTGAGCATCCACTTCATTTACAGCTCTCTCCATGTATCTCCTCAGGGAGGACAAGGAGAAACTACATAAGACTGTATGCTCGTACAGCTAAGTATAAGAATTCTACTGTACCTTACCTTGCACGCATATTTTGCGGGGGAAAAAGTCTTAGAACAGAAATCACACATCAACTTTGTGACAGTTAAAAATCTCATTTCAATAATTTAACTTATAATGCAAAATTTTCTCGTTTTTAATATTTTTCACATCACTTAAATTTTTATTATAACAAAATTCGAAATGTTGTAAAGGAGCATGTGTATACAAATATTTTATTGTTGTTGCAATATATCACATGCTGAGAATTCCAAATTGTATCACAAATTGTTTGGAATAAAATGATTTATTACATTCATGTGACTATGTATGATAAGTTGTGTCCGAAACGTAATCCAGTAAATAATACTGTGTAATATATCTAATACATGAACGTAAATCGAACTGACAAGATTAACTATATGTTTGAACTTAGGTAAAGTTAAATAGATTTAGAAATAAGGAAGTCATACTTTTATGGTATAGTAGTAAAATATTCACCCTCATATTTGAAATGAACTTTTTTTCCAACCCCCGACTCAATTCCCTACTATTTATGTTTCCAAAATAACTGCAAATTAAGCGAAATCAATTGTTGTACATCACTCCGGTTTCTATGCTTAAAGTGAGTTATTTCGCTTTAGTAATTGGTGTTATGATCCAAGTACACCATCCAATTGTATTGATCTGCATGTTTTGGATGACTTTAAAGGCCGCCTTAGCAACAATCGAAAAAGCCAATTAGGTTTCTTCATTCCGGTTGAAAAAGCAAATTTTCGGAAAGTAGAGAAGTTTGATTGGTTATTTCAGTTGTTGCTAGGGTGGTCTTTAAAGTCACTCATACGACTGGGGGACTTTAAAGACCACCCCAGCAACAACTGAAATAACCAATCAAACTTCTCTCTTTTCGGAAAATTTACCTATTCAACCGGAATGAAGAAACCTAACAGGTCATTTCTATTGTTGCTAGGTTATCTTTTAAAGTCGCATACATGACTTAAGGCATCTTTAAAAGCCACCCTAGCAAAGATCAAAATGAACAATTAGGTTTCTCCACTTGCGCTGGAAAGACAAAAAGAAGTCCAGTTAGTTACTCCAGTTGTTGCTTGGGCGATTTCAAAAGTTGCCCTTGCAGTCACGGAGAAGGGTGACTTTAAAGGCAACCGTAGCAACTATTCATTTAAACAATTACGTTTTTTTATATAGTCACAAGCTAGTCTCCCAGGCGGAATATCTAAACCTGATTGGTTATCTCTGCAGTGGGCAGGGTAGCCTTTAAAGTTACTCTTTATCCTCTATTTTGTAAGGAGGTTGAGGATATGACTTAAAGGCTACCCTAACAACTGCTGGAGTAACTAATCGAGTATAACCTAGTATAAATACAACTGTACAGCTTGATAATGAAATCATTGCAAAGAAATATTTCTTTGCAGATATATGTCTTGTACTTATTCATGAATAAATGGGTATATTTTGTCGATCTGACTTTTACATTTTACGGAAAACCTACCTTCCTAGTCAAAATCGAGAAACCTGATTGACTATTCTATCTATTGCTGTAGTGCTGATATTTATAGTCACTAGGTTAGGAAGGTAAAGGTTAACAATGCGTGCCTGAATCATGTGTAAGCAGAGTGGTGGAGATAATTGACTTTAAAGCCTATTCTAATAAAAACTGAAATAACCAACTAGACTTCTCTATTTTACGAAAATCTCCCAATCCAGGTGAATTGGAAAAACCTGAGTGGTTGTTCTGATCTTTGCTAGGGTGATCTATAAATTGACTGACCCTAAAGACCAACTTAGCAACATGTGAAATAATCAATTAGAACCCTTATTTTATGAAAATCCACCTATCTAACCGAAGAACAAAAATCTAATTTGTTATTTCACTTATTATTAGGGTAGCCATTAAAATGCGGCTTAAAATTGACTGAGTAGCGAATTCGTTACGCAATCGCTGTGAGAATCAGCCACCTAGAAATTATGTAGTTGTATATATATATATATATATATATATATATATATGTTAGGTGATAGGTTCTTGGTTGGTTCTTCGACAGGCCAGAGTTTCCTGATGCTTATTCTTTTTATTCCGGCCAGCTGATCTTCAGTATTGAGTCAGTGTAGGAAGCAGCTGTTATAGCATGTCTTTAGTTTGTTGAAAATGCTTTTCGTAACACGCCAAGTCTCTCAACCAACACAAAGAAGCACTGACCTGACTGACATTGGTGTTGAAAATCCGGATCTGGTTCACGCTTTATGCTGAGTGGAGTGGAGTGGAGTGCAGTGCAGTGCAGTAGATCTCCACACTGATTTCAGATTAATGAAGGCCAGTCTTGCTGTCTTTCCCATTCTGGTTTTGACATCCTCATGTGTGCCACCGCCTCTAGTTGATACAGTGCTGCATAGGATGGCAGGTAGTTGAAAGAGACTACTTCCTTTAAGTTTCTCCTGTTGATGGTGATTAGAGCTTATTGTTGTTGTTGTCGTTGGTTTGGTATTTTCATCACCTCTGTCTTCTCTAAATTCACTTGAAGTCCTGTCTTCGCTGCCCTGCCTCTTCTGTCAACTTGTTGGTTTTCACCTGTAGATCTTCTAGTTTATGCGACATTAGACATAAATAGTTATCATCATCATCATCATCATCATCATCATCATCATCATCATCATCATCATCATCATCACCATCATCATCATCATCATCATCATCATCATCATCATCATCATCATCATCATCATCATCATCATCATCATCATCATCATCATCATCATCATCATCATCATCATCATCATCATCATCATCATCATCATCATCATCATCATCATCATCATCATCATCATCATCATCATCATCATCATCATCATCATCATCATCATCATCATCATCATCATCATCATCATCATCATCATCATCATCACCATCATCATCATCATCATCATCATCATCATCATCATCATCATCATCATCATCATCATCATCATCATCATCATCATCATCATCATCATCATCATCATCATCATCATCATCATCATCATCATCATCATCATCATCATCATCATCACCATCATCATCATCATCATCATCATCATCATCATCATCATCATCATCATCATCATCATCATCATCATCATCATCATCATCATCATCATCATCATCATCATCATCATCATCATCATCATCATCATCATCATCATCATCATTGGCGAAATCCAAATCTTCTTCTAGGCTCTTTTCATCTGTCAAACAGCGTATGCCCATCTTCTGACTCCTCGAGGTTTGCTGCATGATCCAGTCGACCACAATCAGGAATATCATGGGTGATAGTAGGCAACCTTGTTTTACTCCCGTCTTCACTTCAAAGGCGTCACTGAACTTTGTATTATGAATCACTTGGCATGTAGCATCACATAGCATATAGCTGCTGTTGAATGAGTTTGATAATGGTTTGCGGAACTAAAACCGTAGTGTTGAAGCAGCTGCCTGTCAAATTACTTTGACAAGGTACCCCTTCTTCCAATCAATCGACAGGTACCTTTCCTTCCTTCATTCCTTCATCCCAAACCTTGTGCAGTAGTGGTGTGAGCGTGTCCACTGTTGTCTCTGCATCTGTTTCCACTGCTCCTGGTAGGATTCCATCTGGTCCTGCTGCTTTCACGGACTTCAGCAGTTTCATGGCGTTCAGGACTTCACTCCTGCTTTTGTCGGAGGGCTTGTGTTCACTGATAGTTCTGTGGCTTGGCTGGTGGTGGTATTTGTGGATGAGTTGTAGGTGGTGGTCGTGGTGGTGGTGGTGGTCGATTCAAGAGTTTTTTGAAGTGGTTGGCCCATCGTTTCCTTTGTTTCTCCTATTTCGAAACTAAGTTTCCTTTGTTGTCTTTCATTTGTCTCATCTGTGTCGATCTCTTCCCTCCCAAATAGTAAGTAACCTAGTTATTTGATTGATATACTGTTGTCAAGTCTCTGTCTCTCCTCCCAGCAGCCTGTTCTGCTTCACTTACCAATGTGTCGTAGAAGTGTCTTTTTTCTTTGCGTGCACTCTTCTTCGCTTCTTTGTACAGTGTTTTATACGTTGTACTCAGTTTTTCTTCTAGTTGTTCATCCCTACAATGCACTACAATGCACTGGTTCATCTGCTTGATCATCACCATCTACCTGTCCCTGCTATTTCAGCTTTCATGTGTCCATGGAGATCCACTCATTGACTTGCTTCTTCTTCCTTCCTAATACGGTTATGCAGGTCTCTTTTCACATAGCTTTCAAAGAGTTCCAGTGTTCTTCCACACAGGTTTCTTCAGGGATTTTGCTTAATGTCTCCCATTTTGTTTTGATGACTGACGTGAAGATGTCGTTTGTAGTTTCGTCCTCCAGTTTCTGTTCGGGGTGTTCAACTCAAATTGTGGTCTATCACCAGCTTCTTTGAAGGCTTTCAACTTGATTTTGAAGGTAGGTTCCTTGGACCAGATAGTGATTGGTGTGGACCTACATCTGCTCCCCTTCTTGATCTGATTTTGTGTCTAATGGGCTGCTTCTCTGGTTCCTTTAAATTGAGATGAAGTGGATCTGATTTTTAGTGTGTCTTGGTGTCTGGTGAAATCCATGTCGTTTTGTGAATATCCTTGTGTTAATACACACTGCCTCCAATCACTGAGTCATTAAATGCGCAGAAGTCTCTAAACAGTCTTGTAATATATATATATATAAATATAAAAAGGCTGGCTTTATCCAATATCTCCAGCTGCTAAATGGTGGCGAACACGCATGCGTCATGATTTGTTAGTCATTGAAGTAGTTCGCGTGTCTTTATTTTGGTTTGAGTAAACTACCCACTAGTTTCTGACTGATGATTTCCAGTGCAACACGAGTTTTCGAATCTGTCATATATATGTGACATGGGTAGGGCTTTCTTACTTCGTATCTAGTTACATTGAAAGAGCGTCTAATAACTATGGGATATGTGGTTCGCAGGATAGTCACTCAAGTCATTCACCATTTCGCCTACTTTTACTACACGTTGATTCCTGGAGAAACAAAATATGCCTAGAAAGAATTAAACTATATAAGTAACCTAGAACGGTGACTATCCATTGAATTTTATGTGTCTGTCTCTTCATCTGAATACACTAGAATCATGATTGGTACTATTTTTCCTTCTAGGACCATGTAAGTAGCTTGAACTGGAGGGAAAGATAAAGGGAAGCAGCCTTAAACCAGTGACTAGTGGAATAACCTTAAATAATCAGTCAGGCAACTTCATTGTCCTAATACACAACTATTCTGGTCGGTTGTCCTGGGTCACTTGTTAGATCGTTAGTTTTGTGCCACCATTGCTTATCACCATTGAACTCAACGTAAAGATAGGGTTATTAAAGGTGTTTCTTAACAGGGGCTAGCAAATCAGTTACGGATATAATAACGCCGCTCATCTTGATGAAGCGCAATAGTATATTCTATTTGCTTTTAAAACAGCGACAAAGAATGTAATTGGCACTCAGAAACATTAAAAACCAAAGAGCACGGAACAGTTATTCCATTCTGGTTTCAATGTGAGCGTTTTTAAAGCTTTCCGAGATATGGGATCCCTGAAAAGCATATTACCTTTCAACTATGAAATTTACTTATAAATGGTGAAACTGCAAACTTTAACGGTCATTAAGAGCCCCTTGAATGACCTTGAGTGGACCAATAAGAAGACGATTATTTACTTGTATTTTATTGGATAAAGTTATTGGATATATAGTTATACAAAGTGGTTAGAAATTTCATTAAGCTTTTCAGCGAATCTTATCCATCCATATAACTGTACACCAGCAAATCATGTGAGCTTTCGAATGGCTTCAAATCGTCTCTACAAATTAGGTTTTTTAAAGATTTCCAAGATGAGAAATCCACACTGCAGTATTTTGATGGGAAGTAGATTTAATTCTCCTACTAACATGAAGTTGATCATTGTATCAGAGTTTGTTTTTCTTTTGTAAAATCAGTCGTTTATTCACCTTTCTCCCCACTTACTAATTTCTTAAAATGTAGGGATCCTGTGATACATTATGAATTATTCACACCATCATTTTGTGCAGATTTCAATCAGTATACCAGCAATAGAATAAGAGGTTTGTTGTATTTTATAAAATCGACTTTTCTTTGTATATTTTAACTGAAAGTTGATTCGTTAATAACCTAGGCTAACTAATAAGACTGAGGGAAATGTTGGATACAGTATAGGATCCAGATATGATATATTTCGATTGAGACAAAATTGTCCAGTAAGTAACTCGAAACCAAGGTATACAATCCAGAACTTCTGTTTTAGCGTCTGATGACCTAGAATGCTGATTTCGACTTAGGTTGCTTCCAATCAGTTTTATTCAATGATTTTCCTGGCTTTCAAGAAAAGAAATAAATCATCTTGTGATTAATATAAAAGCATCTTGTCTACGAGTCTAATTTCTATGCCAAGTGAGTGGCTAGACAGAACTTAGGAACAGCGAAACCGAAAAATTCAGGTAGTCTTGAGGGCTGGTTGGTCAGATAATATGACAAAAGGATAACTAGCGGCGTCTGACATTTTATGTCTTGACCTAAGTGTGTCATTTGACTTCGTTGATGGGAACTTCTTATGACAGTGTCTCGTACTGCAAAGAGTATCCCGTATATGTGTCCTTTAAGCCCATCACTCTTTTGAAGTGTCTATGCTTAAACTTACACTATCGTGTCACCGTCTATGGCGAGTTGCTTATTTCCAGTAGTTACGGCCAAGGATGTCTAAATCCCTGGTTTAAATTTGACCTTGGCACAGATGTGCTTATGTGAGATTTCCTGTGTTCGTCTGGCTCAGCATGGATCGATTTTGCTTCAAGAGACAATTTATTTTATCGGGAGTACGTGGACGTTATAGTCGTGTTACGTGACTATGCCTACAAGATGCAGGATATTTGGAGGTATATCTTACTGCCTAAAGGTTTGTTGCGCTATAGGTTTGGTTTGTGCTGATACCTAATCTGCAAATGAGCTATAAAATGGCTAACAGAGTTTATTCTTAACTTATCTGAGAAGTTGGATCAACCTTCGTGGGTTACTGGACAAACAATCTCGGTGCCGATAACAGAATTCTCAGTTGACATTTGCCAACTTCATTTTCAAGTGCCTCCATGGTAACCAGTTGTATGCTAAGAGTCGATAATGTTGTGCAACAGTTTGCTCTGTCCTGCTTTACGACTGGGAAACAAGGCTATCGAAGATGAAGACAAACGACTTCTGGTGTCACACTGCCGTCACCTTCTTAGCATCACTCACGTGTTGAGGAACTAAGAGAGAGTAGTGTAGACGATAGGCATAAATTCCTAGGTGGAACAGCTAATTCACTTGATGGGGCTGTGGATCTTCATGTATGGAGGTTGCTGAGATATGTATTACGTGCTTCTATTCATCACCTCCTCTCTGAAGTAGGTAGGATTAGATTGAGAAAGAGTTGATAGAGAGACTACTGGAAGCATGCGGAGGGTTGACAGGTCCTGGTTACCCACATCGTGGAAGGCATTTCTTCTTAAAATACCTGTAAGAGAAAAGGATTTGTGTGATAACAGAGCCCATGGGACATCTGCTTCAGGCCTATCACACACAGCCTTTTGCAGGACGTTGGCTTGAGTTTTAGCTGTTTTAACGCCGGATAGAGAAAACGCATACCACCGGCACCGAAAGACCATAGGGCATAGTGGAGTGTGTTATTTTTGGGCCAACCTTTGCTAACCCACCCTTCAGCATCAGCATGACGCCACTGGTTATCAAAAGGAAACACTTTACAGCTATCATACCCATCCAGTTAGCAACAGTATGACTTCTCCCTCGGATCCCCATCACAGTGCAAGAATTTAAACTACAACTGTAACTGCTTTTCGTCTTACTGTTACCCACAGACTTCTCTGGCATGGTGAAACCTCAAGAGAATAAGCTTTCCAGCCATTGTAGCTGGTTGGATCGTTATGATATGATATATGCAAGCCAGACCATCACGTCAAGTTAGGACCTATCGACAGAGAAGAAAGAGTTGAAGGTGACTACACATGGACCTGTCACCAGTCCATGAGGTTTATGATTGCCTTCCTGAACAGTATAGGGTTGGGGTCTACGTGACAACCAAAAAAAAACAAAGAATTCACCGTTCAACTGCATGTGACACTTAATATCTTAACCTCAATAGTGATTACCAAATCAACCAAAAGAAAAGTTTAGTAGGTAATTAATACTCAGGAGTAGAGTAGTTTTACTTCAATTAAAATCTATCAGTAGAATGAAAGTTGACTGAACAGTGTTCTCTGGGTAAGAGGTACACACTGAGATACATTCCAAAATAACTCACCAATAACATAAAGAATAGGAATATAGCAACATAGGAGATAAGCCAATCGACGTAACTTTCATTCCATAAGGCTTCCAGAATGTTGGAATTTCAAGGAACATAAGTCGTAATCATAAAGTGTATAAGCAATATATAGTCTATAGCATAAAACTGGACATGAAGAGTTATTCAGATTGAACTAAGAGCTTTTCACACAATATGCAGAATAATCTTCTCACTATGAACTGTAATCATATCCTTTCTAAAATCCCAGAGTAGACCGACTTTAAAGCAAACATTGAAACAAATATACAGTCATATATGTATCACATTTTACTAACTAGATAACAGTGATATCAAGGTAACCCGTTAAGTATGTGGAAAAATTAGTCGCACACACGTTGCTTATTCGGACCAAGTACATTTTGATAAGTGACTTGATCATGAGGATATACCACAAAATACATGGTGTAATGTCTTTAAAACCATTTGATCAGCTGATTTACAGGTTATTTCTGATCTCTGACATAAATGTCATGGGTTCATAAAATATACTACTACATATAGATAATTGTAATTTCTCATTGTCATACTGGGTTGAATTGACCAATCTCTGTTGACAGATGGGCTCTAATTTCGAGTTAATGACGCATGTCACTTAAAACCGTGAGTAGTTGGCTTAATAATCAGATTAAAATCTTAGATTTTCTCATTACATTTGCCTAATTTACTAATCTAAACAACATAAAATGCGGAATAGTAGGAAATCAGTCTAAGTTCCACTAAATTAAAACACTGAGAAGACCGAGTGGGGACATCATGGGCAAGACCAGGCCCTTGAGTGGAACCCATGTGGGAAACGACGAATTGGGCGTCCGTGGCTAGGGTGCATGAAGGAGATCGTGTGAGGAAGAAATGCAAGCTTGTGGGCAGTAGTAGCGCCAGGTAGAAAAGACTTCAGAGAGAAGAGAGTGGAATGGAGGCGTGCTACTGAAGTCGTCTGTTCCATTAGGAACACAAGGAACAAATGGTAATAGTGATAGATCAAAACAGTTAAGGGTAAGAAAATGCGTAGAAACTAGGGATAGAGTGATATTTAAAAACTACGGCCAAGTTGCCTAACATCTGGTATCATCCATTTCTACTACATTATTGTAATGATGATTATGATAACCATGAAAAAGGTATGTCAGTAAACTAATCCTTTTCTTTCGAATAGGCATTTATTCAACTAAACACAATTTCAGTCTGTGCAATACTTTCTGTCGCCAAGGCGTGCTGACAATAAAACAAGAAAAGAATGATATGAAAACTACTGGCGGGAAATTATATTTAAAAATTAAAATGATCATGGATATAGTTGTTTTATTGAATTAAAATGTGAATTATACAAGTGTAAAGTTAGTCCTCTTTCTCTTGGTGAACATTTTTTTCAAAAAATGTGTTTCTTGTTTTGTATGTTATATAAAGAATCTTTTTTCTTTCATCTGTATTGAATTATTTAAGCGATTTAATGTAGACAAAGATATACATTTCAAAACTGGAGCTATCTATTGAACACATTGAACTGTAGCGCATTAGTTAAAAGAATTGCTTTAAATTTGTTCCACTTATCATGACATGTTCAGTTGAGTAAAGATGTTAGCCTTGATGAAATGTGAAATATTTTAGTCAACCAATCATAAGTCCAAACCCAGTTTCATCTGTCTAATATTGTTCAGTTTCTTAAAATAGTATCATCAACTGTCATACAATTTAAGAAGTTTGATAACTCAGTTCATTAATCCATAGTTATGCAGTGCCAACCAAATGGATCAGAATTACTGAATGCTTGATTATTGCCACTGGTGATTTATACGACTGTAGTTATTGTCTCAGTGTTGGCTTTTTTCACAGACACATTGATGTTAGCTATGCTTATTTTCTTATTATATTTTAGTAATGCTTGGCAGTGAAGTTTGGAACGTATATCTGCTTTCAGTTGAAATTTATCAATTAGGGGGACATATATCTCTGACAGTTTTTTCATTGGCATAGAAACAAGAAAGAGATCTCTTCAAATGTTACCTGTTTTACTATAGCTATCTTTCTTTCAAAAGCATGAGTTTCTGCTAATAAAGTTTGACACTTTAAGTTACAACTTACAGTAACTATATAGCCTAGTGAGTGATTCTGTGCATTTTGAAAAGATGCGGAGTGGGTTTAAGTACTAATCGTAACAATAGTCTATTCGAATCCAATTAAGCTCAGATGATAAGCCTTGAGTAAAACGATACTCTTGTTCTACATTCCACTATAAGCCACTATAGAGTATTATTTTATGTAAAGGCTTTAAATGCTCAATGTTATGAGCAATTTAGAGGTCAAATGGAAGGCAAGGCATTTAATAAGATTGTGAATTTCTGTCGACTGAGACTGCTTGGACATGTGCTTCGTATGCCTACGTTGACGTCCAATGCTAAGGGAAGCTCAATTAGGTTGGAAGGAAGTTCAAAATGGACAGATCGAGACGTAGTATTAGTGCATAGAATCCCTTACTATTGTTCTGATTCATTTAAAGAGGTGTAGACTACCTGGTTAGGGTCCTCAAGATAGTAGAAAAGAGTGATTGAGAGGACTCTTAATGATATCGCTGAAAATCAGTCACAAAGGTGCAGATGTATTCATTGTTTGATATCTTCCAATATCTGAATTTTCCGAATGAAGTTTTCCTCTCATACACCTTTGTTTACTTTGATATCAGTCTTTTTGTATCCACTTGTTCTTCGTATACTACTGTGAATTGTGGCAACTTGAGGTAATGCAATGGTATCTGAGAATCTACGTTGATTTTACCCGGCTATTATATTGGCTTAATGCAAAGTTTGAGCCATATTATGGAAAGCTTTTAAGATTGATCATGATAAGAGTAATGATCAGAATCTGTTTATTTGCTGTGATTAGGTAAAAATACCTAACCATTATTTGATGCTTTAAAGATACCCTTTATCCAACCGAACCATGTGCATAACTGAACGAAAACAAAATATAGTTCTTACGAAAAAAGACTTTCTGCAACTTAACAGCTAATAGAAAATTAGAGCGAATTAAGAAAATAAAGATTGTGAAATTTATAAATCATGAAGAATACTACTGAAGAAATAAGACCCAGTGGAAAGTTTCGACATTAAATTACTTCCACGTGTAGTTAATCCAGGCAGATCGATGAAATTAGATGCATCTTACGATTTGGCTATCAGTTATCTCCATGTGGGATGTCGGAACTACACGGTAATTAAGGAAAAATCTAAATTTTGACGAAAGTGGGATATAGATGCACCTAATTTACTGCAATCGATCGTGCATCATATCAATCCAAGTTACCATCAACCGGTTCCAGCTGTCTCAAGATTTCCTTATTTTAAAGGTTTTATTTTGTCAGATATCTCAAACTATATTTCGATCTAGTCACCTACAAGTTTCTTCCATTCAATCGTACTCTATCTGGTATAATACGAAGGGGAAAATGATATCTAAGCAGACAAGACACACTTTTCAATCCTATAACACTACAATTACCTAAAGCCTTATCAATTGATTTACCTTCTTGCTTAATACACTGAGACAAAAAGAAGTGGGACTATTCGGATATTAAATAAAAATAAAAGAAAATACTATTCAAATATATTGGGATATTGAAGTGAAGTAGAAGAACAATTCAATCAATAGTATTGACATAATCATGATTTTATAATAATGAATAGGAGTGAGTAAATTTGTAACACTAATAAGTTATAGGCCATGTCACGACAGTCTCTAACCAATTCACCTGTTCTTGTGAAACTAGTTACACAGGCCGCAAAAAGCGTTTTCTATCTAAACACATTTCTGAACACTATCCTGAATGGTTGGTTAAAGGAGAGTGGAAAGCCACCAACACCTCGATTCTTAAACATTTGGTTATCTCTAGTCAATGTGATCCATGCGAATTTTTCTTCATAGTCAACTATAAAGTGAAGGCAAACCTTTCGAAGTGAGTGCATACTCGTCACCTCAACATATCAGAGGCTTTGGTAATCCAGTGATTCAAGCCTGATCTTTGCATCCTAAAGAGATGCATTCAATCTCTAATTTTACCTTGATCGTAATCTAAGACATTTTACTGTTTGTTTATTTATAGTAATTTTTGATGACCTTCAGTTGACCTTTCAGCCGTTAACAACTTGTGACTTTATTGACCGTTTTTGACCCATTAGCTAATAACAGACATGTTTTATTGTAAATAAGATTGTACAGGTTTTTGGAAATGATTCGCTGAAAAGAAAATTTTCTTCGTTGAATTGTCTTTCGTTAATGCAAGGCTATGAATAACCTCTATATGACTCACAGTTATCCCCATAAATGTGATAAATGTTGCCAAAGAAACGTTCATCAGAGCATCAAAAATCATAGATAAATGAAGCAAAAGCCAACTTGTACGCTTGAGAAACTTCATCTACTGCAATGACTACAACATTTAACACAGATGCTGATCACATTCTATTCTGGAGGAAGTAGGATTGTTTATCCATTACACAAGGAGTGGTTTTTGTGACCCAATGGCCTAGTCGTCTATGCCTTGCTCTTAAGGTGATGGTGCTGTGGTTCCGAATCTCAGAGGGAAAAACACCACTCCCTTGGAGGCAGGTAGATCTAGCTGACTAGTCCCAAGTAGGACGGAACGCGCATCCTGGATTCCACTATCCATCATCAATATCAGAGTAGAGTTAACTTGTAAGGAAATCGAGGTACATAGATCTAGACATAGTACTGGCTTATAACATTTCTCATGGCTTGTCTATGTGATCCATGCGAAGGAAATATATGCTGAATGGTCGACATCCTATAGCTTCTAAGAATCGTTACTCTATACCACCCAGTTCCCTCTTCCGATATTTTCGCTAGTGCCATTTTGTCTGATTTTATCTTCTGTCCCACATTGTCTTTATATAACACAAAATATGTATGCCTAATTGTAAGGGATGTAATCTGTTTCCCAAGAAATCAGGAAACATCAGTTCTGTATAGTTTAAGTCTCTGAAATGAAAAGAACCAATGATTGGATAATCTTGGTGATAAATCTCAAAATCGGTTACAATGGCATAGAAGTATACAATCCTTGTTATTTTAAGAATCTTTTCCAATCTGGATTCGTTTTTTCGCTCTCATCATAAGCACTTTTATCTACTTTAATGTTCTTCTTTTGCTCTCCAAATGTTTTTTTTGCATAACTGATGTTTCCCTCTGTAACAGTTCTATTTAATTTGTCCGCGAGTACTAGTGGATTAAGTATGAAATTTCTCTTTTTTAGATTACGTGTATTCTCGTAAAGTTACTCATCTATGGTACATTGATTTATTCATCTTGACAATCCAGGAACCTTCTAACGCCAGCAAAATATGTAGAATGGTGGGTAGACTTGCAACTATTGACTTCAGAAAAACTATAGATACAGTCTTAAAGCCAGAAAGGGAATAAATCAAGTACCATCTGCATAATTGCCATACAGGTGAACACTTGTCATCCATGAATTCATCTCTGAGAAAATTCCAGCTACTAAATGGTTTGCATTCCACATTTTTGATAAGCCGAAAAAAATTTCTTAATTCTCAGGATTTAGAACTTAATAAGTTATTTATGAGACTGTTTCCTGATAGACTAAAGTTATTGATACTGGTTGCTGATGAAAGATGGAGTGAAAACCCATGTTGGTAACTCAGAAGCCACTGGTTCGACTATTGCTATGTACAACTAATTGGCTGATGTGAAACGAAATGAAAGCCATATTCAGTCACCTGACTGCTAAACCTACAGTTTTCTCCTTATTCTCATATTCAGCGCATATGATTTAACGTATTTGAATGAATAAGTGGGTTCATCTAATCATGTAAAGAGAGTAAGCCAATAGTTATATGAAGTAGATGTTTATGAGAAGGTTATTTTTCAAGCCTTGAACATGTTTTAACTGTGTGACGTCATCATCATATCTGCTTATCAGAAAAATTCCTCACAATCAGAAAACTTTTCCTCAAAGCTGTTGTCCAATGTTGATTGAGAACCATATCTGATGCATGATTCGAAAGAGCAACTTCTGAATTAGAGAAAATGCGCTCTACCAACTGAGATACAGTACTCGACTCTGATGGTGGTTTGGTGTTCTCTTAGCTTTGATATTCTGTTATGAACATTTTAATCCCTAGGCTTGGTGATATCCTCAACAAGTATAGGGAAAAAATTAGAAATGAAGTACAGAGTGACAGTAGCAAACAGCGCAGTTTCACTCTAACAAAGATCCTCCACCAGCATGACCTAATGAAGTGTGAGGTCAATAAGGTCATTGTGAAGTAAAAGCCTCTAAACCCAACTAACAAATGAACAATACTCAAAGTTATCAAAAACACTACCTAAACATTCGTCTAACACTTGAATAAACTTCACTTCTTGATGAAGTTAGTCTTGAGTATTTCACCAAACCTGGTGATGAAATGCTCACGACAAAATAACGAAGCTCAGAGAACAGTGAACCATCCTCATCCTTAGCTACAAATCCTTTCCACCATTTTGAAATACTTTACTGTTTACTACCTATCGGTTTCATATCGACTTCTGAATGCTTTTTCATGTTTAATGCATACTTCAGTCTTCTTGTGGCAATCTTACTCGACTGATAAAACACATGTTCAAGTCCCGGTTGAATACAGGATTTTCTTTTAGTTTATTTATCACATCCGCTTTTTAAACTGGATTATTCATAATGCTTTCTTTCTCTTTTCATTGATTATATTTGTAGTTTTTTCTGAAATTTGGGGATTATTTCAATGTTTCAATGAAGTTCAATTTATTTTCGAATATACCTAACCTTGTCTACAGCGAAAATTCAAATGAAGTTACGCTATTGATAACATTTGATTTAAAGAAACTAAATATTAGTGAATCTTGGATTCAAACAGTTAGAATTTTTAATAATGATGTATACCTAACAAAAAGTGCGGTTATCTTGAATCAAACAATCAAATTTCTAAAATGTCGGTGTTACAATTTGAATATTGTTCAACATCGACATATCGGAAAAGTTATGGTAAGACAATGCGAAACTCAAATTGAATCCCTTATTCTGTTAATTATCCCAAACCCTGTGAAGTAAACAGTCACACAGTTTTAATCCTAAAATTAAAACTGGAGGTTTGTCAAGATTTATTGACTACAAAATAGTATTCATCATGGACTGGCGTCTGTTGAAGAAGCATAGAAAACCTAGGGCATTAGATAACTTTTTTGGCTTAGTATGGAACTGGTGAATAGTGTCCATTCATGATCCCTCTAGGAATCAAATCCAGGACTTTTAGGTTTCATGGCAATCATTTTACCTTTGAGTCACTCGGTTGGAATCCAGTGGTTCACGTTTGCTGTCCAGTTCTCTTATGCTTCCAATGGTTCTTTGACTGATGTCAATCCGGATGAATATCAAGGTGATTTTAAAATTAGTTAAATATACAAATAACCACCCATCAATATTCATATTTGCGTGACTGTTCGACCTGCATGTTTCCTAATGTGAAATTCTATATTTAAAGGTTGAGCCTTATGTAGATTTGTCACTTGACTATCTGAGATAACCATAGTCTGGCAGATTAGTATTTATACTAGGTGATGATCGAAGGTGAGATGGAAATCTGAACCGCGGCTGGATTCGAACCAGCGACCACCGGGTAGATTTAACGAAAATACGTATCCGCACAAGTTCTCATCCTTCTTGTGTTACCAGAGGAATATTCCTGATACTTAATTTCATCCCTTAATAATGTATCATTTCCGTTTTGATGGAGTATCGTTTTGAGTATATCCAGTTGAGAAAACGAGAGGATGTATTCACAATCGCTTTCTTATTGACTTCGTTTTATGTTGCGAATATGTGCTTGGATAATTGTAAACATATGCTCCAGTGTAAACTACAGGACTACTGATGTTTGTGTAATATGATGGTAGCAGATTGGACTCAGCCCTTTGAGACAAAAGGAAATCTACCAGGAAGCATGAATCTTCCTAAGAATATGCTTTACTGATGAGTCTCAAAATGCTTGAAATCCTGATAGAGCTAAGCCTATTGCCTAGTGACTTCAAAATCACAACAATGCAATTACGGAGTATTTTGCACGTATAGGGTGACAATTTGAAATGTATATCTCACTTCCTAAGCGCAGACTGTCACTTCAGAAATGATCTGTGTTGATGCCTTGTCTAACAGAAGGGAGCGAAAGGGTAGAAGACCTTGATCACTTCACCCGTATGAGAAGTCAGATGGGTCCCCGACCGATGATATATCAGCCAGTTCATACCATCCACCGTTCCAGTTGGATGTTCAGTTGCCTACTGTGGATCGAGTATACTGTGCAGCGTTTCGCTGTGTCCGAATAAACAGATACGAAGGATAATTTTCATAGGTAGAGGATATTAGAAGGCTCAAGGTGTTACACCATTGTTGCCTTCACATGATAGGCCCTATGCGTTGAAACTGCCACATGGATTACGCGTGTTTAGTAATGGTCTACCTCGATTAGTGATGATTATTGAAGCGTATTCAGTTTAGGAAAAGGTTAGGGTTAGTCAGACTTAAAGACGGCATCAATCCATGAAGAATAGGTCGAGAGAAATAAACACAGAAAAGTGGAAAAGAAGAAGGATTTTATGCACCGTACATTCAGCGGAGATGCAATATTCAAGCTAATAGATAAAAGAATCAAAGAGGCACTGAGAAGGAGCTCTTTCACAGGTAGACTTGTATCAGTATAGAACATCACTTGCTCGTTAAACCAGTCAAAGTTAAATAATCACCCTGCTCATGTCAGCTTCAACTGTATTTATTAATTTACTTGCATTTGCGGTAGTAGGTAGATTAAAAAGACTAAAAGAAGGGTGTCCGTTCGGTTCGCTGACCATATCCCCTTGAACCTGTACTTGAATGGAAGTAAAATTCTAATCAATACAATTCCCAGGCACCTCTCAGACTCAGGACATCAAGTTGAAACCACGAATGCTTTAAATATAATAAACGCAGTGAAAATGTCAGAACTACTGCATTTCCTGGAAGCGATTGTTACTTTTCTTTTCTTACATTTCTTACCTTTCTACAATCAATTCTTACGGGTTATTGGATTATCAATAATTTCGTTGTACAACCTAAAATATTAATTTTCTTATGCTGGAATATTGCATGTCCTAATAATCGTTGTACTTTTAGACCGTATGCGGCTGAAGAGTATTTGTGAAATGAAATGCTGATATTATTTTATTCTTCAAATTCTATCTTTTTTGCTTTCTCCGAATTTATCAAGTGGTTTAAATGTATGGCATTCTTCTGGTTTATTCTCAAGGCTGATAAGCTTTTGACTTGAGATATAAATGAACTAAATTACAAAAGAATATTTCAAGTTGTTATCCATCGTAGACTGACATCAGTTGGAGGAACAAAGGAAACCTGGGAGCACTGGACAGCTGTTTCGTCCTAGTGTGGGACTCCTCCGCAGTGAGCACCCACGATCCCATCACGGATCGAATCCGCGACCTTCAGGTTCCGTGGCCAGCGCGTTGCCATTGAGCCACTGGGTCAGAATCCAGTGGTCCATATTTCAACTTCTGTTAGCTCGCGATATAGTGCAACCGCCACCCACTGAATCGTTGAGTAATTGTCCACATGACTATCAGGCTTTACCCCACCGTCTAACAGGCATCTCACTATTAAACATATATAAAAAATTGTTTCGAATAAAATGGTTGTTACTGTTTCCTCTTTAAAATATAGTCGTTGTATGAAGCTCTTGTGGAATTTTATTATTCTGACAAACGTATGGGTTTCAGAGCGAAATATACACTGATACAAGCGGATCATGTATGTCTATATGCATGAAGGTATCAAAGGGCCTTTTACTACTGACATTAACAGCTTGAATTCCCCCCAATTCTTAATAGTTGGAATATGTTACTTGCTTTGACTTCAGTAGTATAAAGCGTAATTAAAAATTTCAAGATTGAACATTGTCAGAGGTATGAAAACTATATACATTATGCGATTTCCACATAAAAGCAAGTCGTAACGAAGGTAAATTATTGTTTTGATTTCATCCTCATGCATCCAACCATAAGGCATCTGCTCTAAATGCCTGTTTTTGAGGAGAACATGCACTGGAAAAAACAACCTACATGTTGCTACACTGAACCCATTCATAGATCAACTATCATTTTCCAAGGTTATTAGTCAACATTTTACAAAGGGTTACTCTCAATAATTTATTACATAAATATTTCATTTATTTGTAGATATTTGACAATCAACTAATTCTTCAACATCCAGAATATTATAAACAACTAAACAATCAATTTTGTGAAAGCAGTCAATCAATTCAAACAGGGAAATAATTCCTGTTCAACATTCTAGTGTTATATTATCTAAATGGGATAAAAAGTAATTCATATGATTTTCCCTACTTCAAATTCAAATCATAATTTTTTTCTGTTGATTATAGAAGATTATTTTGGACAGTTAATATGAAACTCTGCTTAGTGAGTGTATGGTTGAAGATACGATACCTGAGGAGGATATGAAAAAGCCAACTTGTTGGACAGGTATGCAAACGTGTGACTGACTTATTTCCATTGTTTAAATAATCAATTATCTGCTAATTAGGCTTCAAAAAACAATCCATCAACAAACCTGCAGGTATTGATGATTGGTACCATGTTTTTAACCAACCTACAGCTCTTAATTTGACGTGGTCCTCACGCTTGTGTATTGCATCAGTCAACAAACTATGCTTACATGAAGAATTACCCATTGAGGTTTTACCATGTCAGAAACGTCTGTCGGAAGATCGCTGGACTGAAAGCAATGACCGTTATATAGGACAGGTAATTAACGCTTAACCTCATTAGGAGGGAAGAAAAAACGGGACAAGGCATGGATCTCGATGGACACATGGAAACTGATAGAGGATGGTGAAGCAAAAGGTAAACCAGCACAAGGATGAACAATGAAAAAAGGAAATGAATACAACCTATGAAACACTACACTGGACAAAGAAGTGAAGAAGAGTGCACGCAAAGAAAAAAGACACTTCTACGACACATTGGTAAATGAAGCAGAACAGGTTGCTGGGAGGAGAGACAGAGACTTGACAACACTATATCAATCAAATAACTAGGTTACTTACCATCTGGGAGGGAAGAGATCAACACAGATGAGACAAATGAAAGACAACAAAGGAAACTCAGTTCCGAAATGGGGAAACAAAGGAAACGATGGGCCAACCACTTCAAAAAAACTCTTGAATCGACCACCACCACCTAAACTCATCCACAAATACCACCACCAGCTAAGCCATAGAACTATCAGTAAACATAAGCCCTCCGAGAAAAGCAGTAGTGAAGTCCTGAATGCCATGAAACTGTTGAAGTCCGTGAAAGCAGCAGGACCAGATGGAATCCTACCAGGAGCACTGAAAACAGATGTAGAGACAACAGCGGAAGCGCTCACACCACACCACTGTTGGAGAAGGTTTGGAAGGAATGAAGGAAGGAAATGTACCTGCCGAATGATTGGAAGAAAGGCTACCTTGTCAAACTCCTAAAGGAGGGCGACCTAAGTGTCTGCAAGAACTGGGCAGGAATCATGCTCCTGTCCATCCCAAGCAAAATATTAAGCCACATCATTCTGGAGGGACTAAACAATGCTCTCCACTCAAAATTACGACTGAGACAAGTCGGCTGGCCAACAGAATGTATTCAGGAAGAATAAATCATGTGCGGATCAAATTGCAAAGCTAAGCTACACATCATCATAGAACGGAGCATAGAATGGTAGTCAACTGGATCTTTACCTCAACTTCATCGAATTTGAAAAGGCCTTCTACAGTGTCGACCGATAAGTAATTTGGTAGGCAGCTGCTTTAACGCTACAGTTTTAGTGCCACGAACCATTATCAACCTCATTCAACAGCAGGTATATGCTGTGTGATGCTACATGCCAAGTGATTCATAATACAAAGTTCAGTGACGCCTTTGAAGTGAAGACAAAAATACGACAAGATTAACGCCTACTATCACCGATGATCTTGCTGATTGTGGTTGACTGGACTAGACCGGATCATGCAACAAACTGTGAGGAGTGAGAAGAGGAGCATACGCTGTTTGACAGATGAAAAGAGCCTAGAAGAAGATTTGGATTTCGCCAACGATGATGATTTACGTCTAATGTCGCACAAAATTGAAGATCTACAGGCGAAAGCCAAACAACAAAGCCAACAACATCTGGTGGTAGTTGCATATTATTAGCTTATGATATGACTTGAACTCAACACCTACCACTTCAAACACGAAAGCGTTATCTACCAGGCTACTGAATCATGCCAGCCGCCTGTGACACAATAAGTGTCAGTTATTATTGACCAGTATTCTTACTTTCCTGTTGATTTTTATGCTGGAGTGAATTGATTCCACTGGTCGTTATTGCCATAATTACTTACCATATCTACTGACTAACTTTGCTTGATTAAATTCAAGTTTGCTAAAATTCTAGTGTAAATTAAGTTAGAACTAAACTTTAGAGACAGGAAACTTTGAGGAGAACTAGTGTGGTTACAAATGCTTTGTCCAAGGTCATTCACTACGTTCGTTTACGATGTTGTTTACACTGCATAGACTGATAAAAATCACGACGAATATTACGTTGTATGTTAGGTGTGAAATTTGGCGAAGTAGGTGGGAAGATGACTTAAACAGGACTGGGTAATTTACATACATATGTTTTGGAAAACCACAGATTCTTAGTATATATGGCCGAAATACGAAGAAATGACATTTTCAGTGGATATATCAGAAAAATCTATCTTAGCCGTTAAAACAAAGTGTATGGCATTGGGTACCATAATGTGCACAGATACTTCATCAAGCTATTGTTCACAAGAAGCACTTGGTTGGTTAGACAGCTGGGGTGCATATAAACAACTTTGAAAATATGTGGAGTAGTCTTAGACAGTTCTTAAGACTTGTAATGGGATCCCAATGGGAAATGATATAGTCCCATGTGGATGAGTAACAAAACAGATAATGCTATGATTTCAAAGATGATTAACCTACTGAAAATCTGGATATCTTTATTCCCCATGTGAAACAAAGTTGTAAACCTTAAGTAAAATATCATTTCTCCCAATAACTGTGTCATCTTCCATTCTCTTGGTTTTGATTGGCCAGTCCATACTTCAATGTGATTGGCAGTTACTACCGTTTAGTTCTACCCAGAATAATATTCATATATGGCTCTTAAACAACGAATGGTCTTCAGAGGAAATAAGATTAAGTCGTGGAATTTTGCTGAATCCATTGTTTTTCCTCTCTATGGAAAAACATTACACATTGTCTTTCTGGAAATAACCTATAATATTCACTTATATCGGACATCCTTTTGCAGAAAACAAAGGGATATTTAAGAAACTAAGAATTTTGGTCAGAAATAATATCTGTCAAATGACTTTTGATGAGCCTACTCATATAGTCAAGTCAGAAAACGGGTAGTTGGAACTGAATTTGTGTGGCATCACAACTGATTCAGTCGTACTTAAGCGAAATGATCACCTAGAGTACATACTATATTTATCTAACATGATGGGTCTACAATTAATCACACCAATCAATAGTATGTTTTCTTTAAAAATTTCTAGGTGAATCGGTTGAACTGTGCTCACATGAACTTATAACTTACATTGATCCACTGAAATACCAAGAAGGTATGTTCGTCCATTATGTATTACGTAATTCTTGAAGTTTATTACGACAAGTGTAAACTAATCTTGTTAGAAATCAATTCTCTTGAATTCACAATGGTTTATGCTGTCCTATCATGCGGCTGCTTAATATGAACCTTGAAAGGAGAGAGTATGAAAGGGCTATAGACTTTCATGGCATTGTTCGGATGAGGTGGAATCATCACTCGAACATTTCCAAGGTTAAGTGTAGGAACCAGGAAGAAAAGGCAAGTCAGTCAATGAGATTGTAAACCTTCAACGATTTAGACGGTTCAGACATGTGTTGTGCATAGTGTAATATCACCAACCTCAACATTCAATGTTGACGGAAATGGGATTGCGTTAAAAGAAGGCCAAGGATGGTCAGTCAATGAGCTATGTAGGAAGTAGTAGGCTGTATGTCGTACCTTAAAGTATGAGTTCAAGGTCAACTCGAATGACCATAAATTTGAGACAGTTTTCCTGGAAAGACACCGGTGAACGCAGAATATTCAGAATCCTAGTCACGTGAAATTAGCTTCTTTTCAGGTGTTTAATATGCTTAGAAAGTAATTTCATATAATGGTTCTCTGTTTCTGTTGAATCACTTTGAATCATTTTATATACTGTTACTCCATATAGGAATGTATGAGAGTAGTATGTAACATGATTTATGCGGGAAAAGGGATTAGAATTAGCAAGAAATCAATAGGAATTTTGAGGAAAAAACCCAGAAAAACAGGATAGAAACACAATATTTCTTTGCCACTTTTTCCGATAACTTATTAGTAATCAGTAAGTACTGTAATTCGAGATGGATAGTGATGATCCATCGTGAGTGTTGCATGTTCTAACAACTATGATCTCGAATTATGTTCTTCTTCTGAGTACAATCCACTCTGTGGTTCCACTACATGTCCTGGGAAATCACAATTCTTTTTAATACTAATTAATCATTAGTGAAATCCTCATGATATCATATTCTTATCAAGAAATCCCTTTTCAGTGTAATTTACCCTTTTTTGCAGGAGTAAAGTATACTTCATCGTATGTGGCCTTTATGAAGGAATTTTGCAATCTTTCTAGTAAGTATTATCAGTTATATACTATGCATTATTTTGAAGTTATTGAACTGGAAAATCTTCAGAATACCATCTCCATGCTCCCATCCCGTCCCATCCAGATTCAGATTTTTGGTCTGAGGATAAAAGGCTTTGAGCCTATAATAATCTTTTTCGTGCAAACCTCTGTGCTTATTCATTCCTATCTTGAGTATGTGAATTTATGATGCAGATGATAATTTGTTCAGGAGTCGGTTTCAAGTGTTGACTTATCGCCATGAAAAACCATTACTGTACGGAGATGACGTCTGTCTAAAGTTGTTTCTTGAACTTCTACATCAGATAATTAAGTCTCTTAACTGATTACAGTAAGATAAAGAAGGTAGGTTCAGTTTGTAAAGTTACTCTTCATATGTCAATCTAGTCATCGAAGCGATCATATAAGTGGGCGTTCTAGGAACCCTTACTAAGAGGTCTGAGTAGCTTTTCAAATAAGGATTTGCAAATCGTACACAGTTTTCTAGTTTTGATCTGACAAATTTGAAGATACCGCCGTTGGTAGTAGTAAAGTTTCCACCTATTACCCTGGAATCTTTCTTGTAAACAAGTACAAATACTGCATCCTCTCAGTCATATGGGAGCATGTCTTGACTCAGTAACAGTCTAAATATAGTCAAGGAAGTCTTTTACTGTTGGTGTAAGTCATATGGGGCGATTTAGATTGCCAAGTTGGGGTCCACGAGAAGAGAAGAATCAGTGGTTGAAGACTCTTGTTGACTCGGCTGAAAATCAATCACATGGGTGAAGATGTATTCACTCCTTGACATCTTCTAAACCTCGAATATCTTCGCTAATCTTTATTTCCAAATTGTTTGTTTTCTCGCACTTCTTTGTCTATTTTAATATCACTCTTTTTTTATCCAAATGTTCTCTGTTTACTACTTTAAAGTGTGGCAACTTGAAGCGATAGACTTGTGCATGAGGTTCTACGTTGATTTTGTCAGTTAGCAGGGAACTCTTCGTATAACTTTGGCATTGATTAATAGTGGTCCCATTTACCCAGGTCTTTAATGTAATTTACCTTCCAACTAGTTTTAAAGGACATAAATTAGAACTAGAATTAAAACAGATATATTCGCGAAAAATTCTTCTCTGTGTGGCGATTTCATTTGCAAAAACTGTATAATTTTATTTACAAATAAGTTAATGGGTGGATAAATAACACTGACAGTCATTACAAAGCTACTTCTCGATAACTCAGCACAATAAAGATTGGTACAAGAAGACATGTCGGATAGCCAGGTAAATATGATGAACGGAAGGTTACGTATCATGAATTTACATGGTAGTCAAGCAAAACCTTTGGAGAATGAAGTGAAATTAAGTTCTGGCCAGCGGCTGTGACTCGTAGCTCAATTGGTAGAGCACGAACCGGTAATCCATTGACCACTGGTTCGAATTGTGCGGTGATCTATATTTTCATTTCATCTCCGATCATCATCCAGTACCAATAGCAAGCAGTTTTGTCTGCATGTTACATTCTTTTACAGTAATTAGAATTATGTAGTGTATTGATATAAGTAAGGAGAATATTTCATGAATCATCAAATCAATTGGAAAAGTATTGAAGATTGAGGATCAAAGATGTAAGATGCAAAATGGACGAGTGAATCAATATGAGATGGTCTCATTTCAAAGTAGTTATATGAAGATTATATGAAGTAAGAAGTGTAAATATAAGTCAAGCAAAATGTGATCTGTTAGAGATATCAAAGACGTGAAAATGTTATGATAAAATAAAATGGAGTGAAAGTGAATAGAAGAAAAATAAATAAGGGCTAGTTATATGAAACATGTGGTTAAAATAGTAAAGCTAGGTTCAGGGTAGTAAAAGGGACCATAGAAACTGTTAGCGTATACATGGGTCTGATTTAAGATTATCTATCCAAGTCTTCAGTATGATTTTTCTGTTAAGTTTGATTTGATCTTGTAAATAATAACAAATGATTATCTGAATGTCACTTGGTTGTAGTCAACAACATATTGGAAGATTAACAAATTCACGGTTCTACGCTCCCTTTTGCTCAGTCATACTGGAAGGTACTCTCAAACGTGACAGAAAATGCTTCTCAATGAGCATTCTATATACCTACCTAACTCTGCAAGAACAAGTGAACATGTAGACGCATATTGAACTGGGCAATTTATGTAACAATAGCATTAAGATAGACTAAAGGGTGGCTGGATTAAACTACTCTAAGAGATGTGGAATAGAATATTTTTCTTACTCATTTTGTCATATAGTTCCTTGGAACTATATTTACAATATCACCTTTAAATTTTAGAATTTAGAATTTTTCTTTGTTAGTAAAATGGTCATCTTCCAAATATTTTATAACTTGTCTACTGTTACACTCCATAGCATGTGATGGATACCTGTTTTGCATAGTTTTGTTTCAGAAGTCTCAACTCTTTTCTTAAACCATCTTCTGTACATATCTACCAGAAGTGTAATGAGAAAGATGACAAACTAACTTTCTTCTCTTTTCTATAGGAAGAAAGATGTGAAAATTTCTTATTTACTCATTACATGTAGATTTTCTGTAGACTGATGTCTGCAAAAGTTCATGAGTTCTCCTACATTTTGGCATATAAAGAAATAGAAGAGTCAACTGAACTGATGTCTTGTAATTGATGAATGTCTTCAACATGCTTCGCAAATCACAGGTTGGATCACACATGAAAAACATATTGCCAATATATCTGTTGTCTCAATCTGATTTCTAAATAACTTGTGCAATATAATTAGAAACTTAAATCTTTAAAAAAATTTCCAGAATGGGGGAAAATATTTGTAGCTCAAGTGGATGGTCATGGTTGTATTGTGTTCTCTGAGCTGAACTGTTTAATCGTGGAGCTTTCATCGTCTTTCTAGACGACATCAACAACATTTTTAGTGATATCAAATTCACAATGGAGAACGAGTTAAACAACCAATTACCATTCCTGGATGTTTTAGTCAGTAGGACAAAAGCCGGAATGGTGGTAACCCAAGTGTGCAGGAAGCCAACAAACACTGATCAAATCCTCAACTACAGTAACAACAACCCGACAATGCACAAAATTACTTGCGTACAAACTCTATTCAAAAGGGTGAGAACATACTTCAGCACAACAACTTCACGGAGAAACGAAGAAAATTGTCTGATGTCCACCCTAAAGAAGAACGGCTACCCACGAAACTTTATTAAAAGATGCCTATCCCGTAATCATTAACTACAACGTCATCGACAGAAATCAGTAAATACATCATTCTACCGTACATAAAGAATATATCAGAAATCACGACAAGAATACCGAGACGACTTGATGGAATTGGTGTGGCTCATAAACTAACAAATTCCCTCCAAACACTATTATGCAGACCAAAGGATGCAACAAGCAAAGAAGACAAACCCAATATCATTTACAAAACCAACTGCAATAACTGCAGTCAACGCTACATTGGACAAAGTGGTTGTCCTCTTCGTTTTCGTCTGCATGAATACCAACTGGCTATTAAACGTCAGGATGTCTCATCACTTATTTCAATGCATGTAGATAATCATGGACACGAATTCAATTTCGACAGTGTAGCAATTTTGGACAGAGGAAACACAAAGAATATCATCAGAGAATTCCTAGAAGCTTGGCATTCAGGTCAGTCAGCAATCAATGGATGTATAGATAGACCCAATCTATCAACCAATAAGAAAAATGATAAACAACAGAAAGGTCAGAGGTGAAACAGAGGAACAGCCAACAGGAAAATCTATACAATTGATGACACAACAATCAATGGAAACAACTAACCACAAACCACTTCGTCAGGGCAAGCTACTAAATCACTCATGGAGAGGCACTGATATCTCACTTCATACTGAATTTAGTGGTGATGATGTCGTCTAGAAAGATGATGATAGCTTCATGATTAAACAACCCAGCCCTGAGAATACAATTCAACCAAAGTTTCCAGAATCTCATCATTCTTACGAAACGCTTGCCAACTAACACAATAACCTTGAATTCAGATTACTGTTAGCCTAGATAGGAAGTCGTATGTTTTCATTTGGCGCAATAGGATTGTACAGATACTTAAAGGAAGCGCAATATCTCTGAAGTCTTTTTACAATCAATCATTATACTCCAAAGTATCAAGAAAAGACAACTGATTATATCTGTTACTGTTAGATTGGCTGAAGACAGAAAAACGATAAGGAATGCTTTTCTAGAAATATCTAGTAACCAAGGTCACTGTGTTTATTGACATATATATACCGTCAAATTTTGTGCATACGTTCGACGTTGTAATACACGTTTTGTTGGCTGGTAGCCTTTCTTGTTTTCCAAAGAATTTAGAGCTAATCAAAGATGGAATCTGAAGGTTATTGTTCAAGAGTCTATGTGGATACATGAGGTTATTTCAAAAACGAAATGAGCAATTAAGTGGTCATACGTAATCTACAAGATAAATATCTCGTAGTTTACTTGGTGCTAGTAGTGTAATCCAGGACTCTCGTTTCGTCCTATTTCAAACTCTTCAGGTGGATGTATCTACACTGTAATGAGTGATGGTGTTCTCATTGAGACACAAATCAAACACCGTCGCTCGAAACAGTAAATTACAAGTATCACTAAAGTACAACTAATACCCCTTGTACAAAGGTTAGCTGTTGTGTCTAAGATGCCTAGTGGGTAACGCTTTGGTGTTTCAAGAGATACGTACAGGGTTCGAGTCACAGTGGGAAATTCATCACTCACTGGGGTGAAAAAACATCCAGCTGATAAGTTCCGAAAGGGATGAAATGCACATCATGATACAAAGCAGGAAGATAAAAGATTGAGAAAATGTGTGATCAAACGCTGTAGAAAGTCACAGGAAGAGAAGGTTAAGGGTTGAAGCAAATAGTGAACTGTAGTATGACAAATAAGATAAACATAAGGTGCGGATGCAGCTGCATCCCTGAGATTGATTCACATTCATGTCAGCTTAAGTTCCGGACCACCAGTTTTGGTTATTCCGTTGACTCGCACCGAGAAGTCTACATTTTCTTACTAAGCTTCTTTAGTGTTCTCAATTTTTTATGTATCAACATTTGACTTTTGATTAGGATTTCATATATTTTATATATGAAGTATCTGGATTTATCGTTTAATTGGTTAATCATAGTGACTGGTTGATTCACTCAGAGGTCGGATTAGTATACTCACTGTCACGCCAAGTAAATACCAATCACAACGTTGGGTCTGTTGTATAGAATATCTCGAAGCAGCTGGTGAATAGTCCTCTTTATGTGCTATGTATTTACTTATAGGTTGGATTACAGACGTGAAAGAAAACTCTCTTTCTATGATATTTGTAAGCCTGTTTTCTCGCGGCCAACATCAACCCTGCTGTTTATTATTTAGTAACTGCATTCATAAATGAGACTCATCGTGGAATTAAGTCATGTTTATGAAGTTGTAGAGTTGTATTTTACTGGTTTAAGGGGTTGACTTTTAACCAGTGGGTCATGGCTTTAAACACCACTCCGTTTACCCAGGTTTGAGGAGTCAGTTAATAGTATCATTAGTCTTCACACGATAGGTGTGGCTCATTGCCTGCTGGATGAATGTGTACAAGTTTTTGACCAAATAACTACCGGTATAAAGTAGGCTAACGTGATCCACTAAGAGAATCATAGCTTGTGAAGTTAAGTCTGAAAATGGTGGGAAATATTTGTAGCTCAAGTGAGTGATCTTGGTTCTCTGAGTTGCGTGGTTTAATGATGATGCTTTCATTGTCTTTCTAAATGAAAAAAATCATCAGCACTAATTCACTATGAATTGAGCTGTCAGTATTTCTTCTTGAGTGAAAGATTTGGTAGCTATCAACCGGGTCAGTGAACGTAACATAACCAAGAAGTTAAGTTTTGAAAGCTTTGCATAAGTTATTCTTTTTTCTCTTGTGAAATTTAGGTGATATTCGAATTAATTCAAGTTTTTCAGACATAATCGGTAAGTTTTTCAGTTCATTACCGTTATACTGACTGAATAAAGGAAAATATAAATCTCGGAAAAGTATGATGTGTAGTATTATTTTGAACTATTTAAAGTTTATTTTGCAGTATCATTGTGCAGCTCAGCCCTAGAGCTACTGATTGATGCCCCACTCATTGGTTTATGTCTGATTGTTACTGTTATTGTTTCAGCTGTAGAAACATTCTTCAAGGTGTCATGAAATGTAGTGGCTTTCGAGTCGAATTGGGTTCTCTCTCTAATACTGATAAAAAGCGTGATGTATGTGAGAGAATTGCATTTTAGTATCGTTTGGTTACTGTTGAAAATACGAAATGGAAAACTGAAGTCATGTATTTAAGTGTGAAAAAGCACGACACGAGGTCTAATGGTTTGGAGTTTAGCTTTCAGACATTTCACAAGTTTTATTACCTTGAGTAGTATCAGGAAGTACTGAAAATACTCCAATGCCTTTCTTTGGTTCCAATGCTTGTTCATTTGGTGATAATCTGTAGTTGACTATCAACGTTTAAAATAATGGAAGTAGGTGGAAACTTGCATACTGTTATACTAAATGATAAGTGGATCAAAAAACTAGTATAGAAACGAACCAATCAAAATTAAGACGATAATTAGACTGACAGACAACAACTAGTCAACTACGAGTATCCTCCACATGTTTATTTTTGTTGGCATTTGTTGGTGCTACGATTAGGCTGTAATGACCAGCTGTTGATACGTTTTCGTCTATCCTGTAGGTATTTAGGCAGGTGAGTACGTTGTTTCAGGGAGCTCATAGAGCACTGGGGATCTAGTGGAAGCCCCAAGAATGTGGAAGGGAGAAGAGAAAGAGCAAAAACATGAGCCAACGACTCAACAAGTACACAGGATGTACTTACACTGAATAATAATAGATAACTGATAAACGGTAGAGTTTGACAATGAAGGAGTGAAGCAGTCTAGAAATCGAAACTGGAAGGTGAACGAGTAAGATTTCGAATGCGTTACAAGGCCACCTATGATTTTAAGTCCATGTATATTTCCATATAACCTGTGATATCCTTCGGATCTTTTTTCCGAATACAGGTTTAAACTTGTCTCATTGTATCTTCTCCATTAAGTTACAAGGTCGGGAGATCAACTAAGATGTTGTAGAATGGTGTGCATCGGTTAGCTGCTATAACCGTTAGTGCATTCCAGCACAAATTATCAGTAACAATAATTTAGGAGCCACATTATTAGGACTCTTCTTTCCATTCAATGAATTTGAAATGGAATGAAGTGTTACGTCACAACTCTTTTCTTTGATACAAAAATTTATTATTTTATTTATGAAGAAGGCTATCATATTAAATGATCTTTCAGAACAAGATTTTTTTAGAGGTAATCCAACTGTATTAATTTGCTATACATACCGGTGACTTACTCGGAAATAGAACTGGAATTCTTCTTGGATGATTTAATCTGTGGAGATATCCGGTTCTCAGATAATAGGTAATATGCTGACCACGGAATGTGGTGTTGGGTCCGATTTCTGATGAGGTCATGGGTCCATACTGCTGAAGAGTTTTGCATTCGAACAAAACAAATTTCCAATGCTCTCAGGTTTTCAATGGTTCTTCAACTGATGTCACTCCATGATGAATAATTAATTTGAAACCAATAAATCTACTCAAACCTTCAAAGTTGAATTACTTACAGATGATAGCACAGTCATGTGCAGCAGTTATGGTGGATCCTCCCGATGATCCAGATATGTCCTGCTGGTGAATATCAACATGTAGGAAATCTAGGTGAAGATAAGTTTTCGCCAAATTGACTCTTAATACCTATTACCAAAATACAATAGCCCTCAGTGCTATACCATTCAACTTAGTAGCCATATTGAAAAAATTAGTCGAAAGACTTGATTGGATAATTTCTTCTTCACGAGAATTATTTTCTAGTTAATAAAAAGCAACTTTTGAAATAATTTCATCGTTTATTTTTTTATCTGTTTAATTATGCAGAAACTAAACAGGAATGCTCATTCAACAATTCTATACAATATTATGATTTATTTATTCAGTGTTCACGTAATGGAACACTAAAACAGTTTTAGTAAGTTCAGCCAGCATTCACTATTGAACTAATAGTAATAATAATAATAATAATAATAATAGTCGTTGAATACCTTTACTGTAGCGAACACTGAATAGGGTGAATTATGCTGTTAATGCCAACTCGTTTTATACTGGACCCCTGTTGGCATATATACTCCTATGAGGATGTTTCAATATTGTTTGAATTTAGTTGGTGGTGACTGATAGTGAAATCTGGGATGAGCATTTCTTCTCAATTGAGATTCGTTAGCTGGATATATCTGCGACGCAGTGAGTGATGTTATCCCCACTGAGACTCAAACTGAATACCCATCACTTCAATGCCACATTGTTATCTACTAGGCTAATGAGTCACGAGAACCACTTATTATGCAATGGGTACCACTTACTCCCTTACGGTTACTTGTATCTTCTCATCGTTTTACTGGATCGAGTTGAATTACACTGAACGATACTCGTCTATCTATGCAACCATCACCAATTAATGTAAATATGCCTTTATAACTATGTACCTCTATTTGTGCGTGAGATATGAATAGTCCAAGGAAAGTCACAATTCTTATGTTGAAGGTGTCTTTGAAGTATCATCTCACAAGTAGTCAGATGACAAAGTGAATAGTTGTTAGGTTGAATAAAACTGTTGCCTCACTTCTATCAGTAATTACTTACTGACTGTTTATCGACTTTCTCATTACATCAGATTACCTGTTTTTTATTTGGAATTTCAATTGCAATTATCTCAGCTTGTTAAACTATCGTGAATAAGTGACTGTCCTATCTTAACAATATTATTCGTGGTTTCCGGTTCTTGAGTCTGAACTAATATCGGAAGTATACAGTCGACTGGATGGTAGTCTGATTTTTTGATTTTATTCCTCTTAGGCTAAGGAACAGTCACCGGTTGATTGCGGTGAGTGGATATTTTCAAGGTTAGGGGAGCTTAGTGACCAGTCAGGTCATGCAGATTGGCGAATAGTATCAGAAAAATACTTAAAGCCATTCACAATAGTAGTTTTTTGGAGAAGACTTGGTGTTCAGGTTAAGTAAGGTAGCTCTGATTTAAAGTCAGGTCATTCGTTATGTTTTATGTGATATGACACGGGTTTGAACGTGTGAAACAAGACTATATGCTAGATTCTGATCAATAACCTAGACTGGACTTCGAACCCCATTTATCTCAGTAAGAAGTAAGAAAGGGGGGAAGGAATAAGACGCGTATATTGTTACCCCAAACTGACTGTTATCAAGCTAAAACCTCTAGCGTGTTAACACAATATTTCTTTACTTTATCTGGAAGATCAGTCATTCAAAGAGCGATTTCAGTGAGGTAGGTTTAAAATTTCACAGGTATTTAAAATCCAGGAAACGGAGTGATTGGGAATATTTAGTTTACCTGACGTTTTCAGGTCACATTTTCTGGATTGAACAGGCTTTCTTGGGAAAATCATCAGTAGAAAACGTAAAATAATCGTTTCATTACCACTGAGTATTCAAGTACCAATACAGATATTGCTGATCAAATTTAATGATTGAATGTTCCCATCTCATACCTTGTCGATCACGATATGTTGTGGCGGTCTCCGTTTGTAAAAGGAATGCACAGTAAGTATGTAATACCAATAAAGGTTCTCTACTTCATCTCATATAATCTTGTCAGGTCTTACCTAAAGTCTATGAAATATGTTCACTGTCACTATTTCCCTTTAGTTCCTTTATAAATTTAGTGATAGATGCCACCCCATATATTTCTGAATCTTGAGGATAGAATTAGTTCTCGGAAGGTATGTGATTGATTTGGATTACGCAGACGACATGATCCTGTTAGGCGAAGACATTAAAAAGGATTAGTACACCAAGCAGAACTTCAACCTACTCTGTTATATGAATATGAAGTGTTGACAATAGTAGTCAGAAAATAAGGAAGTTTGCAAGTTTTCGATCATAGTTGTTTGTGTAGCATAGTTTGTGTGTGAAGGAAAAACCATGTAGATGACTTTAGACTTAGTTGCAATGCGCTAGTCAAAAAAAGCAAGTCAGATGATGAAGTTGCAAACATGCTGCAAGTGAGCTAGTTTGAAGGTATTTCACACATTTCAGGCTAACGCCTACCTTAAAAAATAATATTGGCTGAGGTAAAGTTAGATTGAGAGATAGATGGAGTGATATCACTGTAGAACTTGCGACAGAACTAAGTATTGTTCAATCAAGAAATGATACCAGTATATGCAGTTTCTGATGATTAACCTTAGAAGTAAAGGCAAACATAGGCTTTTCGGTTAGGATCCTCAATATAATAATGTTCAGAGAATCATGGTGACATGGATTAAAATTGATTACAGTGGGGCAGGTGTATACACTCGTTGTTACCTTGAAACGTTTGAGCACTTTTGCCAACCTTCATTGAGTTACTTTTCCTTCTTTCATGCACTTTTTCCACTTCAATAACATTTCTTTTCTTCCTCGTCAATTTCCGATTTGTATGCTTCTGTGAAGTGTAACAACTTGAAACCAGCTATAACTTTCATGAAGTTTAGTTAATGAGTAACCATTCTGTGATGGTATTCCATTATTTCTCAGCTTTCATATGCTTCTCATGTACTATTATATATTTTAGTTGTGTGGAAAACTTATTTCTTGATAAACTGGAAGGAGTTTGAGTGCTTCAATTTTTCTTGCTGAACGAAAACACTCTACGAATATTAGATATTGAGAGCCATACAGCAGGAATCTTTAAACTTGTTTACACTCAACAACAGGCCATGTCTGAAACCATGAGGGTACTGCTGTTCTGTCACTGGTTCGAACCTGTGTCGTGCAATGTTAGAGCCACAGAATTGACTATCAAGCTATCTAAGCCTATGCTTAAAGTTTCTTACCGATTGACTAATACCAAAACAGTATATCGCAGTCTAACGCCACTTCGGTTAGTGACCACATTGTAAAAGCTTGATGAACAGACTTCAATCATCACTAGGCACTGAGGACTAGTCAGCAACATCGGTTATTCACTGGTGACAAATTTGTGTGAAACACTCACTTTTAGTTGACAGTACTAACCATCATCAGAATCTTGGCTCATTCGGGATTAAAGCAGTTGGGTTATTATGAGCAATTAGTTAGCTACCAGCAGATGAAATAATTTAAAATAATTTTTTTAGAAGATTATTCAACCGCTACCACACATTTAACAAAGTAAAAACAAAGCTTTGAACAATAAATAACCTTCGAACACCATTTTTGTTGGTCACCTAATTCCTCAGAGAATCACAAACAAATGGTGGCACAACACAGGTTATATTACAACGTCAAATGTGTACAAAATGCATCGCCGTATATATATGACATTTACATATATGATCATACATCTTTTCTCAAAACTTCGGAGTAGGTTGATTAGTTGTGAACGACTTTTGGACTTCTATGAAGGATCTGAACAACCGCAGTGGACACCATAAAATTTTAGAATTCACTTCCTCTAGTTTTCAGTAACTATACACAAGCGGATAGTATTACTAGTTAAGTTTCAAGCAAATGCTGTATGATTTTTGAGCACTAGTCGGAAATTTAAAATTTGTTAGATAGAAATATGCCCACTTTAGCTTCTACGTTACTGACGTTATGACATTGTGACACATCGCCTCTGATGCAAAGGTGATGAGGGTTGAATACCTGCAGCCTTTTCATCCCCTTTACCGTTAATGGCTAAGTTTCACAGTTATACAGTAGAACAGAGTGAACTGCAGCACAGTGCACTCAACCCTTAATAGACATTTGAATATCACGGTGGCGCCATAAATGGCATAAATTGGCGATAACCAAGCAAGGATGTTTTTTATCAGTGTATTTTGTCGGTTACTGACCTAGTGAGTCAGTTATGACTTCCCTGGTAAGTGAATTTACCAATGCACTCAAAATCTCCATTTACTATTGTTACGCAGAGAACCAGAGAATAAAAGTCTTGGAGCATTCGGGTGGCAAGGAACGCATGTCAGACATTCTTAAATTACCACCCAAGGTGTCCGGAAGACTATGAATCTTGTTAGTGTTTTCCCTTAACTGGACTTTGTCTTCTGCGTACTATGAAACTACCTATAGTTCTCCTGTGATGAAATGAATCTGTGTGAATGTTTTTGATGAGAGGGAGATCTCTATAAATAAGTGTTTGACCAAGCTGCATGAGAATGATGGATACCACTCCGAATACGCAACCCACCTGACAACTCGCTATAGGATCTAACATGCCCATAGGTATTAGAGTAAAGAGCCTTCAGTAGAGTGATAACTTACTCAACACTTCTTTCAATGAGAAATACTGCAATAAGACCTCATGGAGGAGGGAGTCAAATGGTGTCTTCAGGTCGAGAAATACAGCTATTATCCGTTGTCATTTAGTATGCCTGTTCCAGAACCTAATGGACGCAAATATCTGGTCAATACACCCACATCCAGGTCTGACGATCTTCTGGTTTCTAGGGTTTGCTTTTCTTAAGTTCCATACCCAAGTCTAATAATCATAGAACCTGTAATTATCACAAGAGGATTTATCCGTTCGTTGAAGACCAGAACAATCGGTGATTCAGATGAGACAGACGGGATCATATCTGACTCGTGTATGCTCCACTACCGTTCTTAAACACTTAGGGTACTAGCCAATTGAGGCCTGTTGCACTTCTTTGTTTCAAGTCACCTCACCTCGAATTAGAGTTGAAGGCCGAATCTCAATATTTCATTCAGGATCCAAAGGATGTGAGGCAGCAGAATAGTAGTTGGAGACCATGTTATATTGATCTTGGTGACTAGCAGAGGAATCCAGGACGTATATTTCGTCCTATTTGGCGCTTGAAGTGATGAGTGGGAACAACATCACTGCAGGTACATCCAGCTGACGAGTCCCAAATAGGATAAACAAGCGTCCTGGATCCCTCTACTAGTCACCAGGATGAGTATAACATCATGAATATCTAACGGTGTCAAGGCATCCGAATAGGAGTCTATCTGCCAAGAGAGGTCGAGCAATTCGACGCTGTATAGTAAAGGGAAATTACAATAGCTGGAACTAGTTCCAGTCACCACTGGTATGAATAACATAAGGACCCACACAGCAGGTGTGCCTCATGATATATTACTTTAACCTCCGTGGAATAACTTGTACCTACCTATCCATAAGATGTTACATATTGTAACCAGTCGCCAGGAGTTAACGTAGATATACTTCATAAGATTTGATAGGTTAGATTTTTACTTTTGATATTCAAGAGACTATGATTAGCATTGATTGACATCATTCCGATACACCGATAATGACTTCATACAAGTTAATAAGGTTATTTCTTCAATTCAAGGTAATACGTAATGAGTTGAAAGTTTTCAAATGATTTCATTCTCATTCGTTCAGCATTCTATTAACTAATATATTTACTGTTTATGCAAAATGTTTATTTTCATTTTCTGTTAAAGTGACCGCCAACTCAACTGTCAATGGATTAAAAGACAACATAAAACTCCGGTTGTTTTTCATCAAATAAAACCACAGATTTTTAATTACCCAGTGAAAATTAAGAAATTCAAATTGACCAACACTTTAATCTCAAACTTCTACAGTAGACGAAATTGTCCATTGGGATATTATCGTGAACTGTTGATCAATACAACAGAAGTAAGCAATCATCATCTGATCTATGTGATCTTAATTGTAAACTTTTTTATTGTGATAATGTTAGGACATAGGTTAAAGGTTTCAAGGTTATCTAATTTACTGAGCAAACGATATCATTGTCATTAAACTATTTTGCATGAACAACCAATAAACAAATATGAAAAGCCTAAAAGCTTTTTCAATAAGGTGTGATAAATCGTACCTTGTAAAAAAACATTTCTGATCATTATTTTATCCACATTTCTGGGTTGTGATGCATCTGTTCACCCATCTTCTACATTTTCGCTTCATATTGTACCATTTAGCTCAATGGTAGTGGATTATTAGTGCTGTACTGTGCTCAATAGGTAGTTATTGGTGTTTTCCAGGGATTAGGGATACTAAAGAGCAGCAAATACTTATTGTGTTCTTTGTTATTACCATTATTAACTGATTTAATTTGGGGGTTTGTGAGGATTTAGTGATTTCAAGTTGGTGTTCATAATGGATTGACATCAGATGGAAGAACACCGGAAACCTAAGAGCACTGGACAGATGTGTCGCCATAGTGTGGGAGTCCTCAGCAGTGCGCACCCAAGACACCGCCGGGGATCGAGCCCAGGACCTTCGTGTTCCATGGCCAGCAGGTTACCATTGAGCCACCGGGTCGTAATCCAGTGGTCCATATTTCCAACTGAGTTACCTAACCGATAAATAGTCCATCAGTATAAGTTCACAATACACGTGCAAAAATGGAAACTAAATTTTGCATTCTTGCCAGTAACTAAGTGATTGGTAAGCTGAGCCATATAGGGAAATGTAGACTTCTAGATTGGAGTTGATATAACAGCTGAAATCGATATCATGAGACTCGAGGTGATATGATTTTTGATGAGTTGTACTGGTACACAACATATTATTCTTATCCTAACCATTACACCATACTCTCTCCTTCTCCATTGAAGACCTTCTACGAGTTGTCATTAATTATTACTATTTCCTTTCTCTCTGTACCTTGAATCTTGATGAGGTGATGTGAGGAGTGATAACCATGTGAAAACTAATAGATTAGTTGGGCTCAAGAACTGAGAAAACTGAGAAGTAGGAAACGATAAGGACAGAGAATGGTAAGCTAACTTCTGAATGCACATTTCCGGCTTCATTTGTTGTATAGTCAGAGTTTCAGCAATGCAAAGTAAATGTTTCTTCTCAACTTTCGGAAGATTACGTTGTACTTCATAGACTACTGTAAACGAATCTTTTGAAACTGTGTCCGGTGTCAACCAAAATTTTGTAGTAAGGAGCTGTTGACTGGTCTGGTTTGGCTTGTACTGAGCTATTCTAGAGCACATCAGTATTGACGCTAGACAAATTGGCTCTCTGTACGGCTTACGTAACTAGCTTTACAGGAGGAGGTGAACTGATATATGCACAGTGAAGTGGCTACCAGTGCCAGTTTACCAATAAGTAAGCAGTATTGATGATTATCAGAGTGGCTGCATGAAATGTTCTTTTGATTGACATCACTACTGTACGTTATAATGTTTCATCTACTGCATTTCCAATGAATTCAATGTTCAAAAATAGCTTTTTCTTGTCCATAGTGATGGGAGAATCATGGTAGCATTCGACGGAGAATTTTTATTTGAATCTCTCCAGGTACATATATCTGATGAAAATCGATCCTAATAATTCACTTTTATCTTCCAAAGTGTCGAAAACGCAAATCCTCTGGGTTCCATTATGCAGATGAAGAGAAATACATCATGGAGAAAACATTTGTTTCGCTGAATTCTTTACTCTTGTATAATTTCCAGGAGAACTTTTTTCACCTTACAACTTGCTTTCATGCACTTTACTCCATGTGACAGTTGAAGAATTTCGAAAATTATGAGGCATTGTACAGATGTTTCATCCTAGTTTTGAACATTTTATCAGCACATACCGACAATCTAGTGAGGGGTCCGGCTTGGGACCGTCAGATTTCGCAGCGACTACATTACTATTCAGCAGTTGAGTAATGATGTTGTAGTTCACTTGTTCGTGATTCTATTCACAAGTGTGGTAGTGTGACCATAATCTAATGGCACCAATTTGTAACTGTTTTTAAACGAAACTTAGTAATCCTTACTGGTTATGGCTCCTCAACAAATACTTCTTGGTGTAGATGTCTGATGAGTTATGAAAAGTTGTTCAAGAGAGAAGTTCGAAGCTGTTCATTACTGAGGAATCCTGAAATGAGCTATAACGACCTTTCAATGCTCTTTGGTTCTCAACAATTCTTTTGTCGATAAATATTATGTTATTGTGTGCTATAAGATTACTTAGATCCTGACAAGAAGCCCTAAATCCCTGAAACTTTTCATAACCAATCATTTTTCGCCGAAGTTTCTAGGAGAGACACATGATCATACGTACAGATATCAGATTCGTTGAAGAAACAAAATCATTATGGAATGTTCTTCTAGAAGAGCCTTACAATGGTCAAGGCCATTAGAAACATATATAAACTGTTGCATTTTGATGATAGTTTGACGTTGCAATTCATCTTTAGTTATCTTACCGCCATTTCAATTTACCAAGGAACTGGGAGAAGATAAAGTGTGGAATCTGAAGGTTATATATATATACCAGAAACTCAGAGAAAAATCTTCGTTTATTACTGGTAAACACTTTTCAAACTTCACCTATCACAGGTCGTATGTTATATCGGAGTAGAAGTTAACTACGCTGATATAACGCATTTCACAATCGCCTTATTCAATGTATGTTCAGAGCATCATCTGCCGAAAATCTATTTTGTGTAGGATGATTCTTCATCTTGTACAAGTAATGCTAAGCTGATAAACCTACATACATTACATGTAGGTGATATATACCCAGTCAATGAAGTTTACGAAGTTTTGACTGGAACGTGTTTATGATATTTTTCAACTCCAGATCTATTGGTCTGGTGTGTTAAAAGAAACTAGTCAAATTTCTACACAAATCTTTGCAGGCAGATCTTCAATCTTTACCTCCTGATGCATATTTCTATTCTTCTGTCCTCATTCTTTCACTTCTACTGCTTTTCGTCATCATCATCATATTCACATTTGCTTCAGCTTCTTATTCCCTAACTTTACCATTCACGTCGTCATCCTGCTTGGAGTCATACGCTTCAACTATATTCCATTCGTTCTCCTAGGACTGTTCTCTTTTTGGCCCTCTTGGTCATCATCCCTTCTCCTTCAGAGATTTTGACTGCTCAATATGTCTATAACTTCTCATCTCGTCTCTTTAATATAAATTTATCAGGTGGTATCTACGTCTGTCTAATAAAAGACGTTGGGTAAATGTGCAGGTGCTGTTAGGTTGACCTTAAATACACATCCCTCTTACATTCATTCCTCAAAAGTGCTAACCCACTTCCCCATTTGATACTTGTAATCTCCTGTTGCTACACCGGGTCAAACTGCTTGACTTCTGTTGGCCGTTCTAAATACAACGAAAGGTGTCTACTGGGTTCCACTGCTAGCTACCAAGCAGATCGCAATATGATGAGTAATTGGGCCGTATCCAAGCATCCATACAAGACCCCAAGTGTCAATAGACATTGGGCAATTTGACCCAGTATTGTAAAGGTACATTACAAGTATCAAACAATACCTGATATCTGTTGTAAAGGAGGTGACTCTCGTGCCCCATTGAGAATTAAACAGAGACAGACACTAGGTCCGAGTCTGAGAGGGGACAACACCATTCACTGGGATGCATGTGTGTCCAGCTGATGAGTCTCAGGTAGGACAAAATGCGCGTCCTGGATTCCAAGGTTAGTCACCAAGCAGACAACAACATAACCGACTTATTGTTAAATTAGCAGTGTAAACATCGAAATTCCGCGTTTCACTTTGAGCGTTCGTAGTGAACACACCCGTACAAGCATAAATCACTATTATTCCAACTGTTCTAAAGACATTCAAGCAAGTGAATCTTTGAATAAAGAAGGAGATAGATGACACCTCACTTGTTATGTCCTTCAACTGATATGACAGCCAGTGAACATTGTGATCGACTTTGAGTCTGATTACTTTATTTTAGAAAATCTTGTTGAAATATGTTATACTTTTGTTGTTTACTGATTATAGACATTCTATAGAGGTGGTTTCCACTAGCAGACCGTTATCCAACGTTATCCACCAAATTTTCCATTTGTACTGTGTTCTTTATATCCTGGAATCTATCCTCCGCATTACGTTTTTATACATCAAAATGTAAGTAGACTATCAATTAGCGGGTTTCGTGTGTCAGACGGTGTGCGACTTACTATAGGAAATGATTATGGGGACGGCGAAGTGGTGATTAAAAGAAAGAAGAAAGGATTAAAGATGTGTAACCGAAGACAGTAGACGTTAGTTTTCTTGACTTCATTCACTATACGTCAGTGAGGAGAGAGAGATAGGAGAACGTATGGGATGAGATCGGAGTATGAGTTGGTTTAGTTAATGAAGGGACGTGGAAATCGACAGTATTTGAACACAAAGAGTGTGATGTGATAGACCAGGCGAGTGAATAGTTTATTTAATGAATGAAAGCTGTCCTAGTAGATGGACCGTGTTATGTCTAAAGCTGATCAGTGTGTCTTATTAACCATTGACAAGTAGCTTGGCGATTGCTTTTTTAATTTCTATGTTTTATGTACTCGAATATCCACAGTGCATTCAATGTCCACCTGATCATTTTGCTGATGAATATACGTCATCATACTCATGTGATCCATGTCCTGTACATCGACCAATAACTAGGGGTATTACAGGAGCAATTTCTATGCATTGTACTGGAAAGATAATATCCAACAAAAGACGGGTAAGCGAATTTTCATTCCTGTTTTTTAATCAATAAATGAAATAGAATATTATCATTTCATTATTAAGTATTCATAATAAAGAAAGGTATCTAGGTTGACTCACTTTATATTCGTTGCAATAAAAAACTAATGGAATTCAGGTGTCAAACTTTATTTTAGAAGACATGGTCTAACCAAAATAAAGTCACAACCAATCACCTCCAAGTTTGGTGCAAGTATAATTGACCAATCAGGTGAGCATCAGTACAGAACGCTCTCTAAAGAAATGAAAAATAGGCTAATTATCTAAGTAATATAAAACTAATTACTAAAAGATGAGGATATTTCAAAGCTTTTCCAGGTGTACCATACAGAACAGCAAAACAGCGACTAATTGGTTTTATTTATCTAGAGTGAATAGCTCATCGTCCATTGTACTTTTATTGTAAGGGTTGAAAATACCAGCTGATAGCAGGTTGCCTAGTTCCAAGTTTTATGACTTTGGAAGCTAAAGCTTAACTGTGAACATCAACCTTTTATACATGGATACATACATACACCACTTAAACAATTACTGAAATTGCCAATTAAATTTCTCGATCTTGTAAAAACGTTAACTTTCTAACAGAGATAAAGAAATTTAATTGGTCATTTCTGCAGTTGATAGAGTTTATCTGACATGATCCGGACTTTTGAAACTCCTCAATAACGGAATATTCCTATGCTTGCTAAGTTCTACCTCCACCTATTAGTCAAGTACTGAATTGATTGAAAGACGAAATAATCACCATTTTCTCATCTAAATGGTCTATTTTCTTTTTCTTAATGCAATAGAAGATAAGGTATGGTCACTTATTATGTTTATTGTATCTCTGTTGAATTACAGTTGAATTACACGAGGACAACTCACCATAATTCATATTAGTACACTAACTGATTTCACTCATGGAAATTGAAATAATGAACAACAGTTGACTTCATGTATTATGCAACTGTTTCGAAACAGTGTCATAAGGAAAGTTAGAAGTTAGAAGTTGATACTAAGCTCTTGAGCTGAGCTACAAGATACCTATCTTTTCTCACACGTATTTTCATCTATCAACTTTTAAACAGTAAGAACAGATAGACATTGGAGTAGAATAATATGGATATATTTTATTGTTTCAATGATCCTCGTCAGTTGCTTATAACTTTGAATATTTACAATAAGAAATTACAAAACAATATTAGTATACTTTATTTGAGTACGTTCAGTCAGAATGGGACAATGACAAAATGAAGTAAGGAAACTGTTACGCAATGATGCCACAAATAATAATATATAGGAGTGAATATATGAATAGACAAGTTAGTAGTAATCCAAAAACTCTCCGTTACCTTGTTCATAGTAGGTAATAAGTTAGATCTATTGTGTTACGCCTGATGATACCACCTAAGTGTCAAAACCTCAGTAGATGGAGTAGCGTTCGAAACGATGACTCATTTGTTGAAAGTCAACTCCTTAAGCCAGTGAACCGCAAATCCGCTGGACAGAACACAATGTGATAGAATATAACGAGTAGAATTCAGCAAATGAAGACTGCTGAACTGAAAATCTTATGACGAGTTAATGTTATCAAAAAGATGAAAGTTTAAAAAGTCGTTTTCCTTCCCGTTAATTTTTCTTTCATGCCCCATTGGTAATGAACAGTTGTTAGTTGACTGTGAACTATGTATCTCATTTTATAGCCTAAATGGCCTAGTTAAATATTTGTAATTTATTCTGCATTGGGTGTATATGTTATCCAGCTACATAGACGGAGTAGTTGTTGACCCGAAAAGGACGCCTAGTAAAACGGTTGTGAACACCTTCACTTGCTATTTTGATTAGTGACTCTACAGAAAGTATGTGTGACAATATTAGGACGATGATCTACAGTCAGTAAATGGTACATGAGTGGATTCTTTAATACTGATCTTTGGACTTCACCCTTAGAGGTCCCCTGATTCCATGAAAACAGAAAGACAATATCTATCGACATGATTCTATTAACCAATCTGAACATATGGTTTTTCGCGAACGTTTGACATGAAATGACTAGTTGTGAAGGTTTTCAGGGAATTACTTACTTCCTTGATAAACCTAGGAAGTGATGATTCACTCAAAAAAAGACAGAACAGCGTATCATAAAATATAGTCGCAAACTAGTACTGGAAACTCATATTTCGCAATTATCAGTGTAAGTCATATGAAAAAATCTAACCGGAAGCTACTGGTTTGATTTTGCTGCTATAAAACTTCGCTTTTACCTTCAACCATCACCCTGTGTGTCAATAATATCAGTCTGCAAGGCAACAAATATCCTAGAAAGTCCCATCAACCAGCTATATCAGTTTATTGATACTGTTATAGCAGGATTGGTGAGCAGTGGATGAACAATGTTATGGGCACTAATTTACCCGGATATCTTAAAGACGTTAGATGGAATGGGGCGATGTTTCAGAACGACACCACAATACAGAACTAAGAGTAGGTAATTTATTCATTTAGGTATTGATACGTGCGTGTTCATGAGGACAGTAGATGGAAGTACGCCCTTAGATAGGATTCGAATCGGTGGTTTCTTACTTGGCTGATCATTTAATATTTACAGTCAACGTTTTCCCCTGATACTACTGCATAACAGTCCGACTTGTCTCAGTTGCTCGTGTCATCATATCAAGATAGAAGACACCAAGGTGTAAGATGAGACTGGTGAAAAATGCAGTCAAAAAAGTAGAAGAGGTGGCAAGAGAACAAAGCAAAATAACTACATCCAATATGATGTCTAAGATGAAGGCAGTACATGGTTAATCTGTGCCACTGAGATCTATTCTGAACCATATCATCTAAAGTCTTCAACCATGGATTTCTGATGTCATATGATCCCAACCTGTAAGTCTACACTTCTTTACACTGCTCAGAACAACAATCGGAGCATTCCGTTGCTTCAACTAGCACCAACAAACATAACTGTGTTGCCAACTTCAATTCACTCAGTGCTTGAAAACAACTCTACAAATTTGGAATATATGTCCCAAACTTTTCTTGGCCATTCATTGTATGCTACTGTTATCGTAGTTAAGTGGGAGTTTCATCATGCCTTATGAAAAGTAGCTATACTGTTGCGCAATTGGTACCTCATATTTAGTTTCTTTTCATACATAGATTAACTCGGCACAAGAGCACATACCCAATGGAATGGTGTAAATAAACTTTTACAACACCAGAACAGAAGGAAATATGAACGTCAAACTAAAATATTTATCCGACTGTTTTATCCATCGAAATGATCATTTCACATAAGACTTATTATGCATTAAATATTACTGCATAGCTCACTTATTTCAAGAGCTTCATATGGACCGCTCATTTCCTTCCATACGACTTGTAGTCCTGTTGGAGAAGGTCAGTTATTGAACATATCTCTCTGTTTTCTGGACATAGCATCACTCATCTCATTACTTCACAGTGTAACCGTATGATTTAGGCGCATAAATGTATGGAACAGATCAGCGTTAACTGAGCAGAATAATGAATATTTGATCTTGTCATTAGTGGAATCGAAAAATTATGCTGTCCAATAATGTTTCACCGAGTAACCTTGCTAACTAACCAATAGTTATTTAGCCCTCATTATTTTTCAGTATATATTTGACAAAATGAGACGAAATTAGTTTCATGTCATAGTTCTACCATAATTTTCAAGCATGCACATTCTCGACATATTTTTTTATTGACTGAAGTGGAATAAATCGTGAATGTGAAACCTAAAATTTATATCGTTTGCCAATGAACTGTTCACCCTAATTCTAACTCGTTAAACTCTAACATTTGATTTAAAATGAAGTAAAGTTCCCTATTCCTGAAATTAAACTATTAACTTCTAGCGGATGTAATAGTCATAATTCCTTGATCAATGGTAGTTAACAATTTTCATCTTGACAAGAATTCGCAAAATCTTTAGCCAGTCAGTCACTCACTACTGATTGGTTATTTCAAAGATGTCACAATTTTTCGGTTCTACAGGTTGAAAATGTAACAGTAAAAAATTTCTTTCCGCTAGTTTATTAAATATTTTAAACATTCCTCAAATAACTTACACGGTACAATTTATTTTATAGAATCACAGGTTACGTAAACACATCCCATTTGAACAAGAGTTTGCAACAAAAGTAAAGCGAAATATTCAACAAATCAGTGTAAAGATTACCAGTAGTCAAGAAAATGTTAGAGACCGTTTGATGAAATGGCTAGGACCTGATTCGAATCGAATAAAACTACAAGATGAAGCGATCAATGTGTTTAAGGTGAATAAAATCATAATATTCATTCGGTTCAGTGTTTCAATGTTGTTTGAATTGTTCAATGCTTGGAAGTGTAAAGGCTTAACTTCGATATAAATCTATGTAAGAAATAGTATACTCAATAAGTGTGTTCTTGAAACGTTTCAGAGAAATTGTATAAGAGATGTTAAAATATGGTGTAAATGTCACACTTCTCTTCTCTGTTTATCTTTTCTTCAATTGGGAAAGTTGTATTTTGAAATTCATTATTGAGTAAGATTACACGTTACTTTGAGTTTGATCAGTCAATGATTTACCTTTGTTTAAGGTCTGAAGATAGTTTTCAACTTGGAATAATTAAACACAACGATACAATGCGATAACACCAAGTGATAGTCCGTAAAGTCAACTTAGTGGAGTGGAGGGAGAAACTGATAACCGAATTTTTGTCTATCGAATCAACACCTAATACGTGGATCGGGAATGAATCAGTATCTGAAAATCCTACTATATAAACCATATCTCAAAGTTGTAGAGTTATCTTGAAGTGACTATATACAATAAATTTTGTTCAAAATGTAACCTAGTAAACAGTACTGCTTTGCTGTATGACAGATCTAATAAATCAACTAAAATGGGAGAAATTGACCAAGTTTTGAAAAGGACTATGATCTCAGTATGGTTAGGTTAGAAAAACGCATATGATGGTTAGATAAAGACATAACACTAGTCAATTTACAGCTATTATTAACCATGTAAGGGAGTAGAGACTTCAGAATTGTTAAGAATTAGTGTTTGGTACTTCCTGATGGCTAAAAAATTGGTCATAATATTCAAAATTTTGAGCATTTCTACTTATCTCAATTAATTTTATTCCATCTTTAGTACACTTTTCCACTTAAATATTCTTTCTCTTCCATCATCTCATTATTCCATGATAATTTATCTGTATGTTTTTTTAATAATCCTGATTTATCTGGACTTACTTGTTAGATAATTTCAGTAGAATTAGTAGTTCTGTAAAAACTGAAGGTCTTTAGTTCTATCCCAAATGGAGTTATTAGTAAATACTGTTAAAAAGTCTAAAATGAAGATAAAACAGTTGTGAAATCCTCTTTGATTTTAATAGTTTTCAAGTTGATTTTGATGAATGATAAAATTTGTTTTAAAACAAAATTAATGAAGAGTTGCTTGCTTTAAGTTTAAAGAATGTAAACAATTTTTGCATCAGTAATAATGTCAGCTCATGATGAATATTATCTTGAGATGAAATCCATGTAAACCCGAAACTAAATTAACTGTTTAACATTGTCATGCTATTCTCATTATTCGTCTTATCCTTTATAATATAAGGCAAGAAGTTTTATTACTCTAAAATGCATAATCAGCATACTTGTTATCTTTGACTAACACATTACTTTGACTAGTCTCATATAGGACTCTTCAGAAGTACTTACTCCTCACCCTACCACAGATCAGGCTCACAACCTTCAGTTCCCGCGGCGAATGCATAAGGGATCTAGCGACTGTGTATCCCCTCATGATGTCGAGTACACTTAATTAATGATTGTCAGCAAGCATGAAATGTAAGAGAGACATAGAGTCTTTCCAAGTGACTCTCTGCATCTAACATATTCACATATATGAGATCTTCATCATTCTGAACAGTGATACCATAGTTTGCTGCGTATTCTTGACTGACCCCTTGGAAAATCGATGGTCCAGTTTTAGTATTGATTTGAGTAGCAAGGTAGATTTTGATCAGGAGTTGGAAGTCCTCTAGGAAGAGAAGTACTTAGACATGATGCCTTCACATACATTTTTTGCGATCTTCATTTCCAACCAACCTGCAGAAAAATGTCTGTATTACATTTCAGATAAACAGAAATTGGCTAATTCGATTTAGAATAAAAACGTAAAATTACAGTTACCAAAACAACACCTAGTATCCACATTACAAGGGGTGGATCACATGCACCGGTCGCCTAGTGGGTAACGCTTTGGCGTTTGAAGCGGTGGGCACCAGTTGGAACATCACCGCTGACTTGGGTGCTGAGACATCTAGTCAACGAGTCCCAAATGGGACGAAACACGAGTCCTAGATTTTCCTCCTAGCCACCAAGTAGACATTTTTTAACGTTAAATACGTCACTAAAAATGGAAAAAGGAAACTGAGAATTATCTTTTTGAAATCTGCAGTTTGATATGAAGAGAAACATCACTGTACATTTACGCAGTCATTTAGAGGTAACTCGAAGCTAATCCCTAATAGGTTTGTTTGCGACTAATAGTAACAAGTAAGTCACGTAAAGCTTCCTACAGAGTTGATTATTTACAATGAGGATTATCAGCACTCAAAAATAATTTAATTGGTGGGTTGTAGAGACTGATTGAAAAGTTGGGATCATTGCACAACTGTTTCATTCCAGTAAACAACTCTACAGAAGTGAGGACTTCAGCCATCCCGAGCAGCTCAGTGGTGACTTCTCTAACTTTGACACTGGATGAAACAGCTTCGAATAGCCTAGGAAGTAAACTTTTCCTGAAGACTATGGTTGCTCTGTATTGAAGAAACCAAACAGCTGGAAAACTCAAGTCGAGAAGGGTGTCCTAGTGAGCTGAATATTTTTTACATTGAGAAGGATGTGTCAACATTGTTTGTAAAATTATAGTTTTTGGTAGGTTTTGGCTACGAAAGTAATGACGACACACAAATTGCCACACGTGACTAACTGTAGTAAAATAAGCGTCATTTGAAATCAGGAGATGAAGATAAGGCAATAGAATGGCTGAATAATTTTCAAGCAGAAAGTCAATAATATTCAGAGAAGAAGTTGGTGTCTAAGTTGAAAGTTTACACAATGATAAATTAACATATTAAAGAGCCCAAGAAATGTGAAACATTAGTTGGTTTGAAGGATTTACACCTTTGATAAGTGAATAGAAAAGTTGATTTTAAGTACAGAATTTCGGCTTTCATTTCTTTGTTTCGAAAGCTTTAGTTAGTAACGCAAAACGAGAGACGTTTACTTACACCTTCTACAAGGATCTTCTGTATCCCGTAAACTGTACACAAAGAATCTTCTAAAAATGTTTTTGAATTATCTATCATTTCTTATAAAATGGGCTTTTTGGTTTATCTAGATTCACTCTTACTGAACCATGTCAGAAAATGTTCAGTTCGATGCAGAATAGGCTACTCCATATGAGGAGGTGAACTGATATATGCATGCTGAAGAAGCCAGAATTGATAAATTGTTCTATGCATAGGCATTAACCATTGGATGGCTAGTTTAAACGAACTATAACATTTTCTGTTGATGACTTTTCATCACTTGTACTTTAAAAATTTTATCTTCTGTTTCACCGATGAGTTACAAACTCAAAGGTGGTTTATTTTAAACTTTCCTGAAATAAAGCTGTGAAAAATGACCGCTGAAAGTATAAGATATGAAGCAATTACAAGTTTTTGATCAGGGATATTTTCATAATATTGCTCGGGTATTGTGAACAATGTTGAGATCAAGTAAATGACAAGGGAGATAAGTCAGTCGATGAGACGGTGAACCTTTATCTACTGAGGTGGCTTGAGCATGTACTGTGCTTGCCAAGATAAATCCTAACTTGAAGTACAGTACTAGGAGAAGATAAATCAGGCTGTAGAAGATTCACAGTGTCTAAATTAGGAGGTGGCATCATTCGATGAGGTCTCTTACTGTTTGTTTAAGCTGTGTTGGGAGATGTAAACTGTTTAGTTGAGGTCCGTGAGACGATAAGAATCAGTGGTTAAGAACTCTTGTTGACATGGTTGAAAATCGGTCACATTGGTCCAGATCTATTCTGAAGCTTGAACGTTTTAATTAACCTTAATTGTTAAACTCCTTCTATTCCCGTACACTTTTTTCATCCACTTGTCATTCATATACTATTATGAAGTGTGATAACTCGAACTCGTGAACTTGTGTCCGAGATTCTGCATTGATTTTATGTATCTGTTTGACCATTGGCTAATGTTTCAGGGTTGAATGACAAAACTATTATCACCCTAATCACACATGTCAAGATTCATTTGATAAGGCCTGTGAAATCGATTACAATAGGTCAGACATGTATGGTTTCTGTCATCTGTAAAGTTATGAAAATCATACTATTACTTTCTTCATTTTTCCTATCCCTAAATATCTTAGTAATTTACTAGGATATTTCTCTATTTTAATGTGTAGATACGGCGCAACGGCTTAATCATTAAACATTTGAACAATAGCCCTGTCTCACTTAACTTGGTTTGAACCATTGAGTAATGTCATAAATACTCATACTATAAGCGTAACTCACAGCCTAGTATGTGAATCTGTAACAGGTTGAGTAAGAATAGGATTTCTTCTCTCTACTTCCAATCAAGTTGAAAAGTCTGTCATCTGAAAACATTTCAATCTTGTGTAATGCTCTACTCGGATGGATCTGTCTATCTGCTTGTTTATTGGTTAATAGTATTGAGTATATGTAGAACTCTGCTACATTTGCCTTTATAAACATGGCTATACTTACCTACGACTTTTTAAAGTTTGGTTAGCCCCTGAAGAGAATGTGGTCGACCCAGAGAATATGGGTCCAATATCCTCTTTAAGCGACTAAGCTGACAAAACACAGTGTCTTTTGAATACTTCAAGCGGAAATGTAGGCACACTTGTCAAGTGATTTGCACCTATCGAATATAAAATGTTGCCTTAAAACTATTCTGGTATGACATTTAGTTTTAGGATAGGGAATAAAGTGGTTGAATTCACTGACAACTCTACTCATTTCGAAGGTTGTAACAGTTATTACGGTGTGGTTGCTAACGAAATCTCATTGTGAGCCTACAAAGCTTGCATGTCTTTTCCTACTTCCATCAGCTTTGGCATCAGGTGAGCCACACCACTACAAATGGAATCCTGAACCTCTTTTTATAATTTCGTAATAGTACAATTTGATCTGTGAAATAGGAAAGAAGTGTGTGTAATTACAATTTATACTGGATAATGATTGAAGGTAAAATGAAAATTTGGACCGGGGCCTTAACTCAACCATCGACCACCAGGTTTCTGGCCCGATGCTCCACCAACTGATCAGTAGTCGGACCTCGTGGTTCAGTTAGTAGAGTATTGGGCCAGAAATTCGGTGGTCAATGGTTCGAATACGGTCGCAGTCCAGATTTTTATTTCACCTTCAATCATTACCGTGTGTCAATACTAGTCTGCCATACCAACGTCAAGTCAATGCTTTTATATGGTTCAGAGACTTGGCGCGTCACGAAACGCATTTCCAACAAACAACAGACATTCATCAATAACTGCCTACGCTGGCTCGTTACTGAAGCTCAGATGGCCGGAAAGAATAAGCAACAAAGAACTCTGGCCTGTCAACGAACCAACCAAGAAGCTATCGCTCAACAAATATGCAGAAAGAAGTGGAGATGGATTGGGCATACACTAAGAACATCATGCGCCAGGCCGGGCCCTCGAGTGGAACCTAAATGGGAAACGGCGAGTTGGGCGTCCGAGGGTGACATGGAGGAGATCGTGCGAGGAAGAAATGAGAGCTTGTGGGCAGTCGTGAGCCAGGTTAAAAAGACTGTAGAGAAGAGAGTGAAATGGCGATGTTCTACCGAAGTTCTATGTTCCACTAGAAACCCAAGGGACAAATAATAAATACCACGGCTATATCAGACAGTCAAAAAATGATAAAATTTATTGACTACCTTGTGTTAATTATATTTTGTTCCTCTTTTTACTTGTAGCAATTAAATTGCCTTGGATTTTCTTCAAAAGAATTATTCCTAATGATAATATCATCTACTGGAATAGCATGGTTTGGAATATGTCTAACATTCATTTTATTCCTCAGTGTACAAGAACCATTTCATTATTATAAAAGAGGAAGAAAGAATGCTAAGTATAGAACAAAATTTGATAAAGCCTATGATTCACTGGTATGGATTTCATCATTTTTCTTACAATCGGTAAGTATCAGTCAAGTTACTTTCATGATTAGTTGATTTTTATTCAATTAAAAATCAATTAAATCATCTATTGACAACTAAAAAGTTTGTAGTGAAAATGATTTGATTTCAAGTGAAGTCTAATTACATTTTAGTTGATTTGTTAGGTATATGACACATTGGAACAGTACTATTTATTGGATTGTGTTTCGGAGACAATTTATTGTCCATAGTCATATCTAGGTAACTTCACAACTTATATAAGTCCTAATTTTCTTGTCTCCTTTGTCATAAGGATAATAGGATCTTCCATATATCTGTAACAGGTGAAGAACTATATTGATCTCATATATTTGGTGATTATTCGATAGTAAACAAAAATTTGGTTAGGATCGGATTCAATATGGGTTGAAACCAGTTGGAGAACCACTGAAAACTTTGGAGCACTGGGCAGCTGTTTCGTCCTACTGTAGGACTCCTCAGAAGTACGTACCCACGGCCACACTCGTCAGGGATCAGACCCAGTTCCTTCAAGGTTAATGAAAAACGAATTAACCATTCAACCATGGTGTATACTGCTGGGTCCTATACAAGGAAGAAACAGCTATCCAGTGCTCTCGGATTTCCAAGTTTCTCCAACTGATGTCAGTCCATGAAGAATACCAACTTGGAAAATTACAAGACAGTCTAAGGTAGCCATGCCTTGAAAACCTTGTGTTACTGGAACTGGATGATGATCGAAGGTGAAATAAAAACCTTAGTGTTGGGAGGATTCGAGCCAGAGGCTTAAGATTTCATTCATTTTTCAATATTACTTTAACAATCCAATAACATCAATCATCAATTATTATTTTCTTTATATGCATGTATCAGATTCTTCGTTTCCCACTACATTTATTTCATGGACTACATAGGCGTACAAGTGAAGTGTCAAGGAAATTAAGCCAAAGTGCATTTTTAATAAGACTTTCTATGGTTAGACGTGAAACGTTGAATGTTTTTCGTCAACAATTAATTCATGAAGAATTATTTGAAATGCGACAAGCAATAATATTACAAGATATTTTAACTGAATTAACAATTGCTCGTATTATTGAAGCATATGAAAATGAACAAACTAAAGATTATAAAAAACATCTCAGTCAAATGACATCTAGTTCAATGAGTAAACAACTTGGTAGTATTGACGATAATTTCGAAAATTCTATCAATAGTAAACGAATACAACGTGAAGTTGAAGTGTTGAAACCATATTTTCATATACCAAGACATTATAGTACAGCATTTTTCTTATTGCATCCAAAATTTTGGCGCCAAGTTAGTAAACCATGTTCAAAATTCAATGCACCATTTTATCCCTTAGAAATCAAAGATGGAGAAATATAATAACTGAGAATAAATAAATAAGTTCAATGTAACAAAACAAAAATGAATATTAACAGCAAAAACGCTTAATTGTTTGATTCATTTTCACTTCAATTGAAGGTTCAATGTTTCAATGTTAGACATTCACTTTTCCAATATTTGTTTACATCTAAAATGCTGTTTTAAAAATCACGCGAATAAAAGTGTTTTGTTAAATTATTATTTTTAAATTAGTCGAAATACTTGTACCTAATGATTTACACGTTTTAATGAAAGTATGCATATGAAATGAAATTATTAAATGTTGAACTTTGAATACTAATTAAAAGTACTTGAAAAGGCCATGAATCTGACCAACCGTATGACAACCATAAGGTCCAGTATGGTTGCACCAGTTAGAAAGTGAGTGGCTAAGTCAGTGAGTTACAGTATCAGAGAAAATAATTAAGACGGATGTAATATGATTTTACTTTGTTTTTGAGAAGTAGTAGTCAAATTTTTATTTTTGCTTATACTGTGAATAGTCTAAAAGCTATCTACCATAGTAATTTAGCAGCCAATAAAGTTTATTTTAAGCTGTAGATGTTTATCAGAAATTTAGAATTTCTATCCAAATGTTTCTTTCCTGAGTGGTTATGCAAATCAGTATGGAAATATCCACTTTTAGGCTTCATTTTAGGGATGATGTGAATCAGTGTTGTATGATAATCGTCTTATTGGGACCAAATTGACGCTATAATAAAACAGTGAGTCTATAATCTGACAAACCCGAAATTATTTGACAACCATCTTATACTTTCTTGATTAGAAATAAGAACATTGAATTAAAATAAAGACACGTTTGACAGCTGCTCCTCAATTGGTCAAAATTTTAGTCATTTACAACACCATAAAGCTTGTTGAGATAGATAAATCAGTTTCTTAAAATGTTTTGTACAATTAATTGATACAGTTTTGTGTGTTTACCTCTAGAACACTACAATATCAAGATATTTATTCTTTAAACGAATAGCAATATATAACGCAGAAATGCTACGTGATCATTCAAGCTGCTACATCGGAAATCATCACGTCAAGTTAGACGGTATCAAGGTGAAAGATAGAGGAATAAGAAAGAAAGAGGTCGAAAGTTGTAGAAATTCATGAGAAGATAAGAAGAGGAGGTATGAAGCAAAACTAATGAAATATGTTATACTGATTTGCATGATGCTAATATGCGTATACATTTTATGCCATTTCAGTTATCTTTGAGTCATATTGTCTTGTCTCTAATCGCCGATTTCGGTCGTTAGATAGACCCCAATCGGCAGGTATACATTTCTGTACACAATTCAAACCGATATTAAGTGACTTCGTGGATTGATATCATGTCTTATTCTGGACAACTTTAACTGCTTACAGCCTAAGCTTAATGTAGTTTTAACATTATGCTATGGGGTAGATGGTAACCAAACATGTGATTTATAAGCTTTACATTTCATAAACTAGTCTGTCATAGAATGAAATATATTCACAGGTAACTACTACTGTCTCCTACATCAAAACTTAACTGTGATCAATCCATTAAGAGAATTACTAATTAAAGCCGGTAGCCTTCCTTCAGCATTAAATACATTTCAAGTTATTATACATATTTGTAATAATGTAAAATATCTACCAGACAATAAGTAAATACCCTTTGAAAATACTGCAGAAACAATAGGATAAGATGGGAATAAAATAAGTTGAAAAAGAAACTGATTTTCTTGAAATGATATATTAGCATGGAAGATAAGCATATGAATCAGACGGGTCATATTAAGTAAGGAATGGCAAAGCTATGAAGCCAGATATGGAGATAAAACTGAGTTCATGCACCTTCAACTACGTTCAACGCTTATACTTTAAGACTGAAACTAAACTTAAATTTTCATAGACACTGTCTTAATACCATTATATTAAATGCTATTGGTTTTTCAATTGTACTCCACAATGGTGTCAGTCTGTGATAAATACTAACTGAAAATCAGTAAATACAAACTTCCAAATTTAATTGTTGTCTTGCGCTGATCAATGACTTCCTTTGAGATGATATTTCCCCAAGTTCTATCTAATGAGAAGTCATTACCAGATTAAGATCTATCCACGTGAAATCAGGTAACTTCACCACATTCTACAGCTAGTTTGAAACGAAAAAGAGGTGGATGACAAATTACCATTTTTAGACATGCTGATTAGACGAATGGGGGATGGCTCATTCAGAAGGTCTATTGACAGGAAGTTGATGGGTGACTTTTAAGGCTACCCTATTAACTGATGAGACAGCCAAATACATTCCTGTATTTAATGGAAAAGTACTTTCCCATGCGAAATATCGAAGCCTGATTGGTCACTTCAGCAATTCCTAGGGTTGCCTTTAGAGTTACTCAAGTTTACTTGGCCAAGCAATACTATAGTTGCCGTAGCTACTATCCAGCCCAATACAACAGTGTCTTAGCCAGGTTTTTTACTGAATAGAGTTGAACGAACTTGCACACAGGACACAAAGGAAACAGAAGTAAAAATGCTGACGAACACATTAATGCAAAATGGATATTCATTGAAAATGTGAAGTCTGTACAACACCGGGATCGATTAATTAGTAATCTCTTCCTATGAAAATATATCTCACTACCATACAAGGGTAACTTAAAAGATCACCCTAGCAACTTATGAGACAGCGAATTACAATCCTGTATTCTATGGAAAAGTACTTTCCCAGGCGAAATGTCGGAGCCTGATTGGTCACCTCAGGAGTTGCTAGGGTGACCTTTAGGTCACTCTCATACAAGGATGAATGAAATGGCTTAACCATAACAGAAACAGTTAAGTCAGGTGTTAGCAAGAGACACTACGCTGCCTAGATCATTCTAGTGGAGAAGACAAGGTCTGTGTTTCAATACAAATTTAAAGTGACTTAAAGCCACCCTAGCAACAAGTGAAATGTCAAATTCGATATCCCTATTTTGTGAAAATCTGCCTTTCTATTTGTCCTAGGGATGGCCTTTAAAATATTCGAACGAATGTACCATATCCCATTGTATCTATGTGTTTACATGCGCGTGGATGAGCAGTCGTGACATGTATGCAGTTGAACATGTGACCAGGTGGCTCCAGAATCAAATGACTTCTATAAATTGATTGTTCAAACTGGTGTGATTACATAGAAACGATTATGAGCAATAATAATTTATGTTGGGAACGTCATCAAGTAAATAATGCTGTATCACTGTGCCGTATATATCAAATAAACAAATCTAATGTGAAATAACATCTAACAGTTTGATAAGTGCAGGAGAAAAACATCCGTCATTATTGAAACTGATCATAAAATTGGCATAAAGATAGCCTTTACTGTGCTATATAGGTATGATCAAGGACGAGTACTTAGACTTATCGAAGCACTTCCTATCCATACATTCAAACCCTCTATATGTGTTCAAAAACACTTTGTACTTACATTAAACCTACCCTGGTAGGTATCATTCTACACTTGATGAAATCATCGTGTGAGCAATGTTGAGGTCTGAAGAAGAGTACTAGGCAAGACAGGTAAGTCGATTGATGAGGTTTTGAAACCTAGTTGACTGAAATGGCTTAGACATGTGCTGCGCATGCCGACAGAGTCACCGCCTACCTCGAAGTACCATGCTAGGGTAAGAAGGATTGAATTGGAAGGCGGTTCAGGATGGCCAGATAAGTCGACAAAATCCCTGACTGTTGGTCTGATTCATGTGGGGAGGCACACATCACCTGGCTCTGGTCCACGAGACAAATCTTGGTGACATGACTGAAAATCAGTTACAATGGCTCAGATGGATTTACTCCTTGACATATATTATAAAGCTTGAATATTTGCACTAACCTTTATCGTTAAATTGTTTATTCTGTTACACAACTTTGTCTACTGTCCAACTGTTGTTTGTGTACTAATGTGAAGTGGGGCAACTCGAGCCTATGCACTCGTATGTGAGGTTCTACGTTGATTTTGTCAGTCAGTCATATACACTATGTGGGTCATTTCTTGTTATGGACACGATAATGGATATCACTATAGTGCCGTTCACTTCCTCTTCCTGTATCTTTGCGAAGTGTTATAACTTGGATCGCTGCATTTTTGTATCAGATTCAACATCAATGTGAATGTCTTCTCCTTATATGCTTTTTCGTGTATGTTGGTTATGCTTCAGAAGAAATGGCAACAGTTGGAGGTCACTGTTGTAACACGCAGAATTCTATTAAAAATTGTCAAAAGTTATGTAAAATGTCAGTTGTTTCTAGATAAGTAATCAAAAACAAAGGCCAATGATGCAGTTCCTCCTGTCTCAGACTTGCTAATTATTGAAATCACTTCTAGAACATCTTGATTATTTTCAGTGTTGCAACGATAACTTTCAACTGTTGCAAGTACTTGTCAACTATCTGAATAACACTAGCATTAGCTATTTTCAAATCTATGACAAATTAACCTTGAGAATTGTTACATTTATTCATTTAAACAAACGTCTAATATAGACTACATATAACTAGAGTTAGTGCAACACAGTCCGATCTTCTTTTCCGATAAGCTAGTGTTTCGAAAAGTGAAAACGAGTATTATTCATGAAATCTAGTAGATTTTGAGTAGGGTTTTTTGAAAAACAGAAAGAAAGGCGAAAAAAATGGAAGTGGAAAATAGTTTTAAAATTTTAAGTGCAAGCTTATTGAGAATTCGAATTTAATCAGTAGTTTTCCTACGTATGGCTGATTTCTGACTATCTGAACACCTTAAATTGTCAGTTTCATTGTCTGATAAGATTGTGATTATTAAAATGTGAAACGAAAATCTGATCAGCGGCAGGATTCGAACCAGCGACCTCCAAGTTACTGGGTTACTGCTCTACCAACCGAGCTATGATACCCGGCTGCTGACCAGATCCTTATTTCTCTTCAAATCACCAAGTGTTTTGCCTGAATCTTATGTGGTGCGTTACTATCGCTTGGTCTGAGTCCTATGCCTCAGCTGTCACAGCGTCGAGCTAGTGACTTAGAAGTTCGAATCCTTTCGCGGCGCATGTTTTCATCTCACTCTTAATCATCGCCCAATAACCTAGGATTATATCAAGTTGGAAGATCTTTATTTTTAATGCAGTGACTGAGTGGTA